AGGATCACAGATAGGATCACAGACAGACCACACACAGACCACAGACAGGATCACAGACAGACCACAGACAGGACACAGACAGACCACAGACAGAACACAGACAGACCACAGACAGGATACAGACAGGATCACAGACAGACCATAGACAGGCCATAGACAAGATACAAACAGACCACAGACAGACCACAGCGGGACCCACAGGTGGCTCTGTAGTCTCTGGAGCCAGAAGGCAGCCCCAGGCGCCTGTCTCCAACCACAAGCACACACAGCATAGGCAGGCACGCCTGTATGTCCACACGGACAGATCACACACTCACATATTTCTGAGGCACAGTTCAGCTCACAGGCATGTGTGTTCATGCGTGCATGTGTGTGTGTTTTTGCATTGGCACACACCTACATGTCCACACACACCTGCTTGTCATATACATGCAAGACTCACTTCACATACCTGCACCCAGGAGGATGGTCACACAGCAGGTGTGGTGCGGGTTCATGCTCCGAATGCCACTCTACACACATGTCTGCTACATTCATGACCACTGCATGTGTATCTAGTACCTGCATGTCCGATATACTTGTGTCCACCTGCATAGATGACTGCTGCATAGTATCTTCTACACGTATGACCACTACACATGTGATCACTACATGCATTACCCCTGCCCATGTGACCACTGCATGCATAACCACTACACATGTGATCAATACATACACGATGACTACATTTGTGTCTCCAAATGTTCTGCGTTTGGGGCTTTGAGGTGACCTGAAAATCCTGGAGAGGAGGGGGCCATGAACTGGAGGGGTGAGGCCCAGGTCTGGGTGCCCAGGACCCCAGCTCTGCTGCCCCCGTTCAAGGCGTTGCAGGTGGTTATGAAGTGTCACTGTAAACCGCATTGGCAAGAGCCTCTAGTGTCCTCATCTGCCCTCCCCCCACAGCCCCCCACTCCCCAGCTCTCCCCCAGCCCTTCCTCCTCCAGCCTCCCCCTCGACCCTCCTTCTTTGGTGCTGGGGCCAGAACCTGTTCTGAGGGGCCACAGCCTGTGCCTGGCTCCTGAGTCTCCTCCGGGGAGACTGCGTGGGAGGGGGTCTTCCCCATGGCACCCTCTCTCAACGCCCCTGCCTGCCCGGGGCCCTACTCCGACCCCTGAGCTAAGACCACAGGCAGGGGGACAGAGTGTCCTGTCATCACGTCCCCACGAGGCAGGGGACAGAGCTGAGGCTGGTCAGGTCAAGGGGCTGCTGGGTGCCCAGCTGAGCTCCCCGGTGAGGGGGTCCAGGCCTGCTCAGACAAGGACAAGCACTGACACAGGGGGAGTGGGCAGGGGGGCCCAGTACTCGGGGGGGTCTATCTCTGGGGGTCCCTCCCTGTGGGGTTGGGGTGGGTATGGGAGCAGCCCCCGCACGGAGGCCGTCAGAGGTGAGCCCCTCCCCAGGAAAACCAGCCGGCCTGGGCCCCCACAAGCCCCAGAAGGGAACTCTGCCTCTGCCAGTGTGACGACCTCTGCGTATTCGTCCCCAGCCACTGCCCATCGTCCACCCGCCCCCAGCAGACACCGTCCAGCACCTTTACTCATAACTTTCCATCGCTGACCCTCAGCCCCTCGTCCTCACGCATGGCCTGTCCCCGGGCACTGAACTCGCTCCCCGCTGTAGCCATGACCCAGGGCCATCCAGCCTGGCTCCTCGGGTGAGCCTGCCCAGAGAGGGGCCGCCACGGCAGGGGCACCCTGCCCCCAGACAGGGCCAGTGGACACAGCGCCCAGGCGCCCCGGGGTGCTGCCACGGCCTCCATGAATGTCCCACTGACTCACGTGTCAGGGCACATGCAGTTTCTTGTAAAAAATGATGTGTCTGATAATTAGGCTGTTGATAACTTGTTTCCCTAATGATAATTAACATGCAAATGAGCTCCGGGCGGGGAGGCCCTGGGGTCCGGGCTCATTACCAACTAATTACTGTTTGCATACTCGAGCTGCGGATACAAATGCGCCATTTACTGGAACAGGCGGGATCATTAGACCCGCGACTTTCTGAGAAGTCACCTCGTCCGCCCGGTGATTGATGGTCCGGGCCGCTGGATCAACTCTGTTCTTTCCGGGCAGGAGCCGGCCCGCTGCTCGCCCGGGAGGCAGGGCAAGGTTGGGACAAAGAAGAGGCCGCAGCCTGGGGTGTGAGCCCCGCTCCTGCCAGGGGGTCTGTGTGCGGGCCACCCCCCTCCACACACCTTTCATCAGCAGGTGGGGGCCGGGGGCAACATGTGAAAGGGGAGCCAAGGTCCTTAGAGGGACGGTGAGCAAGAGCGCAGGCCCACCCGGGAGCTGCTGGAAAGGGGGGCCACGTGGACAGATGCGGTGCTGGGTGCAGGAGGCAGTGGCCGCCAGCTGAGGGGAGGCCCCAAAGCCCCCGGTGAAGGCAGGAGTGAGGGTCCCAGCAGGAGCGTCTGGGGAGCCCCGCACCCCCGCACCCCGCACAGGCAGCTGCGAAAGTGGCAGGTGGGAGGCGAGGGCAGCCGTGGGCGCTGCCCCTGAATTATTGATCAGGAACAGGGCGAAGCACAGGGCTCGGAACCTGCAGACGGCTGCACCAGCCGCGGCTCACTCCAGGCGCAGGTACGTCTCCAGGGGTGCCCAGGGGGGCTCTGGGGGTCAGAGACCTGAGGGGCCCTGGGGAGAGATGCCCTAGAGGTGGGCCCAAGGGAGGGGCAGGGGCAGCACCCGGGGCCTGGTCCATGAGTGCTGAAAAGAGGAAGGGCGAGGGCAGCCACCACGGACTCTGCCCCGGGTGTGGGGACACCAGCAGTGTGTGGTCGAGTCACAGCCAAGCTGGCCCAGGAGGAACCAGGCATAGGGGCCTTTATCCGTTCTGCAGAGATGTCTGTGGGACAGGGTGAAACCCATCGCCTGTCTCAGGAGTGGGGGAGGGGGGACGGGGGGCAGCAAACATGCCACGTGCAGACACTGTGAGAGGTATGAGGGCTTCAGCCCAAGACCCTAGCCCCGACCCAGCCCCAATTCCAGCCCAGACCCCCAGCCCTGACCCCAGCCCCAACCCCCAGCCCCGACCCCCAGCCCCAACTCCCAGCCCCAACCCAGCCCTGACCCCCAGCCCCGACCCCAGCCCCAAATCAGCCCCAACCCCCAGCCCTGACCCCCCAGCCCCAACCCAGCCCCACCCCCAGCCCTGACCCCCCAACCCTGACCCAGCCCAGACCCAGCCCCGACCCCACCCCAATCCAGGCCCGACCCCCAGCCCAACCCCCAGCCCAGACCCAACCCCGACCCAGCCCTAATCCAGCCCCGACCCCAGCCCCGACCCTCAGCCCCGACCCCCAGCCCCAATCCCAGCCCCAGCCCACCTCGGTCTCTGAGCCCCCGGGCCGGGCGCCTGCCGGGACCCTCCTCCCTGGCTGTCCCCCAGCAGCACCCTGTGGCCTGCGCCCTTAGCCCCGGGAGAAGGCGTCTCCTGAGGGCTTGGGGTGAACAGCTGCTTGGAAGCCCCTGAGACCCCTTAGACGGGGTCCCCGCCTGTGCCCCAAGACCAGACAGACCTGCCGTGGCCTGGGCGGAGGGGACGCAGCAGGCGCCCTGGTCACCGCGCCTGAGGGGGCGAATAGGCAACACTGCTCCTGCACAGGCCCCACCCCGGACCCTGTCCCCTGCCCGCAGGCTGGCCAGATGGACCCTAGAGACCCCCATGCCGCTCCTTGCAGCAGACGCCCCCCTGCTCCCTGAGCTCGTGTGGTGTTGGGTGGGACACCTGGCCAGGCTGGGCGTCCAGGCGTCCTCCTTACTGTAGCCAGGAGGGGGCCCAAATATCACCCCTTCTTCAACGAGGAGAGGCCTGGGGCCAGCGGGCTCCTGGCCATTCTGAGTCCGAGAGGGGCAGAGCCCCAGCCCACACATGGACAGCATTTGGCGGCGAGTCAGGGCCATTGTCTGCAGGGAGCAGCCCGAGGCTGGGCCGGGTGGCTCCCTGGGAGATGCATCTGGGTCGCTCCAACACCGAATCCTGGGAATCCGGGCCCCTTCCCCATCCCCAAGGCGGGCCCGACCGCACCCCAGCCTCAGCTCCCCTGCGAGCACCCCCATCAGAGCTTCTGCCCAATCGTGAGGAGCAATGGCCACCAGGGGGCACAGCGGAGCAGGGCCTGTGTTGATGCTCTCCCAGGAGACAGAACACCTGCAGCTCCCACTGCCTGCCACTGACCGCTGCTGACCACCACTGCTCGCCGATGACCACCACTGACCATCGCTGACCACCACTGCTCTCTGCTGACCGCCACTGACCAACACTGCTCACTGCTGACCGCCACTGACCAACACTAACCATCGCTGACCACCACTGCTTGCCGCTGATCACCACTGCTCGCCACTGCCCACCGCTGACTGCCACTGACCACCACTGCTTGCTGACGACCACCACTGCCTGCCACTGACCACCGCTAACCGCCACTACTCACCGCTGACCACCACTGACCGCCACTGACCATTGCTGACCACCACTGCTCACCGCTGACCACCACTGACCTCCACTGCCTGCCGCTGACCACCACTGACCACCACTACCCCCCATGGCCAGCCGCTGACCACCAAGCCCACACACCAGCACCCCCACCAAGGAGTTTGGGAGAAACAGGCAGGTGTTTGAGGGGCAGCGGGCAGTAGGTGGGTAGTTTCGACCCAGAGCGTGTGGGGAATGTGACCCGGAAGTACTCAGGGCTCAGCCGCATGGTGGGCTCTGCTGGGGCAACCAAGGCCCCCTGCCAGTGCTGGAAGCCAGGTGGGGGGCTCATACACTGGCCGGGCCCTGAGTCCAGCCCCAGGGGTGTCCTCCGAGAGCCACGCTCTGGGGCCCCATACTGTGGGCTGGGAGGTCCGGGGCAGAGCCGGGGGTGGGCCCTGGTGGTGGGGTGCTGTGTGGTGTGGGGAGATACTCGGGCTATTGAGCACTGACCATCCCCTCCACAGGGCCGGGGCCAGGACACGGCTGAAGCGATGCTGGCTCAGGAGCTGGCGGCTAGCCTGTGCCAGGAGGGGGGCCAGCACCTGGCCCATGGCGAACCCGCGCTGGCCGCGGCCTTCCTCCTGGCTGCCTTCAGCTGCCACGCACCAACGGCCGTGCACCACGTCCAGGCCCTGCCCGAGGGCCTGGGGGCGCCCGTGCTGGCGGCACTGGAGGCCTGGTGCCGCGGCGAGAGCCCCATCCCAGCCGTCCACTGGGACGGGATGGCCGTGGTATCGCTGACGGGCGCCCAGGCCTCGGCCTTCCTGGCCACCCTGTGCCCGGAGCACCCGGCGGCTGCCCTGCACGGCCTGGCTGGGCTGCTGGCACACGGGCGCCCCCTGGAGGCTGAGGCGCGCTGCAGCGCCCTGCTGGCCACCGGCTCCCCGCTGGGCCTGGAGCTGCGACTGACCCGCGCCCTCGCCCGCATCCTGGCCGGGGCCCCGTACGCCACAGGCCTGGCTGACTACCTGCAGGCATTCGCCATCAGCGCCGACCGCACCGTGGCCTTCGTCCTCGCCCACCAGCAGCCGCACCTGCCTCTGCTGCTCGGGGCCCTCCGGGACCACGTCCTGGGACGCCCGGAGGCCGGGGACAGTGCAGATGGCCAGGGGCTGCTGGCTGCCCTGGACTCCACAGGCAGCTGGAGCAACACACTGGACCCTGAAGCGCTGCTCCGAGACGGCAGGTTTGAGGCCTGCAGGGCAGCGTGTGACCGCCTCCTGGAGTCCCAGCCAACAGACAGCAGACCCCAAGGTAAGAGAGTGGCCTGTTCCCAGGGAGGGCAGTGAGCTTCCGGCTTCCCTTGTGGTGACAGTGCCGTAGGGGACAGGGCAGGCCCGAGCTCAGGAAGCACTTGGTGGCCAGGAGGCCACTCGGAGGACAAGGCAAAGATGGGCTCTGGGCAGGTCTGGGGAGGAAGGACATGGGGTGCCCAGGCCTCCAAACAGAGCAGTGGTGGGGCTGGAGTGATAGCACAGCAGGTAGGGCGTTTGCCTTGCACGCGGCCGACCGGGTTCGATTCCCAGTATCCCATATGGTCCCCCGAGCACCGCCAGGAGTAATTCCTGAGTGCATGAGCCAGGAGTAACTCCTGTGCATCGCCGGGTGTGATTCAAAAAGAAAAAAGAAAAAAGCAAACAGAGCAGTGGCCATCAGAGAGAGACAGCATCTGAGGCCAAGACTCGCTGTCCAGCCCTCCAAGGTGACCACGGGGAGGGGCCGGGGGCAGCATGTCTAGACTCTCCCCTGGCTGCTGGCACACCAGGGCTCAATGGCAGGAGGGGCAGCCTGTGACGGGTGGGTGGGCAGGAGAGGAGGGCAGGGGAGGACGGGGCGTCTGGACCATCCCAGGCAGAGCGGTGAAGGCTGAGGTGTGGGGAGGGGGCCAGCGGGAAGGGCAGGCAGGGGCTTCTCGATTTGTGAGGCGGGCGGAGGCAGGTGGGTGGAGGCCGTGCCCTCTGGCCCCAAGGCAGGGCTGTGTAGTCCCCTGGTCACAGCCCCCTCCAGCAGCCTGGGCAGTGCTGTCTGTACCCGCAGTGGGGGTGGGACCCGACTTCGACGTCACCCACTCAGTGCTCAGAGATGGCCCTTAGTGGACAGGGTGTCGCCAGGCAGCTTGGACCTTGAGGTGGGCGGGCCTGGCCTGGAGCCAGGGCACCCAAGGGGCTCCGAGCTGAGGACTTGGGGGGAGCAAGGCCACACTAAGGAGGTGTCTACAGCGTGCTGTGGAAGATGGGGCTCGCCCCTCGGGCAAGGGGCACAAGCACCGGGAGGGGGTCGCCGAGGCTGTAGGGGCTCACGTGAGATGGAGTGGATGGGAGTGGAGGTGGCAGGGACCCCTGGGAGTGAGGGGGACAGGCGACTGAGCTGTCAGAGGACTCGTGGGCGGGGCAGGGCGTCAGGAGGAGACAGACATGCACAGTGACCTCAAGGTCATGCAGACCTGACATCTGCTTGAGAGGCCGGAGGTAAGGGGACATGTTCGGGCCCCGGGAGCAGCAGGGAGATGGGGATAGAGACGCACACGGTGCAGCCCCCAGACTTAGCCTCACCGAGTGGCGCCCGCGGGCCAGCCAGGGCAGGAACGGCCAGCACACGGGCTCTGGCCAGAGGCTGCTCCCAGCCCAGGACGCCACGTCCAAAGGACCAAGGGTCTGAGCTGATGAGAGCACTGGGACACGGGGCTCACGGCAGTGGCCAGGGGCCCCATGCAGGTGCCAGGACCTTTCACCTGGACGCAGGATCCTGAACTCACAAAGGGCTGCAGCTCCGATGCCAACAGGTGCTGCTCCCACAAGATGCCACTGGGGGGGAGCCCCAAGGGCTGGGAGGAACCTTCTAGAAACCACTCCAGTTCCTGGTCATGGAGCACATGCCTTGTGTGGCTGAGGCCCCCGCTGCATCACGGACCCCCGAGGACCAGAAGCAGCTCTGAGGCCTCGGAAATGGCCCCCGTGAAAACATGAAAGTATCGAGGTGACTTCCCACGGCCCCCTGAGCTCTCCTCTGCACTAAGGACCATCCCCAATGCTCAAATGAAAGACGAAGAAAGAGAAGAGCAATGGCCAAAGGGGAAGAAGCAAAGTTGCCATTATTCCAGAGGCTATAATTAACCACGTGAACACCCAAAAGAAACTGCTGCAAAATTTTGTAGGATACGCCGAAAGCACATATATTCCCTGTCAACGCAATAGGTAGAAGCGTTGTGCTTTAAATATGCTCTAGCCAGTGCAGCAAAAAATAATTTATTTCAAAATATATGGCTTTATGGACAAAGGTATTTTACGTCATGAGAGGACAGTCCCAGCACACTCATAAGTGGGCGACATTCAGCGCACGCGTGACGGAGCGTGAGGGACGGACAGGGTGTCTGAGGCTCTCTGGACCACATGTACCAATGCAGGAGGAGACACTGGCCACGCGGTAGCAAGGCCAGATTGCAGCACAGACTGGACACTGGAGGGCTGTCAGGGACGGCGGGGGAGGGGTGCGGTGCCAGGTTCTGCCTCAAACTGGGCAAAAACTCAAAGAAAATCATCTCAGGTAGATTTCATGAATACCTAAGTTTCACAGTTTCTAACATAAATATAAGATGACATCGTACAGGCATCTATGCATGAAGCGAGGTTTCTTAAGATACAGGAAGTGCAAACAAACAAACAAACAAAAAGATTGAATCACTTGACTATATCAAAATCTTACAACTTAATTTTTTTGGTTTTGGGACCACACCAGGCGATGTGTGGGCTGACTCCTGGCTCAGCACTCAGGAATACTCCTGGCCGTGCTCAGGGAAGCAGACATGATGCCAGGGACCAATCCTGGATTGGCCACATATGAGGCAAGTGCCCTCCGTGCTGTCCTATCACTCCAGCCCCTAACGTTTTAGAACTTTCGGCCAGAGAGAGTTCAGAGAATACAGAGGGTGAGGCGCTTACTGGCATGTGGCCAGCCCACGCCGGTGCCCGCATCCCACCAGAAGTGACCTCTGAGCACCACAAAACAAAACAAAACAAAACTGTCTAACTTCTGTTTTCCCTACAACTATGGAAGAGAAAAGGACAACATGTGTTTTCAAAATATACAACGAACAAAAGACTTGTCCTCTAGGATTTGGAGAACGTGTCCATATTGATAAGAACATACTCAGCACAAGAACTGGCAGGATCCTTCCCAGCAGAGAAGGCACAGATGGCTGATAAGTATGTGGAAATAGCAAATGGCCCCATCACGAGACCCGCATAAGTCAGAGCGACCAGCAGCCAGACCCAGAAAGGCTGTTAGTCATCAAGGAGCCTCGGGCGCAGGCGGGGAGGTGCCGCTCGGCACCCAGGGCTGTCAGACGCTGCGCCTCAACTGGAGGCTCCAGCTGCCAAGGGGGACCCAGATGGGACCGACCGCCAGCCTGAGGGGCCCAGAGTGCAGGCAATGGGCAAGTGAGGGGTCGCTCCCAGCAACGGCAGGAGGGAGCAGGGGTGAGGCCATAGGGGGCTTCGGGAGGGAGCTGGAGGGGTGAGGCTGTGCGGGGGTGTGGGGCTTCGGGAGGGAGCTGGAGAGGTGAGGCTGTGAGGGGTGGCTGTGGGAGATAGCCGGAGGGGTGAGGATATGCAGGGGCTGTGGGAGGTAGCTGGAGGGATGAGGCTGTGCAGGGGGCAGTAGGACGGAGCTGGAAGGGTGAGGCTGTGTGGGAAGCTGTAGGAGGGAGCTGGAGGCGTGAGGCTGTTCAGGGGGCTGCAAAAGGTAGCTGGAGGGGTGAGGCCATGCAGGGGGGGCTGTGGGAGGGAGCTGGAGGGGTGAGGCTGTGCGGGTGTTGGGAGCTGAAGCTTTTGTGGTTTCCGTGCTAAGATGCCCCAGTGCTGCTTAGATATGAGACGGAATTAGGGTAGAAAGTGGCCGGAACTCAGGGAAGGCGGGAGAGGAGGGTGGGGGGTGGGGTGGGGGGTAATGTGATGTAGCAGAGGAGGAAGCTGAGCCCCTGGCTGGCATCAGTGACATTTTGGGTGACCCCATGGCAGGGTGCTGGGTGCTGGCAGGAGTTTGAGCTCAGGGGTTAACCGCCTGCTGAAGCAAACTTCAGGGATCTTGGGGAAGCGTGAGTGAGTCCAGAGTCTAAAGAGACACGACAGGCGTCTAGGGCAGCTCAGGAATCCCCGACAGGGGAAAGTGTCAGGTATGACCAGGCGGGTCCAGCAGCAGGACACACGCACTCGCCTCCTGGCTGAGAAAGGTTTCTCAGTGATGCGCTCCGGAGAGCAGCGGGGACTCCTCCGAGGCAGTACCCACCCCTCGGGCCACCCCCCCCCACCGCGAAAACTATTTATTGGGGGCCACAGCCAGCGTGCTCAGAGGCTGTTCCAGGGAGCACTGTGGGGGTCCCTGCGGGATGGCGTGTGCGAGGCAGGCGCCCCGTGCCTACCTATCCCTCACCCTGGAAATCAGCTGGGGCTTGCTCTTAGAAGGAACTCTGTTCCAGAGTTGAAACTCAGTGGCTGGGACGAAAGGCTGCAGACACTGCAGGGTGGAGACGGGCGGGTGGGCGAAGCAGAGGGGAGGGCGGGTGGGCGAAGCAGAGGGGAGGGCGGAGCCCCGCCCACCTATCCCTGCGTGGCAGAGGCCGTTCCCAGTGGCCCCTGGCTATCTCGGTCCCAGCCAGGAGGGTGCCGGCACTGACGCTCACAGCCAGCAGAGACGGGGGCTCTGGAAGCCCCCAGGTACTAACTTCACCCCGAGTGAGCACGGAATCTTCTGGAACTCAGGATAAGGGGCGATTTCACCAAGACCCAGGAGAAGGCTGGGAGGGGGTCTTGAACGCGACTGCGGGATGGGGCTGTCGCGGGGGACCCGCGGTGGGAGGGGCCCGTCCCGGGCTCAGTTGGGGTCAGCACCCGAACCACAGCCCAGAGCGGGCAGAGGCCCACCGCCACGTGTCGCAGCTCTGGGGGCTCCTGGCCCGAGGGCTGGGGCGGGGTCGCGGGCTCGGGCGCGACCGGGTTCCAGGCTCGCGTCTCCTCCGCAGGCGAGCGTCTGGCCGCGCTGCTGGTGACCCGCGCGGCTGCGGCCTTCTCCCTAGACGCCGGCGCGCAGGACGCGCTCGGAGACCTGCACGCGGCCTTCGGCGAGAGCCGGGCGGGCGCGCGTCGGCAGCTGGATGCGCTGTTCGCCGAGGACGCCCAGGAGCGCCTGCGGGCCCGGGCCGAGGAGGCGGCGGCGGCGAGCCTGGCGCGCTTCCTGAAGGCGGTGCGGGCGCGGGCGGAGCTGCGCGGGGATTCGGGCCGCGAGCTGCTGGCGCCGGCGCTGCGCGCGCTCCGCATCCTGCTGCGCGTGTCCACGCCCGCCGCGCGCCCGGCGCTGGGCGCCCGCCTGGCCGAGGCGCTGCTGCTGGCGGGGGACGCGGTGGGCGCGCGGGCCTGGTGCGAGCGCCTGCTGCGGCGGCGGCGGCGCGCGGACCCGGCCGGGGAGCGCTCGGCCCTGCTGGCGCTGCGCGGCTTCTGTGCGCTGCACGCCGGGGACGCGCCGCGCGCCCTGGAGGACTTCCAGGAGGTGGTGGCGCGCGGCCCGCCCCACCCCTGCGGCTGCGTGCGCGCGCTGTGCGGCCGCGGGCTGCTGCGCGTGCTGGCGGGCAGCGCCTTCCTGGGCGCGCTGGACTATGTCACCGCCTGCCGCCTGCGGCGCGAGGAGGCTCTGCTCGTCGCCAAGGCCCTGGTGCCCTGGAACCAGCGCGGGCTGCTGCGGACCGTCCTGCGGGAGGAGGCCCGGACACTGCTGCGGCGGGCGGCGCGCGCGGCCGTGGACGGAGCCGGCCCCGCGGCGCAGGAGGGGTAAAGGCGGCGGCACGCGCCCCTCCCCGGGTCTGGAAGCCCCTTGCCCGCCCCCAGCCCGGCCGCCTCCACCTCCACCTCCGCTTGGCCAGAGCACTGGGCAGGAGTCCTACCGCCTGCACGCACAGACTGGCGCGTCCACAAGCACAGGAGCAGGAGCACACGCGCAGTCACACGTGCACATGGGCACACGCACTCAGGCACACGTACACGTAGGCACATGCACTCAGGATACGTCCATGCACACATGCACAGAGCCACACGTGCACAGGCACACAGTCACACACAAGCACACATGCAAGTACACTCGTACCAAGCACACACACAGGTGTGCATAGAGGCATGCACATATATGCACAAGCCAGCACACACATTTACATAGTTTCTCTGTGTCCCACTCGAGAACCTCGTGCCGGAGATACGGCAGGGTCCCCCATACGAGCCCTTTGTGCTCATCTCTCAGGGGTGCTTCCCAAAAGTGTCTGCCCCCCTCCCACCCAGGACAGTCCCAGGCGTGCCCACCCATCCTCAGCTCTGCCGCGCTGACAGCCCTAGGCAGGGACCCTGCACCCCAGGGAGCCGCCCCCCAGGCCCACAGAGCAGCTGCACCCGGGGCAGTGGGCCCCCGAGGGCCTGGACAGTGAGGGAACGTGTCCCTTGTGCTGCCGGCAGGGACGCCCAGGGCGTGCTCCAGCTGGCCTCACTGCTGCTGGAGCTGGACACGGAGGACGAGGAGTCGAGGCTGCTGGTGGCCGACGCGCTGTACGGCCTGGGCCGCCTGGAGGACGCCCACAAGGTGCTGCTGCGGGCCCGGTCCAGGCCCCCTGCTGCACCCACACTGGCCCGGCTGGCCCTGCTGCAGCTGCGGAGGGGCTTCTGCTACGACGCCCACCAGGTGAGGCCCGGGACCCCCGCGGCCGCCTGCGAGCCTGCTAGGGCAGGCGGGTCCCTGCCCTGATGTGCCCTGGGAGGGGCAGCCCCTGAGAAGCCACTCCCAACCCTCATTTGCCATGGTCTCGCCACATCCCTGCATCCATCAGAGGGATGGACACTGAGGCTCTTCCTGGACCAGGTCCGGGCACCGGGAGTTGGGAGGCAGGCTGGGTGCTTAAGCCCGCACTCGCCACACTGCCCACTGCCCAGCCCGGGAGCCACAGCCCACCGGGCTGGGTGCTGAGACTCTGCCCACAGCTCGTGAAGAAGCTGGTGCAGTGTGGGGACACGGCCTGCCTCCAGCCCACCCTGAGCATCTTCTGCCATGAGGACCGGCAACGGCTATGGCATCTCTGCCACACGCGGGCGGTGGCCATCCTGCGGGCACAGCCGGGCTTGACCGGGGAGCCGACTCACCTCCGGGAGGCCGTTGCCTACCTATCTCTGGCCATCTTCGCCGCGGGCGGGAGCTGTGGCACCCACACCGTGCCAGGTATGAGGGGCACCGAGCCTGAGGCAGGGACGGACCAGAGGGCACCCCGGCATTGTTGAGGGGGAACCCCGGTCATTCAGCACTTTCTGCAGCCCGGCCCTGAGCATGCTGGCTCCCGCTGCCCCTGGCCTGCTCTTGGCGGGAGGTGGGCAGCAGACCGGAAGCCGCGAGGGGCCAGGGGCTCAGGACATCCTGGAACGTGGGGCAGAGCTGGCCATCCCTGGGCCTCGCTTGGTGCACCCCCAGAACACAGTGCTTTTTCCAAGCCCCCAAGAACAGGAGCGACAAGATGCGGTGCTCGTGGGGCCTCCTGCACCCAAAGTCCGTGGTTCCATCCTGGGATTGTGCCCGCCTGCGGCCGAGACCCACGGCCTCCTGCTCAGACTGCTCCTCTCACTGCTCCCGCACCCCCAGATGCCGCCCCCCTGCTGGGGGGCCAGCACCAACCACCTGCGGGTCCTGCACGCCTTGGGGCCCAGTGTGGGCCGCACCCTTGATCCCGCCCACTGAGCAGTGGGTGCTGTCCATCCCATGAGCGCCTGTCCCACCCCGCTGCAGCTGCCAACGCCCTCCCCACCTCCCCCTCAGGCACTCAGGCCAGCCAGAGCCTCCTGGCCCGTGCCCGCTGCTACGCGCTCCTGGGCCAGAGGAGGACAGCGCTGCTGGACTTCGACGCGGCACTGCGGGCCGAGCCGCGGGACGTCGCTGCGCTGTGTGGCCGCGGGCTCCTGCACCTGGCACTGGGCCAGCAGCAGGTAGCCAGACCAGGGGAGGGCGCGGCCGGGAGCCAGGAGGGGCGGGCACTTCCGTCTCCGGCAGGGAGACAGGGGCCCTGAGTCACAGCCAGTGTCAGGGAGTCTTGCCTCGCAACCAAGGCCAATGCACCCACAGTCGCCCATGAGGGAAAAGAGCACACCTTCCCATCAATACACACTAACACACACACACCAACGCACACTCCCACCAACACTCACTAACACACACACAGTTGGCCAGAAGGGGAAAGACAGCACACTCTCCCACCAACACACACTAACACCAACACACACTCCCTCCAACACTCACACACCAACACACACTTCCACCAACACTCACACACACACACATTCCCACCAACACTCACTAACACACTCACACACACTCCCACCAACACTCACTAACACACACCAACACACACTAACACACACACTCCCACCAACACACCAACATACTCCCACCAACACTCACTAACACACACCACTCCCACCAACACTCACTAACACACACTCCCACCAACACTCACACACATGCTCCTACCAACACTCACTAACACACCAACACTCACACACACACTCCCAATACTCACTAACACACACTTCCACCAACACTCACTAACACACTAACACACACACTCCCATCAATACTTACTAACAGATACACACTCCCACCAACACTCACTAACACACACCAACACACACTCCCACAAACACACACATCAACACACACTCTCACCAACATAGACACACTCCCACCAACACTCACACACCAACACACACTCCCACCTTCACACACACACCAACACACACTCCCACCAACACACCCACACCCACACTCAAACACACCAACACACACACTCCCACCAACACACCAACACACATTCCCAGCAATACACACTCCCACCAACACTCACACACTAACAGACACACTCCTACCAACACACACACCGACACACACCCACACTCCCACCAAAACACACACTTCCACCAACACTCACACACCAACACACACACTCCCACCAATACACACACTGACACTCACACACTGCCAACAACACTCTCACACCAACACATACACCAACACACACATACCAACACACACATACCAACACTCACACTAACACACCAACACATACACTCCCAGCAACACTCACACACCAACGCACACCAATACACACCCACATCAGCACACACCCATGCACACTCGTACACCAATGCGCTCACACAACACACACCAATTCACACATCAGTGCATACTCACACACTTGCATATACACACACCAGTGCACACAATGTGTACACTCACACATTCCAACACACATGCACATGGACAAACCATACACCAATGGACACTAAATGTTTACACTTACACACACTCACACTACACCAACACACACCACACAACCTACACACTTATGCATGCTCACACCATGCACTCATGCACCAACTTAAACTGCAAGCCACACACACAGCCGACACTTAGGAGCTGATGCACACTCACATCACACACTCACGCCAAGTTATGCCACACAACACTCCCAGCCTACACACACACTCAGACTCATGCACGCTCACTCCCACACGTTACACATACGGCTCACAGCCATAGTACTTTCAGACCCCGCACACTCACACACACACTCCGACGCACTCACCGCTACAGACACACCTGAAAACCGTCAGTGGGAAGGTACTGGGGGCGCCATGGCTAGCCACATCTGAGGCCACGTGGCCATCCCGGGTGGGGTCCCCTCAAGTGGCTGCCCCCTTCGTTGCCACCCCTCACCGTCAGGGTGCCCCTTCTCTGGTCCTGGGCCCCCAGAACCCTACTACACGTGCTAGACTTCTGCCAACCAGACGGGCCCCACTCTGGCGGGCCCCTCCGGGGGGGCCGGGCTGGGGGACCCAGTAGGCCTGCTCCCCACAGGAGGCAGTGGACGATGTCCTCTGTGCCCTGAAGCTGGACCCGGGGGCTGCAGTGCCTGAGCTGCGCACTCTGAAGCCCGAAGTCCAGGCGCTGCTCACACAGGGCCTCTCCTCCCACTGCCGGGCCCTCCTGGGACGCATGAGGGACCCGGGCACCACACTCAGCCCCGATGACGCCCAGGGCCTCCAGGCTGCAGGGGAGGCGCTGATCAGCCTGGACAGCGGACGGTGCAGTGGGCACATCCTCCTGGCAGATGTGCTCACCGCGACAGGTACATGTGTCCCCATTCCCTGGCTGCCGCCTCCTGGTCCCCCTCTATCCATCCCAAGGCGCGGGTGTGGAGGGAGGCGGTGTCAACGGGGATGCAGAGCAGAGGTGGGGGTTCACGGAAGGCTTGGGTGGGGAAACACTGACCTGGATTCAGCCCCTTCGATGGCGGGTCTCAGCCCCTCAGTGGGTGTGTCTCAGCCCTTCAGTGGGCGGGTCTCAGCTCCTCAGTGGGCAGGTCTCAGCCCCTCAGTGGGCGGATCTCAGCCCCCTCAGTGGGTGGTCTCAGTCCCTCAGTGGGCGGATCTCAGCCCCCTCAGTGGGCTGGTCTCAGCCCCCTCAGTGGGTGGGTCTCAGTCCCTCAGTGGGCGGATCTCACCCCCCTCAGTGGGCTGGTCTCAGCCCCTCTGGGTCTCAGTGGCCTCTGTGGGAGTGCCCTAACTCAAGGGGCAGCGCTGAGGGCAGTCCCTTCGGGGGGCGTATCTTACCCACGGGGCCCTGTGCTGTGCTCTAGCTTTGCTGAAGGGGAGCAGGAGCACCGCTGTGCCTGGTGACGGCATCACCAACCTGCTAGGCCCAGCAGGACCCCAACCCGTACAGGGCTCAGAGAGCTGGTGGTCCTGCTCCTGCCTCCAGCCCCTCGCTCACTCTGTGCCCCCAACCATAACAGGCAGCTACGAAGAGGCTGGGGCCCGCCTGCAAGCAGCCCTGCACCCCTGCCCACCCACAGGGGCCGCGCGGGCCCGGCGTGGTCTGCTCCAGCTCAAGAAGGGGGACACGGCGGCCGCCGCACACGACCTGCAGTGCCTGGCAGAGACTGATGTCAACGACCTGGGCTTCCTGCTGGGGCTCCTGGACGCCCCAGAGAGGCAGAGCCTTGCTCAGGTGTGGCTGGGCCGGACCACTGCTGACACCCAGCCATGGTGGGTGGGCCAGGGTGGGCTGGGCAGGAGGGCCTAGGAGGGGGAGCCCACGTGTTGGAGGTAGAGGGCCAGGAGTGAGGGGCAGGAAGGCTCTTGGGGTGAGGGGGAAGAGGCTCTTGGTGCAGGCAGGGGCTGGACAGGTGTATGGCGTCCCCGGAGGGAACAGCGCAGGCCCCAGTGGTGCGGTGCCTCCTGGCCCCCAAATGTTGAGGTGCAAAAGCAGCAGGCAGGTAGAGTGGCCTCTACCCACCCAGGCCAGGTAGAGGCTACTGCTGGCCATGGCCTCTGGGCTGTTCTGCCCCCTGCTCATTGGTCCAGCGCCCCGCCCGCCGGCATCCGGCCTGGGAGGGCAACAGGGACAGGAAGACCTGAGTGTGGGGTGGGGGGGGGCAGGGGCCTCAAGGACCTGCATGTGGACACTGCTGCCGACTCACGGCCAAGGCAGAGCGCCGTGGTGCCCGGGAGCCCTCCTAGACGCACCTTGCAAGACCCCCAAATGGGCACCTGCGGAGGGGGGAGGGTGCGGAACTGCAGGGAAGGGGCGTGAGTGATGCACCTGGAGCTGAGGTGAGCCCCCCCCCGGCCCCCCCGCTGTGACCGTGTCCTCCAAGCCAGGAGTGCAGAGTCAGGCAGGTCAGCCAACTCTAAGGGGACGAACCAGCCTACCCGTGCCCAAGGGGGGAATGGGGGAGGGCCTCCGAATGGGGCGGGAACGGGGCGGGGCCTCCGGGTGGGGGGGCAGGAGGAGGAGACAGGACGGGCCTCCAGGCGCGGGGGAGGGGGTATGGGGCAAGGCCTGGGGGGACGGGGCGGGGCCTCCTGGAGCCCGGCAGAGGGCTCGAGAGAATCTTGTGTCCACTGTGCTCAGCCGGGTCACAGCGCGGGGACCGGGCCGGGACACGGGGCCATTACTGAGCAACGGGACGGAAGTGGTCAGTTCCGGTGTGTGGCCCCCCCGCACGCTGCGGAGGAGGCGGGGCCACGGCGGGCAGTGGCTGTCCGCATCTGGCGCTGTGTCCCAGATTGGGGGTCTGGGGGGGACGCTCAGGGCCACTGGACAGAGGAGAGAGCATCTGAGCCGGCCTTCGAGAGGGCTTGGGTCGCGCTGAACACTGAGCCCACCCTCCCTTCTGCCTCCTGCAGGCCGCGGCCCAGGAAGCCGGCAGCCTGCTGCGGTCAGGTCAGCCCGGGCCAGCGCTGGGCTACTGCTCGCTGGCAGTGCTGGCCAGCGTGGACCAGGCCCCGAACCTGCGCCTCCGGGCCGCCTGCCTGGCCGAGCTGCAGGAGTTCGACCGTGCCCTTGGGGACCTGGACCTGGTGCTCCAGGAGGGCCCAGAGACCACCGACTCCTCCACACGGGCTGAAGACTTTTGCTTCCAAGGTCGCCTGCTGCTGGGCCGCGGGGACGAGGTGGGAGCCGCGCGGGCCTTCGCCCAGGGCCTGCAGCTGGCGCCCCTCCAGGCCCAGAATAGCCTGGGCGAGCGGCCGGGGCGAGCCACTGCAACCCGCCTGCTCTTGGGCTGGGGACAGCAGTGTCTGGAGGAGCAGCGGTTGGCAGAGGCCTGGGTGGCAGCAGATGCAGGCCTGGCCCTGGACCCCTCTCACAGCAGCCTCCAAGGCCTGAAGGCCAGGCTACGCAGAGGGGCGGCCTCTGGCTGCCGGCTCCACTGACCACCTTGAGGACCCCGACCCCGCAACAGAGCCCCAGCTTCCCTGGGGTCTGATCCCGGGGGTCCTGGGCCTGGCCAAGCAGTCTGCAGCCTTGTTCCTGCCCTGCTGGCTGGGTGGCCTTGGCCTGGCCCACAATTGTGGGCTCGAGGCAGGCCCTGCCCGCTACCCAGCCCTGCAGGGAGCACCCAGCACCCCACAATGTAGTTATGACCCCTCACCCCTGGGGGCCACACTGCCTCTCCCCACACCCAACACGGCCAGTGGGTGCACAGGGACGGGCTCTGTGCCCCCCTGCACCCCATCTTTGTCCACTCCCCCTTGGGATGTTCACAGTTGCTGCCGATGCAGGCTGACCTGCCACCACCCTCTCCCAGCCAGCTGGGCACCTGCAGCTCGCAGACATCGGCAGAAGTGCCCAGGAGCCGGGGCTGAGGTCACAGAAGAGACCCCGACTCGGAGGGGCGGAGGCCATGAGAGGGGTCCTTGGGTTTGCTCCTGGCCACCCCACCTGCCAAATCTCACCTACCTTTCTGGGTAGCCCTGAAGCCCCACTCTGAAAACCCTTCACGCCCTGGAGGAGGTGTCCCAACCCCTGCCCGTGGTGGCTGCAAGGTTGAGTAGGAGGATTGGTGGAAAGAAGCCCCTGCTCTCTGCAGACCCCGGGACCCGCCCTGCCACCCACGTGTGCCCAGGGCGTTCCTGAGCCAGTTAGCAAGTGCACAGAGAGATGACCTACAAGGCCTCGAGTGACTCAGACCACAGCTTCCGGCAGGATGGGCCCCTGCCCCACTGTGATTTGCACGTCTCACGTATGCCACAGGCAGTTTTCATGACCAGTGCATGCGGCGGTGTGAAACTTGGGCCCAAGAGAAAATCAAACCTGGAACTGCAGAAAATCAGGGGAAACTGAGAAAGCCGCCAGGACGGCAGCCCTGTGACCAGCAGGCAAGGCACATGGAGCAGCCCCAGCTCCCGACCCAGCTCAGAACACGGTGGCGTGAGGCGCTGAGGCCGGGAGGGAGACACGGGAACTGCCCAACACAGAGAGGAAACGGTGTGACTCGGCCCAATGGAGGCTCCAAGAATAAAACATGTGCTGAGAGCTAAGTCAGCTCGGAAAGATGCAAACATAGTCACGCTGCCCAGTCTCAGACACCTGGGCCCCACCTGGATGGGCACACCTAGATGGCCAAACCTAGGGCCCACCAAATGGGTACGTCTGCTCCCTCACCTGGATCTGCACACCTGGGCCCTCACCTGGATGGGCATTCCTGGGTCCCACCTGGATAGGCACACCTGGGCCCCACCTGGATGGGCACACCTGGAGCCCACCTGGATGGGTACATCTGCTCTCTCACCTGGATCTGCACACCCGGGCCCTCAACTGGATGGGCACTCCTGGGTCCCACCTGGATAGACACACCTGGGCCCCACCTGGATGGGGACACCTGGGCCCTCACCCGGATGGGCACTCCTGGGTTCCACCTGGATAGGCACACATGGGCCCTACTTGGATGGGGACACCCGGGCCCTCACCTGGATTTGCACACCTGAGCCCTCACCTGGTCAGGGAGGGACCCTGGGGTCCCACCTGGAAAACATCCCCAATGGTGCCTGCTGCAGCCACATCACTGGGGAATTTTGGGAACAAGTGTCATCGAGGGTCTGCGGGACAGGTCACGTCCAGGACCAGGAGGACTCAAGCACAGAGCACCTGGGCAGGCCCATGGCCTGTTGTGGTGATCTAAAGCTCAGAGCAGGGACCAGGCCGTGCACAGACACCAGGCAGCACGGAGGGCTCAAGTGCTTCGGGTGGGGCCTGGCTCTGTGCTTGCTGTGTGGGAGAGCCACAGGGCTGCCTCGGAGGCTGAAATTCATGCCTGAGGGTCTGAGTGTGGATCCCCAGGCGGAAGTGGCAGAGCAAGACCTCTGCCAGCGGCAGCAGACAGCAGGCCACAGGGAAGGGCAGCCACAGCAGAAGGGCCTCTCCCAAGAGGTCTCTGTCCTTCCTGGCAGAGGAAAGCAAAACCTCCCGCCAGCCCCCTGCCCCGGAAGGACCGGGCCAGTGCCGAGTGCCAGCTGGGTGCAGTGCATGAGAGGCTTGCAGGCGGGCACAGCCTGTGTCATCTGGAGCTGGGGCCAGGGTAGCACTGCCCGGGGCTGCCTCTGCCTCATGCTACCCACATGGATACAGTAGCTGGACCAGGAGTCCAGACCCCCACCCAAGGCCAGCTGCCAGCTTCTCCTGGGCAGCTTTCTGGGCCTAAGCTCAGTGAAAAGTTCAAGGGACCAGGAGGGCTCACTGGGTGGCACCCAGCTCCGAGGCTGCATCCCACAGTGGGACCCCAGTCAACGCACTCCCTGTGGGGTTCTGAAACAGAAGCAGAAGCAGGTCAGTGTTGAGGGGGGTTCTCAGCCAGCACCACCCACCCCAGCAAGAACCCGGCTCAGGGGGTCCCCTTCCAACCCAGAGGCCCTGACTGCGGCGGGGTCTGCTCCAGCTCCCTGCCCCTCCCCCCAAGGGCTGACGGAACCCCCAGACTAGCTCAGGAGTCTGGGAACCCACGCCTGCATCACAATGGAGCCAGGAGCCGGGGCCTCTGTGTCTGGCCACCCCAGCTGGGGCCGCTCCCTCGTCCAGCTGCAGTGTCCAGCCCACAGAGACCCGCCAGGGTCCGCTGTGTAGCCTAAGGTGAGCTGTATTTTGACTGCTCTCCTACCAGTCGCCGGGGTATCCCTTCTGGGGGCAGGTGGGCAGGGTGCTGACCCGAGGCGTGCGCAGGGCCCTCAGTGGACAGCTCCATCCGGGCATTGACCTGCCAGTGAGGTCCCTCTGCCCGCCCTGTCCCAGCTGTCTGCCAAGCCTCAGCACTGAGTGCTGGAGACCCATCCCTTGGACAGCTGCAGGAGTCGCAGGAGGGAAGCAGACCCTGGGCCCAGGTCACGAAGCAGGACAGAGGGCAGCCTCCAGGAGCTCCAGCAGGGCCTGGGGCTGGGATGGAGGGAGCGGGCAGGAGGTGCCTGAGCTCTGAGCAAGCCCCTGGGACACAAGGAGTGAGGTGCCTGAGTACCCCCGGAGTCAGGAACAGAATGCAACTAGGGCCTGCAAGTACACCTTCCACCTTTCTGGGCCCCCCAGAGCGAGGCTGGGGGGGCTGGGAGAGGGGGGAGAGGGGTCAAGGGTCAAGTGACTCTGAGGGTGAAGCCTGACACCCAGAAGGTTAGAAGGCTCCTTGGGGGCCCAGGCATATGCTGTGTGCCCACTCACTGCACACATACATGTGCACATGCTCACTGCACACGCGTGCACACTCACTGCATGCAGACACACACACGTGTGTGCACACTCACTGCACTTGTTCACATTCACTGCACACATGTGCACTCACTGCAATGGGACCACGCATGCACAGAGACACATGTGCACAGGTGTGCACATGCTTACCTAGCCACATGTGTGTGCATACACGAATCTGTGTGCACCCACACGTGTGCACAGATGTGTGCGCAGGTTCAGGAACGCACCCAGAGCTTCCTGGCTGCGCGCCTGCGCATTCAGCGTAGGGCCCACAGAGACACAGGCAGCGGCCTGGGCCCCCAGACCACCCAGAATTCCCCAGCACCTGCTTGCACAGAGGGCACGGGCCACCGCCGGCTCCCGAGTGGGCCCTGACCCCTGGCCAGGGCAGGTCCACGGCGCGGCAGCCCTGCGCGGACCGGGGTCAGCCCCACCCCCTGCGGAGCGCGGAGCTGCGTGGACAGGCTGTCAGGGACCTGGACCCGGGCTGGGCCGCGCGGGTCTGAGATGGGGAGAGGGCCCGGGCACCCCGGAGCCGCCCGCCCCCCGCCCCTCCAGCCCGGGCAGCCCCCCAGCCCTCAGCCGCGCGCTTTCCGGTGCAGAGCCGAGTGATGCGGGAGCCGGAGAGTCCGGAGGGAACGCCGGAGCTGGCCCGCCGCTGGGGGCAGAAGCGCCGGGGCCTGCTGGAGGCGGCGCTGCTGCTGCTGCTGCTGCTGGCGGCGGGCGCGCTGCTGGGCCTGGGCCTCCGGCTCGCGCGCGGCAGAGGTGAGTGCGCCCCGCGGGCCCGCAGGAGGGGCTGGGCGGGAGGAGGCGGCACCCGCGGGCGGGGTCCCGCCCCGCGCCAGGGCCCCGCCGAGGCCCCTCGCGGCGCCTGCGCTGCAGACAGGCTGTAGGGGCGGGAGGGGGAGGGGGAGAGACGCCCCCACCCAGCCCTGAACCCCTCCCGGCTGGGTACCAGGAGGGCGTCTGTCCAGCGCCGACCTCTGCGCACGGGGCAGGGGAGGGTCGGCAGGGATGGGGGTGCTGCGTTCTCACCACCCCTCTCCCCTCCACACACACGCACAGCCACCTTTGCTGCTAGAACCTCCCTGAACGATGGACCCCTGAGAGATGAGAGCATCCCCAGGGCAGCTCCCCCAGCCCTGGCACTGTGATCTGCCCCCTCCTGGCTGGGTGCTGCCAACTCCCTAGGCAGAGTCTGGGCGAGGGCCACTGCCTGGCAGAGAGATCCCCAGCACCCAACCCCGAACCCCAGCATCCCCTGGAACCCAGCCCCTGGGGAACCTCTGTCCAGGACTGCTGACCCCTGGGTTTGGCCCCGCGTCCCAAGGGGCTGGAAGTGACATTCCGGGGGCAGGAAGCACACAACAGGAGGAACCCTCTAAGCCCAGCCACTCTCCACCTGCACCCAGGCCCCCAGACAGTGGCTAAGCATTTCTCCTCTCGCCACTTTTTAATCAACGCTGCTTTTGACCCTCTTCGCATCTGCATGCAGTGGTTCTGAAGCCCTTCCCGATTTCCGGGTGCTCTGAGGTACTTGGCTTCCCTTCCCAGCACCGTTACCGGAATCTGCTTGTGCTTTCAACTCTGGTCTCCTCGGAGGGTGGAGTTAGTACTGAAGCAGGTTTCTAATGATAACTAAGGCAGGGGTATTTGCGGAGCTTCTGTGTCAGGGGACAGTGGGACAGACACAGGTGGCTGACACAGAGCCTTCCCCCAACACCATGGTCTGAATTCTTCATCATTGTCTTCCTCATCTTTCAGTTCTTAGTAAAGTGCAATTCATTCCTGGGGCTGAAGAGATAGTCCAGCAGGGAGGGCACTCGCCTTGCACATAGGTGACCCAGTTCGACCCCCGCCTCCCATAGGGAGCCCTGAGCACCACCAGAAGTGATTCTTGAGTGCAGATGCAGCTGCCTCAGGAGTCAGCCTGATGCTCAGTTACTCTAGGGCATGTGGTGGGAGGCTGGGCGTGGCCCATAGCTTGCGAAGGGCCCACGGGAACCCGTCCTCCTTGGGGGACTGGCCAGCTGAGCCAAGTTCAAAGGCGAGTGGGAACGGGCCAGGCCTCATGAGGCCTACCCTCCTCATTCCATGGGCCACAGAATCCCAGAAGGGTTGGTCCCAGGGCAAGGGTGCAGGGGAGAGTTGGGGCTGGCCTCGAGGGCCCATCTCCCATACCACCCACCTCTACTCCATCAGTCCCCCTAGGTAAGCCCAAGCAGAGACGCTGTACTGTCATGCACAGCCACTGGTGGGCACTGTGCCGTGCCGATCACCCCGCCACACTCACACACTCACACACACATGCACGCACATGCACACACACACACATGCGCACACACACACACATTTTCCACACTTACACACATTCACATGCACGCACACACGCGCACACACGCGCACACACACTGGGCAGGGCACTTTCCTCCTCAAGCTGCAGATTACTTTCTATCAGCTGGCCTGGGCCATGTCTGCTGGGATCACCGCCAATTAATTTCTCAGTTTCCTTGACACCATGGCCTCACACAGCCACAGCAGCCAAGCAGACATCCCCCAGGGCCCTCGGCTGCGCTCTATCAGGCAAAGCTTCTCCGGCTTCTTACCTGAGCGTGGGGAGGAAGTGGCCCGCGGAAATTAAGGCCACATTTAGGAAATTAAGGCCACGTTTAGAAGGGAGGCAGAGAGCGGCCAGCGCCAGACTCAAGAAGCCCTTCCCACAAGGGGGCTGGTGCTAAGGGGCTGCAGAGGGCCACCCCTCTGGAGCCTGCGGGCGACACTGTGTCTCTGCCACGCTGGTCCTGCTGTTCTGCCTTTCTGGCTCTGAACATCTGGAATGAGCCATGTCACTTGCTGTGCCTCTGCCCAGGGGTGAGTGAGATTGAGGGCCGCCCGGGGTTCCTAGGGTAATGATACAAGACGGAGATGCAGAAAAACATGAGCAGTCTCTGGGGCCTCGGGGCCAGCACCCTGGGAGCAGCCTCGGAGCCGTGGGTCCTTGGAGTCCAGCAGGAAACTTCCACAGACGCAGGGAGTTCTGTCCTTGCTCGCTTGAACACAGACCACGGGCTGGGCCCAAAGCGGCCTCCTCCTCATTCTCTCCACCCCTCCGTGCCACCCGCCAGTCCTGGGTTGCCCCCAGCCTCAAGTCCTCTGAGTGGGAACAGGTGTGTGGTTCCGTGGAAGGTCTTACTTCACATTCTGTGTTTCTACCTGCTCTGTGGAGATGTTGTAGGTGGACCGCTGACCGCGATGCTGGGTCCTTCCCCACCACCCCGAGTCCCGCGTCCGTGGAAAGTTACTATCACTCTTGCTGCTGGTCTCTGAATGTCTTTGTCCCTGCACCATCCTTCTGTCCCTGCATCTGTTAAGGCTCTCCTCGCCTCCCCATCACTTTGACTGGACACCGAGCGGTTCAGTGATTCTGTCCATCACCGGACACAGACTATGCAGTTGATCTTCGCCTCATCTGGCCCACGTGCCTCTCCTTTGGGACTCAGCCATGCAGAGTCACTCCCAATCCCACACCACTCCATTCCTGACCCACTGTCCTGTTCATTCGATTTAAATACTCCCACGCTCGAGCAGACTCAGCAAGGGTTGCTGCAGAGATAGGAGAGGTTAGCTGTCCCTTCTGGTCCACTCAAGACCCCAGGTGAGGCTCTGGGCACCCCATACCTCCTGCATCTGCCACGTTGTTTCTTTCCATGCACATTTGTCATCGTTTGATTTTTTTTTTTTTTTTTGCTTACACTCGGCCATACACAGGAGTTACTCCTGGCTTTGCACTCAGGAATTACTCCTGGCGGTGCTCAGAGAGCCATATGGGATACTGGGAATTGAACCCGAGTCGGCCGCGTGCAAGGCAAATGCCCTACCTGCTGTGCTATCGCCCCAGCCCCCTTCCTGGTTTGATTTCTAAATTAAACAGAGGAAGAGACAAACAGCAGTAGGTCCCTGTGAGCAGGGCAAGCTCAGCGCTGTGCTGATCTAGACCAGGGTCCGTGTCTGTGAGCCTGAAGTGCCCTCTGCTCCAGGGAACATTTTTAGAGCACACTTGGCCTGGCGAACAGGGGGTGGGTACAACAGTCCTGCGTCCCCGTGTGCCCACACCACATTTCCGTTACTAACAGCCTGTGCGTGTGATAGTTTCAAGCAATAAACGAGCCCAGCACTACCTCAGTCTCACTGGATTCCTGCGTCTCACGTCCCCCTCGTGTCCTCATTCTGTCTATGGCCCCCAGGGACATCAGATTGGCAAATTGGCAAGTCCTCTTAAGCGCCTCCTGGCTGCAGCCTCCCCTGAGTCTCGCCTTGTTTTCGTGCCATCTCAATCAGCCTGAGAGTGTGTGTTCTGAGACCGTCTTCGCGGGTCTGTGTCGGGAGTTGGGGCTGCTTGACGGGAGGGAGGACCGTGTACTTCCATGACTGACTGCTGCCGTTGGCAGTCCCAAGGTGTGAGGGCAGGTCGGTCCTGTCACCATGCCTGTCACCACATTCCCATCATCCCCCTGTCCTCCTTGGAAGGAAGTTGCCGCCTCCCCCTCCCTCCCTGCATGCCCGTCTGGCCCCAGCTCTGCCACCATCCCCGCTGCTCTGTTTTTTTTTTTTTTTGGGGTCACACCGGGCGATGCTCAGGGTTATTCCTGGCTCTGCAGTCAGGAATTACTCCTGGCGGTGCGCAGGGAACCATATGGGATGCTGGGAATCGAACCTAGGTTGGCTACGTGCAAGGCAAACGCCCTACCCACTGTACTATAGCTCTAGCCCCTCTGCCTGTGGTTTGGCCAGGTTGCCCCTGAATCTTGGGCCCCACGGTTTCTCAGTCGCTTGGAAATACACGTCACATTCACTCAGGCCTTTTGCGACTCAATAGCTTCTTTGGTTGCTGAAAGAGAATTCTGACTGCATAGGTGTCATCACCAGTGCCACCACATCTCTTACAGGACCTCATCCTCTCTCTGCTCCCTTCCGTCATGAGGAATGCTCTTAGAAACGCTGACCATCAGCTTTGTGTGTTGACGGGACACTCTTGGGAGCGGAGTTGCTGGTGCAGACTGGAAGACTGTGCTTGGTTTGTAAGAAAATGTCGAACTGTGTCACCTCTGCACCGAACACCCAGGCAGGGACAGGGGATGAGCTGGCTGTCTTGCTGAGACAGCCTCCTCACAGAGTACCCCAGTGTCTCCTCTGTCACAGTGCCATCCCCTTTCTTGCCCTTTTGCTCACCAGCACGTCTGTTTTCCATTCTTGGTGGACTCGGGAGTCCATGCTCTCCCAGAGGCGCGTTTTTCGGTGATTTTCTCCCCAAAGTTTGTGGTTGATTTATGTAGTCACATGTCTTCCACGGAGCCAGAACTTCCCAAATTAAGTCTAACATGAATTTTCCTTCTCTGGGGAGCACAGCATTTGCCTTTGAGTCTAAGAGTCACCCCCAGGGCTGGAGAGAGCACAAAGTACACGCTCTCTGACCACGGGGGCTTGGGGTCCCGGAGCTGCTTCCCCGCGCCACACTCCGGGGCCCCTGTGTGTGGCCAACAGCGAACACAACTACACATCATCAGGTCCCACCAGAGAGCTTCGCCACTTTGCAGACTGCGTGTGGGGTCCCTGGGGCTCATCTCCGCGGCAGGCGTAAGCACCGGTCTTATCTCTGGGATCCCTTTTAGAGTGTTTATGGGGGCACGGCCCTTTCTCCACCAGACTGTTCAGGGCAAGGGCACACACCAGGCCGGGGGTCTGTTCCGGGCGCGGCTCTACGGGATCTTGGCAGCCCTTCTTTGGCTGTCACCCCTCCCCACTCACTGGGGTGGAGTCTCCCAGTTCCGTCTTCCTTGTTGTTGCGTTCCTGATGGCCTTGGCCTCTTGGTTCAGACTAGAATCAGCTGCCAAAGGTATACTGGCGACTGACCCTCCATCGAGTGAGGAGAGTTGCATTGGAACTACTGCCCGAACCCGTGACCAGATCTCCATGTATTGATCTTTTTGACTGTTTGGTCCATGTTCTGTAGCTTCATGTGTATGTGTGGACTTAATGGGGTTCACGCCAGCTTTCTCATTTCAGGAGCTTAGAAGGAAAGCACCTCCCATGGGGGTTTTGGGGGCAGGGAGTTGTTGGGGGACAGTGGGAGGGAAATAGGGGACATTGGTGGTAGGAAATTACACTGGTGGAGGGATGGGTGCTGGGTCATTGTATGCCTGAAACCCGATCATGAGCAGCTTTGTAATGATCTATCCCATGGATGTTCAATTTAAAATTTTTTTAAAATAATATGGAGTTCATGCCACTTCAATCAGCTTAATCAGTAGCACTGTAGCATTGTCCTCCTGTTGTTCATTGATTTGCTCGAGTGGGCACCAGTAACGTCTCCATTGTGAGACTTGTTACTGTTTTTGGCATATTGAATACACCACAGGGAGCTTGCCAGGCTCTGCCGTGCGGGTGGGATACTCTCGGTAACTTGCCGGGCTCTCTGAGAGAGACAAAGAAATTGAACCTGGGTCGGCCGCGTGCAAAGCAAACGCCCTACCCGCTGTGCCATTGATCCAGCACTGTGCTATTGCTCCTGCTTAATCAGTAGCTGAATAAACAGCAGGATTCCTATATAAAAAAAAAAGTATTGCTCTTTTCCCTTGAGCTCCCGAGGTCCCCACTGAGCTGCAGGAAGTCCACCCGCTGCCCTTCCTTCCTATTCCTTTGCTCTGTCCTCTCGGTGCTCAGGAGCATGCTTGCTTCCTGGAGGTTTCTGCAGTGCTGTCAGCAGCCAGGTTTCCTCTGTCCCACCCATCCGGGTCTCCTCCTGGCCTTCTGGTCTTGATGACCTGGAGGACCTCAGGGAAGGACCCAGCATCCTGCCTGGCTCTGCTTACCACCAGCTCCGACGCTGTCCCGGGGCTTCCTCTCCAACCTCTGTGCTCTGGCTCCAGCTCCCGGGGCTGACTTGGTGCCCGTGTCCCACAGCCAGGCCTTCCCTCCATGCTGTTGCATCTGCACTCATGTCAGGGGGGTACCTGGTACTCCCGCCACAGTGTGCCGATGTTTCTATCTCTGCCCCAAGCCTGCGAGGAGTCATGGTGCTTCCCAGGCTGGCCCACTGGCCTTGCATCGGCCGACTCCACCTCTCGGGCCACTTGATTCTGCCTTCAGGGCACAATTGCTGTGCCTGCCTCTCTTCCCGCCCAGCCCTACCTCCAGACACCGTGGACTGGAGCATCAAGGGCTGGGCCAGGGCTTCAGGGAGGACCTCTCCGGGAAGACTCCTTCCCGCCCTCCCGAGAGCCCTCAGCTTCTGCTGGCTTCTTGGGGGTTTCAGGAAGCCTCTCTGGCGCGTTCTCCTGGGGCTCTTGCATCCTGGGCAGGCGCAGACACCCCCTGCCCTTTGGCCAGAGCCCAGGCATCCTCAAGGTGTGGTGTTCACTGGGGAAGACCCAGGTGTGAGCTGAACAGGCAGAGACTCATTTCTGCACCTCACTGCGGGCTGAAGCCTCGGTGCACCTAGGGGTGCTGACGGTGGGGCGGAGGGGGCTGCGTCAGACCCTCAGTTTCCCCAGTGCTCACGCCGGGTACCCCTGTGAGCAGATGCTGACAGAGCAACGGCAGCAGGTAGGCACACTCGCTTCGTGCTTCCAGCACTCATGCCCTCCCTCCCGGCAGGGGGCCCAGCCCAGCACTGGATGGGGACTCTGGCTCTGTGCCTGGCTGAACCAGAGCCCGTGCTGTCCACAGCCCAGGTGGGATAAAGCTGTCCTTGCCCTCAGCCTCAAGCACGCCCACGGGAATGCCGGCTGGGACAAGGTGTCAGGGCGGCCAGGGTGCCCGTCTACAGCCCCCAGGGGGCCCAGATGAGCCCTGTGCACACAGGAGCTACACCTTGAGTAGACAGCAGCGGGGAGGATGGTGCTGAGGGGAACGTCTCAGCAACGTTAGGCCCCCACCAGCCTGTCTCCCTGATGAGGACGTCAGGAGTGGTCTCGGGCAGGGGCCTGCTCAGCCGGGACCCCAGCACGGCCAGGAGTGGCAGTGCTGGAGCCCAGAGCTGAGTGCTGTGTCTCTCCCCAGAGAGGCCGCTGACCCTCTCTCCTAGCTGGCTTTCCTTCTCGCAGGAAGAGAGGACCGTGGTAAAGCGCAGAGCCCGAGGTAGCTTTCCCTCTGGGGCCCGACCTTCTGGAGTGGGGCTGGGCGGTGACCACAGGTGCAGTGGGCAGACAGGGACCCAGACCAGCCTGCCCGAGGCGGATGCTGAGCACGGCCCCTGCTTGCACAGGGCAGGTGTGCTGCCTGGACCCTGACAGGTCCAGAGCTGCACAGACAGGAGTGCAGAATAACCATCTCTGTCCTGGAGGCCTGGGGCAGCTCAGGAAGTTGGGAGGCGGGTATGAGAGGGTCCCAGGTTCCTCAAGGTTCAAGCAGGAACCAGGCTCACACCCAGGGTGGAAGCTGGCTGACTCCAGCTACCCTGGGGCTCCCCTGCTGGGGGTGGAGGGGGAAGGGGGGTGGAGGCCAGTCACAGTCCTCCTTAGCACCCCCCACCGGCCTGTGCACCGCCCTACCCAGCGCACCCAGTCCGCCCACCCCCTTGGCCCTTCCCACCCCACTTGACCCGCCCACCTCCACTTGGCCATGCCCACCCGTTTGGCCCGCCCACACCACTTGGCCTGCCCAACCCACTTGGCCACGCCCACTCATTGACACCACCCGGCCAGTTGGCTCCGCCTGCTCTCACTTGGCCACACCCACCCACTGGACCCTGCCCAGCCGCACCACCCGCTCACCCATTCCTTGCCCACAGCTGTCAAAGACCTGAAGAGCGATGTGGGAGAAATCTGCACCACCCGGGGCTGTGTGCTGGCAGGTAAGCCTCTCCCTACCGCACTGCCCACCCCCTCGCCCCCACAGCCTTGATGAGGCCAAAGTTCCCAGCCCCCCCCAACCTCAGCTCCTCCCACTCCCAGGAGCAGGAGCTCGGTAGGATCTGGGGCTGTTCGCAGTGATGCCCACAGTCCTGGCCAGACTGCCCTTTCCGCCCAGGGCCGCACACGGAGGCCTTCCCACCTTCCCGCACACAGTGGAAGTGGCGAAATCCTGGGTGGGTCCTAGCCTGGCCCCCTCATCTTAAAGCGCTCAGCTGCCCCAGGATCCCCGAGCATTCCTGGGAGAAGTCATCCCATCCCACAGGAAACAGCACCCCCTGCATAAGAGCACCTCCAAGGACAGGGTGCTGAGTGACCAGCCCGAGCACCTGAGTGAGCCCAGGCCTTGGTCCACTGAACCACAACCTCGCAGATTTACAGAGGAGGAACTGGGTGGGGGAGGGGGAGGGGGCCTGGGGTGGAGGGTGGCTAAGAAGTGGCAGCCCCAGGACGAGGACCCAGCTGGGATTGACTGTCCACCCACATGCGGCACCCCTGACTAAGTGTCCCCACTTCCTCCTGCCCCTGAGCAGCGGCCAGAATCCTCCAGAACATGGACCAGACCCAGGAACCGTGTGACGATTTCTACCAGTACGCCTGTGGGGGCTGGCTGAGGCACCACGTGATCCCCGAGACAAACTCCCGCTACAGCGTGTTCGACATTCTACGGGACAAGCTGGAAGTCATCCTCAAAGGTAGCCGCAGCATGCCTAGCCCTGGGCCGCCTGGGCACTGGAGGGACCCCCAAAGAGGCGCCCAGAGCTGAGGGGAGGGCTGGGGTCCAGTGACCGTTTGCCAGAGAACAGGACTTCTCTCCAGCTGTTCCTCGCCCGCAGGGGTGCTGGAGAACTCCACGACCGAGGACAGGCCAGCCATTCAGAAGGCCAAGACGCTGTACCGCTCCTGCATGAACGAGAGTGAGTGTCCCGGAGGGGCCACCCACTCACCCTCAGCTCCCGCCTCAGCCTGGGCCGCGTCCCACCTGGCCCCTGGCATAGACCTGCCACGGCTGCACTGACCCAACTCAGCCATTCTCAGGGCAGACAGAAGACAGCGTGAGGCTGCCTGGGAGTGTGCATGTGTGTGACTGTGCACATGTAATTGTGTGTGCGTGTCTATGTATATGTCTGTGAGTACATGTGTGATGCATGCATGCATATGTGTTCACACATGTCTTAGGTTTTTATGTGTGAGGTGCATCTACTTCGTGTATATACATGTGCATTATATGTGTGACCTTATATGTGTATTATGCGTGCACGGGTATGTGTGGTACAGATGCATATGTGTGCATTTTGCGTATATATGTTTACATATATGCGTGCTATCTGTGTGTGCGTATTTGTATTGTGTATGCATATGTCAATATTACTGTGCATCATATGATGTACACATGTGTACTGTACATGAGCTGCATAGGTGTGTGATATCGTGTCCCATGCATGTGGAGTACACTTACACATACATACATACACTGTGCCCATTCACCAAGTCTTTTTTGTATGTATGTGCATGTGTACATTGTGTGTATCGTGTGGGTTGTGTTATGCTTATAATATGTGCATGTGTACTATTCATGTATGTGCACTGTACATGTATGTGTGTTGTGTGTGATATGCACGTGTTATGTCGTGTGTGTATGTATGAGTATCTTGTGTGTGCATTACATTGTGTGGTGTGTAGCTTGTGTTTTGTGTGTGTACACCTATCTGTGTGTTGTATCTATGTGCATGCATGTGTATCTTGTGTTATAATTATTTGTGTGCATTTGTATTGTATGTGCGTATACACTGGTATGTGTGCATATGTATGTATGTCGGTGTTTTGCAGGATTTCTGTGTATTTAGGTCCCTACCTAGTTAGGGAGCTAAACCTTGCAAACTTGGGGACTCTCCTTCCTACTGCCCCATAGTCTGACTTAGGGGCTTCCCCTCCCTGTGATCAATCGCTCTGGGGAACACTTGTTTCTTCAGAGTAAGGTTCAGGGGGCTGTTTTCCTGTAAGTGTAAACAATGTGTTCTAGTGTACCTGAGCACTGAGCTTGCTGGGACCCAGCTTTGTGGGGGAGTCTCCGTGAGACCCTGGACCCAGGGGCCTATGCGGGTCCCTGACCTGTTGGAAGCTACAGGCCAGTTCATACCTGTGGCTGGTCCCCATTTGAAGGCAAAGGCCGGATCCCCACTCTTCGTCGCATTTTGGTCCTGAGAGCCAAAGCAGGTCAGGGTGAGGCCCAATGGAGCTCAGGCTTTGCCTGTGAAAGGCCCTAGATTTGATCCGGGCACCACACAGGTAAAATAGCTCTTGGTAGAAACCACGGCAGGCACTCAGGCCCCGCCCCTTCAGGCCCCGCCCACTTGGCAATCCACCCAGGCCGTGCAGCAGAGTTAGAACCCGGGCAGACCCTATCAGTTCCCCTCCCTGCGCCCCCACTGCACTTCCATCACCGTCTAGGTGAGCCCAGGAAGCCCTGTACCCCACCAACTCCTCAGCCTACGCCCCCCGTCCTCCCACCTTTGTCTGCTGCAATGCCTGCCCACTCTTGCCTTGGCAGCTGGCCTCGCTCTGGCCCCTGGGGCCTCATGTGCCGCACCCCACATGCGGTCTGCACCCCCTTCCCCTCTTACAAGTGGCCAACTGCTGAGCCTGGGGGCACTGCAGGGCTCCCCCTTCCTTGGCCCTGGTGCTGTCCCCCCCAGTCTCTCCTGCCCCTGAAGAGATCTCTCTGGAGGGTACCTCCGGAAGCCCCGCCTCCACCCCTGCCATCCCCCACCTTTGCCATCTCCTGCCCTGCTGTCCCAGCCAGCCCCCCCCCCCCCCCCCGTCCCTGCCCCGCCCTGCAGTCCCCACTGCTCCGCCCTCTGTGGCGGCCCTGGACACGCACGGCCTGTGGTTCCCTGTTCTGGTGGGTGACCAGGCCTCCCTCTCAGGCTTGATAGAGCAGCGAGACTCGCAGCCACTGCTGGACGTCATCCAAGAGGTGGGCGACTGGCCGGTGGCCACGGACAAGTGGAACGAATCCGTAGGTGAGGCCGTGAGCCCGTCTGCAACTTGGCCCTCGCCTCAAAGGGTGTTGCTCCTCCTGGGCCTGGGACCTCGCCCCTGCAGCCGCCCTCAGCCTCCCTGGTGACTGTTGGGGGACACTCCACACCAGCAGCCCCTGGGTCCGGGTCGGGAGGGGCAGGCCCGGCCTGCCACTCCAGCTGGGGTGCCGATCCCCAGAGCCCACCTGGGGGCTGGAGCAGCAGCTGGCGGTGCTGAACTCGCGGTTCAACCGGCGCGTCCTCATCGACCTCTTCATCTGGAATGACGACCAGAACTCCAGCCGCCACATCATCTACGTACGCACCAGTGGGAGGGCGGCGCTGACCTGGCAGGGCCACGGGGGTGGGGGACCCATCACCCACAGCGCTGATGGGTCTTGGCGTCATCCCTCCCTGGGGCCTGCTGCCCCCATAATTGCTCAGCGACCCCCTTGTCTCCAGATAGACCAGCCTGCCCTGGGCATGCCCACCCGAGAGTACTACTTCAGCGATGGCATCAACCAGAAGGTGAGGGGCCGCAGGGGGCCCGGGGCCTGGCAGGGAGGCCAGGGCCCACGGGAGCTGACGCCGCGTGCCCGGCGCAGGTGCGGGACGCTTACCTGCAGTTCATGATGTCGGTGGCCGCGATGCTGCGTGCGGACAGGAAGCTGCCTGAGGACAGCCGCCTGGTGGAGAGGGACATGGTGCAGGTGCTGATGCTGGAGACACAGCTGGCCAATGTGAGGAGACATGGGGGGCGGGCGGCCCCCCCCTCGACCCTGCACCCGTGACCTCCCCTCGCCCCCGCAGGCCACTGTCCCCCAGGAGGAGAGACATGATGTCACCACCCTGTACCACCGCATGGACCTGGAGCAGCTGCAGGACAGGTTCAACCTGAAGGTGAGGCCTGGCCCTGCCCCCAGGCCCACAAGGTGCCCACAACCCCCTCAGGCAATGGCCCTGCCAGGCTGGTCCCCCAGCCCCTCAGCACATGGCCCTCTGTTTTGCTGGTCCCCTGCATTCCATCCCAGCTGTCCTGAGCAGCAGGGGCCACCAGCAAGTCCCCGGGCCCCTGCCCAGTGGGTCACATGTGGACCCGTGGACCCTCAGGACTTAGGGGTGCTGGAGCCGTGGTGGGCAGTTCCTAGGGAGAGCCACTTCCCCAGGGCCAGGGAGGTGCTGGGTCCTCCTCGGTGAAGGTCTAGACATGGCCCTGCCATAGCCCTGTCCATCATGGGAGGTCCCAGAGGCATAGGGAAGAGTGAGGTGCCAGGGAGTGACTGGCACCTTGAGGCACACAGCCCTGGGCAGCTGCACATGGTGTCCACTCTGCTCTTGCTGCCCCTCACCCTGCCCGGGCCGGGGCCACAGTACCAGCGCTGGGACCACCCCAGGAATCAAGTTCCCATCTGCCCTCCGACTGCAAGTGTGTGATGTCTGTGACTGTGTGTGAGTGTGGCTGTGTCTGTATGGCATGAGTGGCTATGTCTGTGACTGTGTGTGCATGCGTTTGGTTGTGTCTGTATGGCAGTGAGTGGCTGTGTGTGTGTGAGGGTGTATGTGTGTGGCTGTGACTATGGCAGTGAGCGTCTGTTTGTGTGACTGTGCATGCATGTGACTGTGTCTGTATGGTATGAGTGGCTATGTGTGTGACTGTGCATGTGTGGCAGTTTCTGTATGGGAGTGAGCAGCTGTATGTGTGACTGCATGTGTGTGTCTGTGTATGGCAGTGAGCGGCTGTGTGTGATTGTGTGTGAGTGTGGCTGTGTCTGTATGGCATGAGCAGCTGTTTGTGTGACTGCATGCGTGTGGCTGTGTCTGTATGGCAGTGAGCGGCTGTGTGTGTGACTGTGCGTGTGTGGCTGTGTATGGCAGTGAGTGTCTGTGTCTGTGTGACTGTGCATGCATGTGACTGTGTCTGTATGGCATTGAGCGACTGTGTGTGTGACTGTGCATGTGTGTGGCTGTGTCTGTATGGCATTGAGCGACTGTGTGTGTGACTGTGCATGTGTGTGGCTGTGTCTGTGTGGCAGTGTGCGGCTGTTTCTGGGGCTCCTGGGGGCCTCGGGAACCTTGTGGCAGGAAGCTGTGGCCAGTCCCCCAGCAGGTTGCGTGGTCTCTGCACCTGGGGCCGGTGTGGCCGACTGTCCCCTGGCCCATGTGTCTGGCTGTGCCCTCACAGGCCCAGAGTGACTGACAGTTCCCTCGGTGCCTGACACCACCCTCCGCCCACACGTGGTCCTCTGTGGAAATGTTTTCTCCTCAAGGACACAGTGACTGTGTCCTCAGCAGGGCCTTGGTCCTGGCCCGGTGTCTGTGTGTCTGTGCATCTGTGTGGGTGGGGGCAAGAACCCTGAGGAATTGAACCCATCTCTAGCCGCTAACTCGGAGTCTGTCTGCGTCTCCTATAATTGTGGGTGTCTGCTATCTATTGGAGGAACTCTGGATTTTCGCATTTCAAGTAGCTTAAGCCCTGTGGAATCCTGGCTGTGACTCAGCCAGTGTGTTCTTGTGGGCGTAGAGGGCACTAACTTGTCCGAGGCCAGAGCTGCCAGGGCCTCTTGGCTGCCAGTTTGTCAAACCAGCATGGGCCAGTTGCATGGGGGGTTTCTCCTGCTATTATCTTCCCCTCTGCCTTGCTGGGCATGACTAGGACTGGCCTGTCTCTTCCGGCCCCCTGGGCCGGCCCTGCCGAGTGTCCCAGTGGCCAGTGTTCACGGCAAGGACTTGCTTGCTCACAGTGAGCCTGTTTGTTCATTTCCATGCCGTCCTGCCGGCCGGAGTTGGCAGGATCTCAGGCCGATGCCATCTCTGCTCTGGACCAAGCAGGGATGGGGCTGTGTGTCCACCCACGCTCTGTCCCCCACTCTGCCCTGTGCTAGGGGTTCAACTGGACGCTCTTCATAAGGATGGTGCTGTCCTCTGCCAATATCCCGCTGCTGCCCGACGAGCAGGTGGTGGTGTATGGAGTGCCCTACCTGCAGAGCCTGGAGGACATCATCGACACCTTCTCAGCCAGGTGAGGCGAGTCTCTCAGCCCCTCGCTCTAGCCCAGCAGGGAGCTGCCGCCTGGGCGCCTGGGTGCGCCCCGGCTGTGTGGCTCCCGCCTGCGCCCGCCCGCAGGACCCTGCAGAACTACCTGGTCTGGCGCCTGATTCTCGACCGTATCAGCAGCCTGAGCCAAAGGTTCAGGGATGCCCGTGCCAACTACCGCAAGGTGAGCGCGGGAGAGGCCCCTGGGGGACACCCTGGCAGAGATGGTTCCAGCAGGGCCCTAGTCATGGGGGGAGGGACAGCAAGTCAGGACGGAGACCCGGCCAGGCAAGCCATGTCCACTGCACCATGTCCCTAGGCAGAGTCCTGGTCATACCCTCCAGCCCCCATGCCCACCAGCACATGTCCTTCCCCACTCCGGCAATGGGTCCAAAGGTCAGGTGACCCCAGCAAAGCTGGGATGAGTGCCGGGCTGGGGTCCGGCCAGAGCCCTCCAGGCAGGTCCAGCCAGAGAGCCAGGAGGAGCTGGGCTGTGGCCGCCTCCACCTCTGGTCTGAATGTCCCCTCAAGCTGGGTCAGGCCCCATGCCCTGACCGAGGGGGCAGAGACACTGCTCGGTGGAGAGCCAGATAAACGGGAGAGCGGGCAGCTGCCCGGGCTGGTGGGCAAGCGGTGCTGGCCGCAGGTGAGCGTCTGGCCCGCAGACACTGTACGGCACCACCGTGGAGGAGGTGCGTTGGCGGGAGTGCGTCAGCTACGTCAACAGCAACATGGAGAGCGCCGTGGGTTCCCTCTACGTCCAGCAGGCCTTTCCAGAAGAGAGCAAAAGAGCGGTGGGTGCCCCAGCCCCCGGCAGCATGAGTCCCCCCGTCACACACAGGGCACCTGGAAAAGGGACAAAGGGTACACGAGTCAGTGCACCTGTAAGCACAGATGTGAATGCAATGAGCCACAGGTGTGAGCACGGGTGTGAGTCTGATGTAGGTGCAATAAGTATAGGTGTGAGTGCAAGTGTGAACACAGGTGTGAGTGCAGGTGTGAGCACAGGTGTGAGTGCAGGTGTGAGCACGGGTATGAGTGCAGGTGTGAGCGCAGGTGTGAGCGCAGGTGTGAGCACAGGTGTGAGCACAGGTGTAGGTCCAATAAGTATAGATGTGAGTGCAGGTATGAGCGCAACAATGAGGGCAGGTGTGAGGGCAGGTATAAGCACAGATGTAGATGCAATAAGTGCTGTTGTGCTGGTGTGAACGCAGGTGTGAGGGCAGGTGTGAGCAAAGGTGTGAGCAAAGGTGTGACTGCAGCTGTGAGTGCAGGTGTGGGTGCAAGTGTGGGTGCAGATGTGGGCGCAGGTATGAGTGTAGGTGTGAGGGGAGGTGTGGGTGCAGGTGTGAGCACAGGTATGAATGCAGGTGTGAGCACAGATGTGAGGGCAGGTGTGAGGGCAGGTGTGGGTGCAGGTATAGGCACAGGTGTGAGCGTAGGTGTGAGCGCAGGTGTAAGCACAGCTAGTGCAGCAAGTACAGATGGGTGGAGGGTGGGCACAGCAGGGTGCTCTGGATCACAGCAGTCCCTGCAGGTCCCCGGCAGCTCTCGCTCCCCAGGTGCACGAGCTCATTGACAAGGTGCGGGCAGTGTTCGTGGAGACTCTGGACGAGCTGGGCTGGATGGACGAGGAGTCCAAGGACAAAGCCCGCGAAAAGGTCAGGGCAGGGCCAGGGGCTTTCATCCCCTCCCCTACTTGGGAGACAAGGACAGCAGTTGAGTGGCACTCAGGGTGGCACTGGGCAGAGGGAGTGGATTCGAGGGGGAGGCTGGCCACAGCCCGGAGCCACCACGCCCTGCCCCGAGGCACCAGCCTGGCCCCTGAGCTCTGCAGCGGCCTCGGGGCAAAGCCTGCTAGGGTATGCTCCCCTTTGGCCTCTCAGAGCCCTGGCAAGGGGAACAGTGTGCAGGGCCAGCCCAGGAGTGCACGGGAGGCCCAGAGCAGCGTCTCCCCGCAGGCCATCAACATCGGGGAGCAGATCGGCTATCCCGAGTACATTCTGGACAAGTCCAACAAGCACCTGGATGAGGAGTATTCCAATGTGCGTCCTCACGCTCCTGGGCGCGCTCCCTCAGCCCGGGGACCTGGGGGGGTCAGTCCCACAGCTACGGGCAAGGAAGCGGCCCCTTTGCAGAGGCAGGGCTGCCCAGCCCCTAGCCCTGTTCCCCTCACCCCGCTGTGACTGCCCTCTCCACAGCTGAACTTCTCTGAGGAGCTGTACTTTGAAAACGGGCTACAGAACCTCCAGGCCAGTGCCCAGAGGAGCCTGAAGAAGCTTCGGGAGAAGGTGGACCAGAATGTGTGAGTGGGCAGCCGGGGACCGGCTGGGTGAGAGGGCAGTCTGGGCGCCAGAGTCTGGGGTCCAAGGGCCGGAACTGGGGGCAGGCGGCAGGGAGGGCCCAGCAGGGCTGCAGATGCTCAGGGCTTATCTCAAGCCTGCCCGGAGAAGCCCAGACGATCCCTGGTGTTTCCCAGCTGGATCATCGGGGCCGCCGTGGTCAACGCCTTCTACTCCCCAAACCGGAACCAGATTGGTGCGTGCACCCTCCGGGGCCCCCCGCCTCTGAGAAGGGGCATCCTGGCTCCCCGTGCCCGGGGCCCCCGCGATGGTGGGGAGGGCTGGCCTCTCCCAGCCCGTCCCGGGCACTGACCCCCCTGCCCCACAGTGTTCCCCGCCGGCATCCTCCAGCCCCCCTTCTTCAGCAAGGAGCAGCCACAGGCCCTGAACTTCGGGGGCATTGGGATGGTGATCGGGCACGAGATCACCCACGGCTTTGACGACAACGGTAGGGTTGGACTGGATGCACCCCCAGCCCAGGGGAGGCTCCAGGGGCTGCCAAGGGTCTGGGCGGTGCTTCGGGCCCCTGTTTAGGTCGACCCAGGCCTGCAGGAAGGAGCCATGAGGGGCCCCGCACTCCAGGGAGGGCTGGAGGGGCCCGTGGGGTGGGCGGCCAGGGGTGCCAGCCGCAGGTCAGGCTCAGGGGGTGCTGCAGGTACGCCAAGCCCTTCTCTCCTAGGTGAGGGCTGGACCCCTGGAGGTGGGCGCGGGCAACCCACGGCCCCCTCCTTGCAGGCCGCAACTTCGACAAGGACGGAAACATGCTGGACTGGTGGAGCGACTTCTCGGCCCGCCACTTCCGCAAGCAGTCGGAGTGCATGGTGCACCAGTACGGGAACTTCTCCTGGGACCTGGCCGAGCAGCAGAGCGTGAGCCAGACCCGCCTGGACCACAGCCGGCGGGGACACAGCCAGAGGGGACACACAGCCAGAGGGGACATTCAGCCCAGTGAGGGGGACACAGCTAGAGGGGACATGGAGCCCAGTGAGGGGACACGCCCAGCAGGGGACACAGCTCAGACCAACGGGGTGGACACTGGGCGCAGTGGGGGGACTCGGCCCAGCGGGACGGCAGTGGTCAGCGGGGCCTCGGTGCTCACTCAGGCCCCCCCCCAGGTGAACGGGCTCAGCACGCTCGGGGAGAACATCGCCGACAATGGAGGGGTGCGGCAGGCCTACAAGGTGGGTCCCGGCCCCTGCCATATGCCAGGGCCCAGCTCCGGCCACAGGATGGTGGCAGTGTCCTGGGGGCCGGAGTGGGGGCGCACGGGCATGTCCACATTTGCTCTGACTGGGCAACCCCTGCCCATCTGCTGCCGAGGCAGCACCAGGCCCCCAGACCTCAGCTCTGCCAGGAGTCCAGCCCGGCCGCCCAGAACACATTCAATGGGCCACTGAGTCACCAGCAGTAGGCGAGGGTCTCCCAGCTGCAGAGGAGGACCCCAAGGGAGGAGGGCACTGCACTTGTGGCGGAGTGTCCAGCACAAGGCCACCTCTGTCCACAGGCGTATCTCAAGTGGATTTCCGAGGGCGGCAAAGACCAGCAACTGCCTGGGCTGGCACTCACCTACGACCAGCTGTTCTTCATCAACTACGCCCAGGTGGGCCCTGCCCAGCCCTGCCCAGCACCCCATGCCAGCTTTGGGGAGGGGGCAGGCCAGCGGGGGAGAAGGGCCGGCGCCCCCTGCCCCAGCCACCCGTTCCCGCAGGTGTGGTGCGGCTCCTACCGGCCCGAGTTTGCCATCCAGTCCATCAAGACTGACGTGCACAGCCCCCTGAAGTACCGGCAAGTGGCCCCCACCCTCCCATGCCCCGCCCTCCCAGCCCCACCCCACCCTCCCGTGCCCAGCCTGCTCAGCCCCGCCCCCGACTCCCGTGTTCCGCCACCCCGCCGGCTCAGCCCCTCCCCACGCCCACCCAGCCCCGCCCTCTCGGCCCCGCCCCCGCACATCAAGCCCCGTCCCTGCCCTTCAAGCCCCGCCCCCACCTTCCAGCCACCCCCCCCCAGCCACTCTCCCCAATGCCCACCCTCCCAGCCCCGCCCCCGCCCGCTCAGCCCCGCTCCTGCCCTCCCAGCCTCGCCTCTGCCCTCCCAACCCAGCCCCCGCCCTCCCATGCCCCCGCCCTCCCAGCCCTGCCCCCGCCCTCCTGTGCTCGCTAGCTCAGCCACTCTCCCTCAGGGTGCTGGGCTCACTGCAGAACCTGGCCGCCTTCTCCGAAGCCTTCCAGTGCGCCCAGGGCACCCCCATGCACCCGGAGGACCGCTGCCGTGTCTGGTAGTCAAGGCCACGCGCATCGGCCCCCACTGCACCCCACCATGGACCAGGTGGCCAGCCTGCTCGGCGCCCCTGACCGCCACGGACCCCCGCGCCCTGGAGCGGACGGGGGCGTCTGCCCGGCCGCGCAGCCCGGACGTGCCTCCCGCCCCTCTGCGCAAACGCTCAGCGCCCAGAGCTTCCACTGAGTCAAGTAAAACTTTCAAACAGTCTCCTGCCTGTCTGTGTTCGGGGGTCCCGGTCGTGGGGAGGGAGGGGCTCTGGGCTCTGTCTCCTGCCAGGTCCCCCTCAGAAGCTTCCTGGAGGCGGGCAGGAGCATCCCGGAACCCGGCTGAGGGTTGGTGCAACTGAAAGGCGGTGGGGTCTCAGAACACCATGCCAGAGTCACCTGCTGAGCAGTGAATGACCACCTGGGAGTGTCCTCATAGGGCTGGGCCCACTCAGGTGTGTGGGCTGCCTGGAGGAAGTGGGGGAAGGATGAAGGTATGGGGGGGGGGGGTTGCTGTCCTTTCCCTGGAATTCTCTGCTGGCAGTTTCTGGAAACAGAGGGTCCAAGTGCTGGAGGGCTGGCCTGGCCATCTGGGGTGCCAATCTCCTGACCTGGTCCCTGCTCATCCAGGGAGCAAAGCTCACCTGGCCGCCTGTGCTGGGGCTGGGGTCTCTGGGGCTGAGACAGACGGCACCCCTACACGAGCAACTGTGACAGTCTGCATCCATGTGACACCACCGGGGAACGACAGAGTCACGACAGAGTGGACAAGGCGCAGAGTGTCAGGACCAAAGTGGATGAGGCAGAGAGTGTCAGGACAGAGTGGACAAGGCATGGGAGTGTCAGGAACAGAGTGGACAAGGCTCAGAGTGTCAGGACCAGAGTGGACGAGGCAGAGAGTGTCAGGACAGAGTGGACAAGGCGCGGAATGTCAGGACAGAGTGGATGAGGCAGAGCGTGTCAGAACCAGAGTGGACAAGGCAGAGAGTGTTACGACAGAGTGGACAAGGCATGGGAGTGTCAGGACCAGAGTGGACAAGGCATGGGAGTGTCAGGACCAGAGTGGACAAGGCTCAGAGTGTCAGGACCAGAGTGGACGAGGCATGGAAGTGTCAGGAACAGAGTGGACAAGCCTCAGAGTGTCAGGACCAGAGTGGACGAGGCAGAGAGTGTCAGGACAGAGTGGACAAGGCGCAGGAGTGTCAGGACAGAGTGGATGAGGCAGAGCGTGTCAGGACCAGAGTGGACAAGGCAGAGAGTGTTAGGACAGAGTGGACAAGGCATGGGAGTGTCAGGACCAGAGTGGACAAGGCGCAGAGTGTCAGGACCAGAGTGGGCAAGGAAGAGAGTGTCAGGGCAGAGTGGACAAGGCGCAGAGTGTCAGGACAGAGTGGACGAGGCATGGAGTGTGAACGGCTTTAATGCTCACTGGTGGAGGAGCTCAGCAGAAGGGCCGCAGTGCTCAGAGGCTTCACCTGGCACACGAGTCCTCACCACACTGCGGAAAAGGGGCCCATTGGGCCTTCATGAGGGCACGGGTGGGGCCAGGCCTGCCTGCAGCTCTAAGCGGCATAGCCTGGCAGTGCCCCCAGCCCGTGGCCTCATCCTGGGGCTCAGCGGAACTGGCTCACCTGGGGCGGTCCCTGCCCACTGGAACTGGCCTCCTCGGTGATGCCCAGGGCCTGTAGGATGTGCTCCCGGGGGACGTAGTCACCTGGTGACTTCTGCACGAAGTGTAGCAGTACCCGCTCCCCGCCTGCAGTGGCAGGAGGACGTCAGGGATCTCCAGGGCTATGCCCGCCACTGCCACGGTGGAGGCAGCAGCTGGTGGGGAGGGAGGGGCAGGGAGCAGGACTGCCCACCTTTGGTGACCACCAGCAGCCCCCCGCTCTGCAGCAGGTCTCCTGACAGGTTCCCCTGGATGCCGACCGCCTTGGCCTGGAGGAGGGCACCCATCAGGTCAGTGCTGGACAGAAGCCCTGGGGTCCCCACCCCCAAGCTGTCACTGACCTTGGCAGCCACCTCCCGCACGGGCCTTCCCAGGGCAGCTGGCAGGATGCTCAGGCCGCTGTATCTGCAGACACGTGAGCTCGAGCCATGTCCACCACCAGCCCCAGAGCACACAGCAACCCAGGGCAGGGCCCGAGAGGACAGCGGGCAGCGTGGATGATCTCTGGCTGCCAGGCTCTGATCAGCTGCTGGTGCCAGTCAGCCAGGCGCCCTGTGACCCCCCCCCTTGCCTGGGCACAGCACCATCACCAGGAGTCCTGGATGAGGGCCCAGGGCTGAGGGTGCTGGAGTGGCTGGGGAGGCCTGGGGCAGCAGAGGCGGCCCTCACACTCACCGCCTGAAGCCCAGCTCCTTGTAGAATTGCTTGGTCTCATCCAGGAAGAGCTCTGGAAATCAGGGGCTAGAGTGTGCGCCCTGCCCTGCGCCCAGCCCCCATCCCCTGGGCACGCAGGGAAGGGAGTGGCACCCGCCCAGCTCGCTGACAGGAGGAACTTAGGCAGGGCCAGAAGAGACTGGTCAGGGCACCGCTGGGCAGGGGGATTGATCTGGAGGAGGGGCTGGCAGCTCAAGGGGTGGGAGGGATGAGGAAGGCGGGCACATAGCCAGGTGACTCCTGGGGACGAGGGTCGGGGCTGAGCAAGAGGGAAAGCAGTGCCACTCCTTTGGGTGAGAGGCTGCTGCGTGGGCAGGGCCAGCTGGGCACCTCCGGTGAAGTAGCCGCCGTCCAGGAACTCCTGCAGGCCCAGAGCCTCGGGCCCCACGCCCACCAGGCGCACCCCGTGCCGCTGCAGGAGCGCGCCCAGGCCGCTGAGGTCCCTGGCGATCCAGCGACACACCACGCAGCCGAAGCGCCGCAGTCCGGCCACCACGCACGCCTGTTCTTGCCACAGGCTGCGGAGCTCCACGGCCTGCGGAGCGGGGCGGCGGTGAGGGCCTGCGGGAGAGCAGGAGCGCTGGCCGCTGCCCTCCGCCCCCCTGCGCCCGCCGGCCTCACCTCCCCGGTCACCGCGTGCTTCAGGACACACGCGCCCACGCGGGCAAGGTCCAGGGCGCTCATGACCGCCGCCGCTCGCAGCGCTCTGGGCTCGGGACGCCTGTCAGGCAGCTGCCCGGCGGGAGCCCGCTCCTCCTGAGCCTCTAGCCAGGTCTGAGCCGGCTCCCGGCCCCGCCCCGCCCCTTGAAAACCTCCTGGCAACGCCCCGCCCCCGGTAACGCCCCGCACCGCCTCCTGGCTCCGCTCTCGCTCCGCCCCAGCCACCTCCCTCCTGGCCCCGCCCACCATCGCTCCGCCTCCAGCCACCCCTTGACCCCGCCCCAGACTCCGCCTTTCCCCCCGCCTCCTGGTCCCGCCCCGCCCCCAGACTCCGCCCCGCCCTTCCTCCCTGGTCCCGCCCCACCCCAGACTCCGCCCCTTTTCGCTTCCTGGTCCCGCCCTCGCATCATCTGGCCCCGCCCCTGACCGAGCTCCGCCCCCAGCCGTCCCTGCTCCCGGACTCTCCCCTGCAGCCCCGCGGCGCCCTAGAGTCCGCCACTGCGGGGTCCAGCCTGCGGCTACGCCACTACTTGCACGTGCGTGAGTTCGTCATCCCTTGGCGGGCAGGGCGGAGCTGGGGCGCCTGCGCAGAGTGCGGGGCTGCGGGGACCGGCGCGGGCTGGGACTGGGGCCTTCAGGCGGTGGAAGCGGGACCTGCCCGGAGAAGACGGCGGCCAGCCGCGCGGTCCGCAGCGGGGTTCTGGCCAGCAGGGATGCCCTCCGAAGACGCAGGGCAGCGTTCTTCAGCGTGGTCTTGTTTCGGCATACAACCGAAAACGAAGCATTTTCAGTGGAGCGCCCAAGCTGGCTGGCGTGGTGCCTGCACGTGGGTCCAAGCCACCACCGTTCAGGCTCTGCGACCGCCTGGGAAGCGCTTGTTCATCCTCACCACCCGGAGCGCTGAGTCCACGGCCCTGGATGGACATGCGTGGGGTCTGGGTGCTGGAGCGCGCCGTGCACTGCCACGCCATGGGCAGTTCAGGGCCAGCAGGAATCTCTTCATTCCCCCCCCACCCCCCCCCCACCCCCGCTGTGGGCAGGTGACACGCAGTCTTCTCTCCCCGTTGCAGGAGGAGATAAGGACTTGCCGTCATCGTCATCAGAGCACAGCCTGAAGGCAAGCACACTCTGCATGGCCCATATCCCACGCACACGTGCACGTGCACCGGCCCCCTAGTTCACATGCATATTCACACTTCCCCTCATGCACACAAGCATGTACTCACCCTTATTCACACTCAACTCATGCACATGCACACACTCGTGTACTATCACCCTTGATCTATCACTCGCAGCTGTGTTCACACTCAACTTGCACACCCTTATTCACACTGACACACTTATGGAATCACACCCTTATCACACCTGCACTTGTTCACACATTCATGTGCACACACACTCCTATTCACACTCATGCACTGGCCCTCATTCACACACATGCTCACTCGTACACACATGCACCCACACAGGCGACACTCATGTGCTCACACTTGAGTGTGCCCAGGCTCTCACTCATACACCACACACGTATTCACAGAGCAGCTGCAGTGCTGGGGCTTCACATCCCCTCGCTTTTCTGGAGCAGCGAGGGGTTGGACCCAGGATCAGTGCAGGGGCTGACTTGGCTGTGCCCCCAGGAGACAGACCAGCAGGGTGCCAGAGTGAGGGAGAGGGAGGGACAGCAGTGACAGACCATGAGCAGGAACTCCCAAGGCTTCCGCCACCATGCCTCACTGGACGCACGTCTGGAGCTGCACCCACCTCTCATGCGTTGGTCCCTGCTTCCATTCCCGCATCAAGACCAAAGCCAGAAGCCCCCGCAGTCAGGAGCTCTGTGGACCCTCGGGACTGCAGAGCTGAGGGGGTCCTGTCTGCCATGGACCTGAGAACAGACAGGCATGGTTGATGGAGCCCCAGAAACGGGGATGACTCAAGGCTCTAGCACTGTGGGGTCTGTAACTGGCCAGGCGGGTCCCTGAGCCAAGAGCCGGCCCTGCACCAGGTTCTGCAGGACTGAAACCAGCCTCAGCACCACAGCCATGGCTGGGCAGGTCCCATCTCCAAAGGTGCAGTCCTGGGGCCTGGCCGTCCTAGGGGACAGGAAGACTGTGTTGGGCAGTCAGGGACTCATTGCAGGGGATGAGTGTGGTCCTGGGGTCGGGAGCCACTGTGAGCCACCAGTGCTGAGAGGAGGGCTGTGGGAGGGACGTGATGTGGAGCGGCAGGGGGCAGAGGTGTGTAGACTCACGAAATATTGTGGAGATGGTGGGTGTGCGTGGCACAGCCCCACTGGGCATGTCACCCCAATGACAAGCAAGAAGCGGGAGGGCCCTCAGGGGTGACGCGGCGGAATGTTCCAGGGAGTGCAAATCATCCCTGAGGGTGGCTGCCTGCCTGGCCCAGCTCCCTCATCCTTGCCTCAACAGGAAACCTGCCGGGTTTGGGGTTCCACAGGGAGGCCCACGCAGCCTCATGGAACACAGAGCCCGGGGTGGGCAACCGCTTGCCCCACTGCCCGACACACACATGTGCGCACTCATGCTTCTGTCCCCAGTGCCCCGGACAGCCTTGCTGGCAGCCACTGTCCAGGTGCGGGGCTGAGACGGGGAACTCTGACCTCCTAGCTACAGACGGTCCCCCACAAGCACTCAACCCCCAAACAAGGTGTGATGTGCAGCTGGGTGACCCCCAGGCCCTGCCCTGCAGATACCCCATCTCTCTAGTCTCTCGGGAAGGCTTTCAGGTGTGCCCGCGGCCCTGCCCTCATGGCCTGAGGTCGTTGGGCACCCCCGCCCCCGAAGGCGCCTTCCTGTCGGTGTCTTCCCCTCGCGTCCCCCCCTCCTCCCGGGCGCTGCTGAGCACCGGCCATGGGTCACCCCGAACCCGTGGCTCTTCCCGCCAGGGTGCAGCAGCCACCCCTTGGCCTCTCCCGAGGTCCCGCTGGGGGATGGCCCCGCCCCAGCCCCACCCCCAGGCGCAGGTGCCCTGGCTTTGGGGAGAGCGCCGGCAGAGGGCGCAGTCCCCCAAGCTGCTGGGAGGGCAACCCCAGAGCCCACCTTCTGGTCTGCGGCCACCGGGCTGGCTGCTCGGTCCTCGCAGGTGGCAGGTGGTGAGTTGCTGCTCCTGCTTGGGACGTGCTTGGGGGCATCCTGGGGGTGTCCGCAGACGGAGGGTCAGTGTCCACAGGACCAGGTCTGCCTAAACAATGACTTTGGGGGTCCCCACAGCAGCCCGGAGAGGAGATGGCATGGTGAGGCCAAAGTGTTGCCACATTCCCTGCTGCCACCTGGGGGGAGGGGGCAGGATGCACTGGCCCCCAGCCCCGTCCTGGGCCACTCTGGACTGACTCCCTCTCCCTGGGGTGGCCAGGTAGGTGGTGGCCGCCGGCTGCCCGCCCCGCCCGCCCGCCCTTTTGTGGCCGAGCAGCTGGCGCCGGCCCTTTATCCGGGGCTGTGGGAAAGCGGCGGCTACTCCCAGCCCTGCAAAGGGATTAGCCCATACCCGCCCGCAGCCCATACCGCGCCTGGGGGTCATGTCCCTGCTTGTCACCTCCAGAGCAAGTCCCACCCCGCGGCACACCTGGGGACACCTACATCCGTCGGACGCCCCCACAGGCCCCAGTTGACCTGTCCCTGCCCCGCACAACCGGAGCCCCTAGGATTAGCCCACCCAGTCACTCTGGGGGTCATCAGAGGGCAGAGGATGAGGGTGTTTGCAGGCTTCAGAGACCCGGGACTCTGGGAAGCTGCTTTCCAGAAGGCGAGATTGCTCCCTGCGCACCCCCTTATGGCTGAGGGTGTCTAGGCACTGACATACATGCACACACACACACACATACACAACACACACACACAGCTCTGAGGGCTACACACAGAGCTCTGACGGCTACACACACACACAGAGTTCTGAGGGCTATACACACACACACTTCTGTGGGCTACACACACACATTTCTGAGGGCTACATACACACACACAGAGCTCTGAGGGCTACACACACACATCTCTGAGGGTTATACACACACACACACAGCTCTGAGGGCTACATGCACACACACGCACAGCTCTGAAGGCTCCGGGCACGCACACACACACACACACACGGCTCTGAGTGTCCTGGATACACACACACACACACATACACACACACACAGGGCTCCTGTGGAATGACGGCATCTCCCGCCAAACCCTGTGCCCTGGCTATGGCGGCAGCACAGTCCCCTGCAGGCGGCTGCTTCTCCCACTCATGGGGCAGGGGGACCTGGGCTCCGTCCAGCAGGAACCTGGACACCTTGGGGAGGGCGGGACTAGGGCCGTCTCCCAAGCGCAGTCGTGGGGGAGGGGGCAGAAGGGAGTCAGGGGTGCCGGCCCCTCCCCCTCCACCACACAGGGCCCAAAGCCCGCAGCCGGGAAGGGGAGTGACCTAGGTGCAGGCACTGAGTGGGGGTGCTTCCTGGAGGCATGGGAGGACAGTCAGGCAGTGGAGCGCCTGACTGCACTTGGCTGACCAGCGGGCCAGGGGTCCCGGCCACTCAGAACCGGGCCCCTTCCTGGGCAGCTGAGGCAAGGCACCAGGACCCAGGGGTCCACAATATTGGGGTACCAGGCTTGCCAGAGCCACCTGGCCAACACCCCAATCTCCTGCACTGGACGGGTCAGCCCTGAAAATGTGGGTTCTGGGGGGCGGGGACTCCGGGGCTCCCTGCCCACAGCACTTCACACAGGAACGGGGCAGGACGCTGGCAGGAAACTGAGGCGGCCAGTCGGCGGCGGCTCCCACGCCGACGGCGGGCGGGAAGCGTGCCTGGGCCCCGCGGCATTAGTGCCGGGGGCCTGCCCCTGAAAGGCGCGGGGCGGCGCGGGGGGCGCGGGGGCGCCTCCCAAAAGGCCATCTGGTCCGGCGTCATAATAGCCGCCGAGGGCCGGGCTGCCCGGGAGCGCTGGTTCCCAGCCGCCCCAACTCTGCCGGCCTTTAACCAGAGCGGGCGGAGGGCGGGGGCGGCCACGTGGGCTGCGGGGCCCCTAATCCACCTCCCGGGTCTGGGGATGCGGTGCCGCAGCGCGCAGGGAACTAGAGGCCTGGTTGGGTCAGCAGCTCAAAGTTGGAGCTCTGGGGTCTGCCTCGAGAAGGGGAGGAGGTGCTGGACAGGGTCTCTCTGGGCGGTTCGGGAATCACAGGCCCTGTGCTGGCTGCAGCCTGTGACCCAGGGCTGGCGCCTCTCCCAGGAAGCCCTCCCTTGGCACCTGCCTGCCCCTCTCGCCCAGATCTAAGGCTCCTCTGAAAAGTGCCTTCCCCGAGATGGTCCAGGGGGTGTGCAGGACTGGCTGGGAGCCACAGGTGCCCCCCCGCCTGCCGTGGGATGAGGATGGGGGCACTGCCACAGGCTCAGAGCCAGGGGGACAGAAGGCAGCACCAACTGCGTAAGGGTATGCCCAGGCACTGGTCGCCCCCACAGGCAGTACTGCGAGGGGCGCCGCAGGACCCCCCCACCCCCCGAGAAAGGGCCTGCCCAGCCTCAGCCCAGGCAGGAGGGAGGGTCTCTGGGCGCCTCCCTGGATGACTATTCAGGAATGAAGGTTTAGGGGGTTCCCGGGAGCTGCCACACTGCTCAGCCCCTCGGCCCTGCTCCCCCTCAGCACAGATGTAACCCCACCCCTGTGGGCTTTGGGAACAGGGACCCGCCAAGTCCACACTGCTTGGGGCAGGCGCTGGCTCAGGGCAAATGAGTAACCACGCTACAGATGCACCAGTGTGGGGGCAGCGTGGGGACATGGACCCGGCCTGCGGGGACTCCCCTCTCCCTCCTCTCCTCCATGCATGCTCCTGCCAGCTCCCGCCCAGGCCAGCCTTGCCGGGACCCCACCACCACCCATGCTGGAGCCCTTCAGGGCATGCGCAGTGGGGTGGGGCAGCCTACAGCCCCAGCCTGTCAGTTAGGGTCCAATCCTGGACTGTCCCCGAGGGTTTGACTGGCCCTAACTGTCCTCGTGGGCTGGAACCTCCAGTTTGTGGTGCTGATGCCCTCCACTGTGGGGACCATCCACGGGCGTAAGGGGAAGGTCCACCAGGGATGTGGGAGCCGCTCTGCTGCCTGTCGGGGTCCTGGACCTTAGTGCGGAATACAGACTGCCCGCTATGCGGGAGTGCCAGCTCTGCGCAGGACCCCCGAGTTCAGTCCCCGCCACTGCCAGGCGTGACCCCCACCAAACTACAGAGGCAGCCCCTTCCCATGAGCCAGGAGGGTGGGGCTGGCCTGGAATTCTGACATCCCAGGGCCTGGCCAGAGACCCCCAGCAAGGCCCTGGGGCGCTGGGACTGCTAATGGGGGCACAAGCCCCCCTCCTGTGGCTTACACTCCCCGCCCCCACCCCCAGCTTGGAGGCACAAAGCCCCTGGGCCCCCTTCCCAGCGGAAAAGCCCGCCAACTCACAGCCGCCCCGCCCCTCGGCCCTCGCGGCGGGCTGAGCGCTGGAGGTTCCCACACTGGGGCCCATTCACCCTGTCAGCCACCACAAAGGCCAGGCGTGTGCCCGGGGCAGAGCCGCCGGCTGGCTCCCTCGAGGGCCGGGGATCTGCTCATTCATTTCATATTTCCCACAACTGGGAACTGGATCAAAGCTGCTCAGGCGGGCAGGGGGCGGGAGGCAGCCCCAGCCGGCCACCCTCCCTGGCCGCTGCGGGTGGCGGGAGTGGGGGAGGGGTGGGAGCCAAGCTGGCCCTCGGGCACGTGGCTCCTTGGGGCTTGCCAGGCCTGGGGGAGGGGCGAGAGGAGGCTGCAGCCTGGGTGCTGCCTGGCCCTGGCACACCCATAGCCTCGATGCTGGTGCAGTGGAGAGTGGGGGGTGGCACCCCAGGGAGCCAGGGCCAGCACAACCCGCTCTGGGCGGCAGGACTCGTGGTGGCAGCAGGACCGTGCAGGGGGCACTGTGAGAGGAGGCCCTCGCCCCTCAGCCAGCCTGCGTCTCCCAGACAGGGATCCCATCCCCCCTAGGGTGGCCGGCTGCCCTAGCACCCACCTGCGAGCCTGAAACTGTCCTGTCTGCACCCCATATGGGCCTCGAGGACTCCTGGGGCAAGTCCACTCCTCAGATGGTGGGGGTCTATCAGGCGCCCCGGACAGGGAGAGGGTAGGAAGGCTGCTGGGTCCCCAAAGTGCCATTCCCAATGCCTGGCATGAAGTGGCCACCCAGCAAGTGTAGATGCAGCTGCTGGAGGGGGCACCCCCCCCAACATGCCCGCTGCCTGAGAACCAGAGGAAGGTGGGAGGTGGCGGTTCTGGGCATGGAGCACGGGCTGGTGGCCTGACATGGCACTGCAGGTCCCTGGGGACCCCCTCAGCAGGGATTGTGGGCTCCCGCGGCCCGTGTCTGCCACCTGCATATACACCTGCCCTGCGGGTGGCCGCACCCCTGCTCCCCAGGGTGCCAGACACGGAGGAGGGCTGCGGTCCCCCAGCTCTCAGGGATGAGCTGACCTGAGAGGTGGCCTCTGCTGGGGTCTCCCGCCCCACGAGAGGAGGCTGCAGCTCCCTGTCGGGGCTCCCCTGCCTTCCCGGCTTGCAGGGGCCCGGGCTGCCAGCTCTGGCGGCCAGGGCGGGGGAGGGGTCGCCGCTCCTTCCTGCCCCCCAGCCCGCGGCCTGGGAAAAGGCAGCATATTGAGGCGCGGGGTTCCCAGCATCAGGCCCCGGGATGCTAATGAGGGGAGCGCGTTCCCACAGCCCGGACATTGTGCGGGCCGCCCACCTGCTCCTCGGGGAGCGCCCATTGTGCCCGCGCCAATTCACAGGCAATTTAGCGTGCGCTGATGGGCCTGCGCCTTTGTGCGGCCCGCGCGGCCATTGGCCGCCGAGTGTGGGAACGGCCGCGCTGCCCTGGCCCCAGGCGCCAGCCCGCCGCGCGCGCCTATATAAGGGCCCGCGCACCGGGCCCGGGACGCGCCGGCTCGCCCGCCCGCCGCCCGCACGCATGGCCCCCAGCACCGTGGCCGTGGAGCTGCTCAGCCCCAAAGAGAAAAACCGAGTAAGTGCCCGCACCCCGGCCGGCCCGGCCCGCCCCGCGCCCCGCGGCCCGCCCGCCGCCCCTCTGACGCCCCCTGTCCCGCAGCTGCGCAAGCCCGTGGTGGAGAAGATGCGCCGCGACCGCATCAACAGCAGCATCGAGCAGCTGAAGCTACTGCTGGGACAGGAGTTCGCGCGGCGCCAGCCCAACTCCAAGCTGGAGAAGGCGGACATCCTGGAGATGGCCGTCAGCTATCTGAAGCACAGCAAAGGTCAGCGCGCTTCCCTCCTCGCGCTCCTGCCCGCCCGCCCGGCCCGGCTCCTGCGCACCCGACCACCCCGCGCGCCCCTGCCCGCCCGGCCGGCCCCGCGCGCTCCTGCCCACCCGCCCGGCCCGCGCGCCGTCCGCACGCCTCGCGCGCCCCTCCCCGTCCGCCCCGCACACTCCTGCCCGCCAATCGGCCCCGCGCGCCCCCGGCTCACCGCCGGCTCCCTCCCGCCCTCCCTGCAGCGTTCGTCGCCGCCGCGGGCCCCAAGAGTCTGCAGCAGGACTACAGCGAGGGCTACTCGTGGTGCCTGCAGGAGGCCGTGCAGTTCCTGACGCTGCACGCGGCCAGCGACACCCACAGGAAGCTGCTCTACCACTTCCAGCGACCCCCGGCCGCGCCCGCAGCGCCCGCCGCGCCCGCCAAGGAGGCCCCGCCTGCGCCCGCGCTCACCCCGGCCAAGGCCGCCGCCGCCGCCGCCGCCGCCGCCCGCCAGCCCACCAGCGGCCTCTGGAGGCCCTGGTGACATCCACGTCCGCCCGGGGCCGGCCCGGGCCCCTGAGAGGAGGGCAGCGCCCCCAAGGCGCGCTTCAGGCTGCGGGCGGCCGGAGGGTCATTCTCAGAGAATGTGCCGCGGAGCCTCGGTCACTGGGTCACTGCGGGCCAGGAGGCAGCGGCCAGTGTCTGACCCCCAGGGGTCGTTCTGTGCTTGCATTTCAGCAAGTGACTTCTGAGAAGTCCCCGCCTGGGCGCGGGGTGCTATGACGTTCGTAGGAGCGGGGGCGGCCCAGTGCCTGGTCCCGCCAGTAGCCGGATTCCGGCCCGCCGGCCGCGTGCGCGCGGGCACATTTGCCTTTTGTAAAGGCAGGACTGGGGTGCATCCTCATAGGACAGAGGCAGCTGGGGGCGGGGGCAGGGCTCGGTGTCTATGATCCTTACAGGATCCACGAGCGGGTGGGTGCGTGGGGCACGCTGGTATTCCAGGGACTGCTGTGCAGATGCTAATAAAACCCAAATCTCTAGACGGCGGCTGCGTGTCTGGTTTCTGCTGCTCTGCGTGTGCTGGGGACCCGACCTCGGGATGAGGGGCCAGTGCCTGGCTGGAGGCTGAGGGGGAGGGTGTCACGGGTCTGGGGGAGGGGCTGGAGGCCCGGAGGAGGCGGGGGAGGGAGGCACAGGCAGGAGTGGAGCCTCAAAAGGCAGACGCCAGGGGCCTATTTTTTGTTCGGTGGTGGGGGTGCACCCAGTGATGCTCAGGCATCAATCCTGGATGGGGTGCTGGGGACTGAACCCTGACTGACTGCCCGCCAGGTGAGCGCCTGAACCCCTATCCTACGTCTCCCGCCCACCCGGCACTGGCCTCTTGCTGCAGCAAAAGGGGTCTGCTATGCGCAGCGGCCTGAGGCATTCTGGGTTCACTCCCAGCAGCTACCGGTAGAGTGGCGCTTGTGTCAGATGGGTGCCAGGGTGCTGGGTGAGTCTGCAGCGAATGGTGCCCCAGCGAGAGCACAAGGCGAGATGGGAGAGGGGGTGGCAATCCGTGTCCTGAGTCCTGGCACCAGCCGAGTTCCCGGGCTCTCTGCTCAACACCCCTCCCGCCGCACAAGAGCCCCATCTTGTCCCCCTGGCACCCCTGCAGGCCAGTTTGGGGGCTGTGGGGCCCAAGGAGAAGGAAGCCCAGCGGGGAGGCAGTTCCCACATGCCCCCGGCAGGCAGGGGGTGGCCACGGTCAAGCCAGCCTGGCATCCTCCCTGTGACCCTGAGGTGCTAGTCAGCACCCCTGCTCCAGGGCGTGGGTCAGGGCGTTCCCAGAGCCCAGCTGGCCGCCTCCTGCAGCATTCAGATGCAGAGGTAACGGAACACCTGGGGGACAGGCGCCCAGCCTAACCCTGGACTCTTCCGCAAAGTGCCTGTTTCTCTGAGGGACATGCACCCAACCACAGCCGCACTGCTTACCAGTGCCCTGGACTGCCAGGGCCCCAGCTGCCCAACCTTCTCAGCTTGCTCCCAATCAACTCCCATACACTCCACCTGGCAAAAAGACTGCCTCCTCCAGAGAGACTCCCCAGCAGCTTTTTCTTGCTCTCCCTGGGACACTATTAACGTTCATCTTGCACATCTGCAGGCATAGCTCTATTCGGGGGAGGGGGGCGTCCAGCAGGCGGGGTCCCGACTCCCCCACTGTGCAGGGGACTTTTGGCACCCGTGATCCTGCATCCCCAGGGGTTAGAGCAAATGGCAGAGCTCCGGAACGCTGCGAATCCCGGCTTAACGCACTTGGGATCAGCATCTGGCCAGTGGCGCGACCGAACAAAGATCGGGCTCCCGCTCCTGCGCCGCTGCGGTCCCGCGCCTACTGGACCGGAGCCAGCCTGGGAGCAGCGAGTGCCGCCGCCGCGCGCACCCAGCGGGCGCGGGCGCAGAGCGGGCCGGTCTCATTAGCATACCCTCGCGGGGCGGGGCCTGGCGCCTAATATATGCGCATACATCTCCATGGCTAATGAGCTGGCCGGGCACATTCAAAATGGCGGAGAGCGGGGCGAGAGGCAGCGGCAGCAGCGGGGACAGCCTGGACAAGAGCATCACGTTGCCCCCCGACGAGATCTTCCGCAACCTGGAGAACGCCAAGCGCTTTGCCATCGATATAGGTGGCCGCGGGCGGGTGCCGGGAGCCGGGCGACGCGCAGCGGCCGCGGCCGCGGGTGGCTGGGCCGACGGGTCGGGGGCGGTGGCAAGGACGAAGGGCGGGGGCGCCGGCTGGCGGCGCGCGCGCGGCATCACGGGCTTTGTAGTCCGCGCGCGCGGCCTCTCGGGACTTGTAGTCCTTCGGCCGCCGGTGCCGGCTCTCCGCACGCCGGCCAGACTACAGCTCCCGGCAGGCGGCGGCGGCTGGAGAGGGGCGCGTCGGGCGTCGTAGTCTGCGGGGTGGGGGCGGGCGGCCCTCGGGCCTCGGGCCTGGGGCGCTGGGCCAACTTGGACAGGAGGCGGGCGAGTCGCCCACTCCAGCCGCTGGGCGCCCAGCCCCGCGGGTCTCCCCCGGGGGCCGCCCGGTGCCCGACCCCTGCGCCCGGGCCAGACCCTGCCCGCCCCAGTTGGGCGAGGCGGGACTCTCCAGCTGGGCCCTGGCGGGGAAGCGGCCAGCCCGAGGCAGCAGCTACCTGGCCCTGGCACCTCGCGCCCGCCGGCCGGCACGAGCCTTTGTGTTCAGGCGCGGCGCCTTCCCAGCTCCCCCGTCGTTGAGTGGAACGCTGGGGGTGTCACTCCCAAGGAGGGAGGAGCCGTGGCGGTTCCCCTCGCCCACTGCCCACGCCTGCCCTCCCCGTGTCCTGCCTCGTGCCTCCGGGGCCCCGGAGCAGCCTGTCCTCTGACCCGGCCAGGGGCTCCCGGACTGACGGGCCGGGACCCTCACGGCAAACTTTACGGGTCCCGTGTGTGTCGGGGCCTCTGCTGGGGTGCAGATCTGCACCCGGGTCCCCACGGCACCCCCTTTTCTTTGTTCTCCACCCCAGCATATCCCCAGGTTCCTCCTCGTTAGAAGTGGCAGTGCTGTCTTTCCATTGAGGTCCCCACAGCCACCCCCATCTGTCCCCAGCCAGAGCCAGTGCCGGCCCCTGTGAGCCTGAGTGGGTCAGGTCTGGGCAGCAGGAACTCCCGAGGGTTCTTCAGAGCTGACCGAGCCCCTTTCCAGGGGGCTGAGAGGTTGGGGGGCTCACTCTGCTGTGCGCCCCAGGTGGCCCCAGCTTGAGGCGGGTGCACTGCCCTGCCTGGAGTGGCCTGTCACACGCCCTCAGCTTGCATCAGGTACATTCACATAGTCACCCACGTCGCTTCTGCTGGCTTCTGGGGTGTGCGGGAACCTGCCTGGCCTGGGATGCGAGGCCGAGCACAATGGGGAGGGCCCCCTCTCCGTCTGTCCCAGCACTTGGGGTACAGGGCTGTCTGCTGAGTGTGCAGGGCCTCACAAGAGCCCTTCACTCCATCCAGGGACACAGGTCCTGGCTGCCCCTCTTCCCTGAGGTTTGCTGGGCGGGGGCCAGTGTGGCCAGGGGCTGCCAGGGGGGTGGAGACAGGAAGACGCTGGGTGCTCTGTGTGTGGAGGGGCCCCGGGTCCGGGTTGCAGGGAGGGTGCATGGCGTGGGCAGGTGGGCTGAGGCTCTCTGCCCACAGGCGGCTCGCTGACCAAGCTGGCCTACTACTCCACCGTGCAGCACAAGGTGGCCCGCGTGCGTTCCTTCGACCGCTCAGGACTGGTGAGTGCCCACTGCCTGTCCGCACAGGCCCCGCCCCTCCCATCACACCCGCAGGACCCCGCCCCCCACCTCACCCACTCAGGCCCTGCCCCCCCATCTTACCCACACAGGCCTCACCCCTCACATCTCTTCACAAAGGCCCCGCCCCTCGCACATTACATCCCTGCCCATCTCTGCAGGACACTGAACAAGACCATGAGCCCCCCTACGAGATTTCAGTGCAGGAAGAGGTGACCGCGCGGCTGCACTTTGTCAAGTTTGAGAACACCTACATCGAGGCCTGCCTGGACTTCATCAAAGACCACCTGGTCAACACCGAGACCAAAGTCATCCAGGCCACTGGGGGTGGCGCCTACAAGTTCAAGGATCTCATCGAGGAGAAGCTGCGGCTGAAGTGAGTGGGACGGGGCTGCCCGTCTGTGGGAGCCTGGGCAGCGGAACCCCTTGGGGATTCAGGAAGGTGAGAAGGCCTGAGCACTGCACTGGCATGCAGGGGCCGTGTCCTCTGCTGCCTCCCCGCACACAGGGACTAGCGGCCTGTCACACACACAGCCGGCGGGTCCACAGGGGCAGTGGCTGCAAGAAAGCAGTGCTGGGCTGGGGGACACGGCCTCCGCCCACTGCCCGTCCCTCCTGCAGGGTCGACAAGGAGGATGTGATGACGTGCCTGATCAAGGGCTGCAACTTTGTGCTGCGGCACATCCCGCAGGAGGCCTTCGCGTACCAGAAGGATGCTGAGCCCGAGTTCCGCTTCCAGACCAACCACCCGCACATCTTCCCCTACCTGCTGGTCAGCATTGGCTCCGGGGTGTCCATCGTGAAGGTAGGGCCCGAGGAGCTGGGCTGGCGTGGTGTGTGTGGGTCCCTGCTGAGCGCCCGCCCGGTGCAGGTGGAGACAGAGGACAGGTTCGAGTGGGTCGGCGGCAGCTCCATCGGAGGTGGCACCTTCTGGGGTCTCGGAGCCCTGCTTACTCAGACGAAGGTATGGGCGGCCCCACCCTGCCCTCCCGCCCCTGGCTTCCCTCTGCTCCTGCCTGACCGGCATGGCCCCTGCTCTCCCTGCAGAAGTTCGACGAGTTACTGCACCTGGCGTCCCGGGGCCAGCACGCCAATGTGGACATGCTGGTGCAGGACATCTATGGCGGTGCCTACCAGACCCTGGGGCTCAGCGGCAACCTCATCGCTAGCAGCTTTGGCAAGTCGGCCACGGAGGACAGAGGTGTGTGGCGAGGGTGCCGCTTCCCGCTCTGGTCGGTCCCTGCTGTCCCAGTCGCCCTCCCTGAGTGCCCCCCCTTGCTCTCGGCTGCAGAGTTCTCCAAGGAGGACATGGCCAAGAGTCTGCTGCACATGATCAGCAATGACATCGGGCAGCTGGCCTGTCTGCACGCCAGGCTGCATGGCCTGGACCGCGTCTACTTCGGCGGCTTCTTCATCCGCGGCCATCCGGTCACCATGCGCACCATCACCTACAGCATCAACTTCTTCTCCAAGGTCAGACACCTCTGTGTGTCTGAGGGCGGGGCTGGGTTGCGGGGTAGGGCTGGGCAGGGGCACAGCTGGGCTGGGGGGTGGCCGGGCTGCAGAGGGCATGTTGGCAGAGCCTGTCGGAGCAGCTGGGGCACTTCAGGGGCGGGCCTCGAGGGGCAGTGCAGGGCCACCCAGTGGGCATTATTCTGTGGAAGAAGGTGGGTGCCCTAGGCTTCTGCGAGGAGGCCCCTGCGCAGCCCCCGCGGGACCCCAGGGACTGGCTGCTGAGCCCCCCACAGCTCCAGTGGCTCTGCCTGGCAGGGAGAGGTCCAGGCGCTGTTCCTGAGACACGAGGGCTACCTGGGTGCCATCGGAGCCTTTCTGAAGGGAGCGGAGCAGGACAGTGAGTGGGGCAGGACCTCTGGGCAGGGCTGCGGGGGCCGGGGGGCCCCGGGGTGGAGCCGAGAGGAGCTTGGGTGCAGCTAGTGATGAAGCCTCCCCGCTCTCTTTAGGGCCAAGGGGCCGTTTCTGAATGGGGATGGCTTCACTGAGCCCTGTACACCTCCCTTTTGCTCCGGGGGGGGGGACCCTGAGCTTGAAGGACTTCAGGGTGCACAGCCCTGAGCATGCCCAGCCCTGGGGGACTCGCCCTGCATGCAGGAGATGAAGGGGTTAGCGGGCTCTGCCTGGGTCCGGAGTGTGCTCTGGTTCCGTTTCCTGCTGAGTGACAGCGGTGGGCAGCGGGAGGGTCTGACCGGGGCAGGACGTCCCTGCCCCTTGTGGCTGGGACCCTCAGCGCCGCCTTCTCTCCCAGATCCCAACCAGTACAGCTGGGGCGAGAACTACGCGGGTAGTTCGGGGCTGATGAGCTCGTCCCCAGAGCTGTGCCCGGTGCAGCGCGCGCGAAGCGGCACGGTGAGTCGGGCGCAGGCGCATTCTAAGCACGTGCGGGGTGGGGGGGGAGGCTGAGGACGGGGTCCTGGGACCCTCGAGGGCGCCCCGATCTCGGGGTTCGGTCCCGAGAGGGCACTTGGATGAGGACCACTCGAGCCCCTGTTGCCCGGAGCGCCAGGAGATCCCCGAGCCCCTCTGCTGCTCCTCTGCTTCTCCAGTTCGACCTGCTGGAAATGGACCGGCTAGAACGGCCGCTCGTCAACCTGCCCCTCCTCCTGGACCCGTCCTCCTACGTGCCCGACACAGTGGACCTCACAGATGACGTATTGGCGCGCAAGTACTGGCTGACCTGCTTCGAGGAGGCGCTGGAGGGGGTGAGTGGGGGGGGGGGGGCAAGCCAGAGTTTGTGGGCGGGGCCTTGGGCCAGGCGGGGCGGTGGGCGGGGCCTTGGGGTGGTGTGGCCAAGCTGGCCAGCTATGGCAGCATCTCTGGTCTCCTTGCCCAGGGCCTCCTCGCCTTTGAGCGCAGCAGCTTCTGCTGCCCTTCTGGCTTTCCGGAGTTCAGCACAGTGGCACCCAGTGGAGGCTTCATGGGTTCTGGGTGCCCTGTTCCTCCAGCCTGGGCCCCAGGAGCCCCCAGACAGTCTGGGACCTCTGTCCCTACAGGGATGCAGGGTCTGGCCACTCGTTGACCGTGCTCTTGGCAGGTGGTGAAGCGTGCCGTGGCCAGCCAGCCGGGCGCCGCGGATGCGACTGAGCGGGCCGAGAAGTTCCGCCGGAAGTACTGGGACAAGCTGCAGACCCTGCGCCATCAGCCCTTGTGCGTGCGGGGGCGGGGTGCCCGGCCTCGCGGGATACAGCCACGGGTGGGCCGCGGGGTCACAGGCGCTCTCCCTCGCACTCCCCAGCGCCTATGGGACCCTGACCGTGCGCAGCCTTTTGGACACAAGGGAGCACTGTCTGAACGAGTTCAACTTCCCTGACCCCTACTCCAAGGTGAGCACCATCTGCCCTGCCCACCCCTTGGCTGGCAGCTCTGTGCCGTACGGCTCCTGACCTCGTATGCGTGGGTGGCCCTGATGGCTGAGGGAGGGCACAGGGGTCGGTCCCCAGCCCAGCCCGTAAGTTCTGAGCCCCGTGAGCAGGTTGGGTGGTCCCCCCGCTGTGGCCCTGGCAGGGGTGGGAGGCCCTCCAGGTGCTCCTTCGTGGCCAGCGTCTCCTGCAGGTGAAGCAGAAGGAGAACGGGGCTGCCCTCAAGTGCTTCCAGAAGGTGGTCAGCTCCCTGGACACGCTGGGCTGGGAGGAGCGGCAGCTGGCCCTGGTGCAGGGGCTCCTGGCCGGAAACGTGTTCGACTGGGGAGCCAAGGCCGTCTCCGAGTGCGTGTGCATGGGGTGCGGGGAGAGGCAGGGCGTGTGTCTCGTGTGGGGTGGGCGGGCCCGTGTGTCCTGGGGGTTGCCCTCAAGGCTGGCAGCTCTGCCGAGCATGTGCTGCACAGAGTGAGTGGGCAGGGCACTGTCCACTACAGGGACAACCAGTGCTTGGGGCAGCGCAGGTGCCTGTCAGCAGTGAAAATGGGCATAGAGGGCTGGGTCTGGAGAGGGCAGGGCCAGCAGTGCTGTGGGAGGGTGGGAGGGTGGGATACCCACCCCTGGCCTTATCCCCCACCCAGCCAGATCTCTATACCCCCTCCATCCCCCCACCCAGTCTTCTATGTCCCCACTCAGTTCTTATCCCCCCTAGGACCCCCTCCATCCCCCCAAGCCCTCCCCCTCCCCCCCAGGCCTCATCTCCGCCCAGGCCTCATCCGCCCCCAAGCCTCATTCCCCAGGCCTCCCCGCCCCCCAGGCCTCAGCCCCCCAGCCTGACTGCACTCAGGATCACTCTGGGGAGGCCTCAGGACATGGGGTGCTGGGGTGACGGTCAGCACACGCGAGGCCACGCCTGCCGTTGTACCCCTGCTTCAGGTGTGGGCCTGTCACTGCAGGGCTGGCCTAGCCTGTGGTGGGTGCTAAGGGCGGCTGCCCCTGACTCCCGTCCCCTCCCGCACAGCGTCCTGGAATCTGACCCCCAGTTTGGGTTTGAAGAGGCCAAGAGGAAGCTGCAGGGTAGGTGGGCACGGGGGAGGCATGGGGGGTGCGGCGCCCTGGCTGAGCCCGCCCCTGACCATGCCCCTTGTCCCTGCAGAGCGGCCCTGGCTGGTGGACTCCTACGGCGAGTGGCTGCACAGGCTGCGGGTACACGGCGGCCCGGCGCGGGCGCAGGGGGGCGGGAAGGCCCGGCTGCGCCCATCCCGACTGAGCTCCCCTTTTGTCTTGCAGGGGCCCCCTCACAAATGTGCCTTAATTTTCGCAGATAACAGCGGAGTAGACGTCATTTTGGGAGTCTTCCCCTTTGTGAGGGAGCTTCTCTCTAGAGGGACGGAGGTGAGTGGGGCTGGCCCGCGGGCACCCTCCAAGGCCACAGGAGCCGCAGGGGCGGCCAGCGGCGGGCGGGGGCTGGCTGGGCACCAGCCTGCAGGTCCCTGAGAAGTCCCCTCCCCGCAGGTCATCCTGGCCTGCAACTCGGGCCCTGCGCTCAATGACGTCACCTACAGCGAGTCCCTGATCGTGGCCGAGCGCATCGCGGCCATGGACCCTGTTGTCCAGTAAGTGGGGTGTGGGGCGGGCGAGGTGGGCGTGAGCGGGCCTGACCACCGCCTGTGCCCACAGCTCGGCGCTGCGTGAGGAGAGGCTGCTGCTGGTGCAGACGGGCTCCAGCTCCCCCTGCCTGGACCTCAGGTACCGGCCCGGGCCACCGGGGGAGAGGGCAGCTGTCCCGGGAGTAGCCCGCCCACACCCCACCTGGCCGCTGCACCCTAATTCGGGTGCCCAGAGGGCTTGAGGGTCCCCATGTGTGGGGGACACCCCCTTAGAGCCTCACGTGTGGCGGGGGACCTGGGGCAGCTGCAGGGGGGCCACCTTTCCACCGGCCTCACTGTCTTCTCCCCGAAGCCGCCTGGACAAGGGGCTGGCGGCCCTGGTGCGGGAGCGTGGCGCCGACTTGGTGGTCATCGAGGGCATGGGCCGCGCCGTGCACACCAACTACCACGCGACCCTGCGCTGCGAGAGCCTCAAGCTGGCCGTGGTCAAGAACGCCTGGCTGGCCGCGCGGCTGGGCGGCCGCCTCTTCAGCGTCATCTTCAAGTACGAGGTCCCGGCCCCCTGAGCGCCGTATGTGTGGTGGAATATACATAACAGACTCAGACTCTGTGTCCCACACTGGCTCCTGGCGTGTTGTGGGGGGCCTTGCTGGGGCCCGTGTACTGTGTCCACCCACCCCAGGGGCTCCTGAGAGCGTTTGGCCTGGCCAGCTCTCTCACACAGGCTGCGGCCCTGGGCCCTGCGTCTTGTACCCCTCCTGGCTGAGGGCACCCAGGAAGGACCCTACAGTGGGACACGATGGCCCCGGGCCCCGAAGTTGACCCCAGCTACTGGCCTGCCTGCTGCCCAGGACAGGACCCCCTCGGGGCTGACCGCCTAGCCCCTGCCCCCTTCTAGAAGCATGCAGGGAGTGGGTCCAGGAGAAACGGGTTTATTGGGGTGCCGGTCTGTACAGAGCAGAGCTGCAGAGCAGGCGCGCCCAGCGGGTGGGGTGCCACCGCATCCCCTCTGGCCAGAACGCTGGGCTCCCCGCCGCCCCCCCCACCTCCGTGCAGGCCCCTCAGGCGCCCCCTGGTGGTGATGTCACGCATGCCACTGTGGCTTGGACCAGTCACCCTGCAGACGGAACTGCAGCAGAGAGAGACCTCGGCAATCAGTCCCCCGGGCTCTTGGCCTTGGTGGCCACAGGGAAGTCCCAGAGGCCTGCCAGGGGGAAGTGGCTGTTGGGGGCTAGTCCTGGGCCACAGCCCCTTGGATCCTGGGGGCAGCCAGCCTGGATTTGCTCCTGGGACTGCAGGCAGCTCTGGCCAGACAGCTGTAGCCAAGCAGGGCCCCCAGAAGGCCTCCGGAATCCTGTCACCAGAGGGTACTGTCACCGGAGGACATGGACGTGCTGTCTTGGTGGCCTGGCTCTGGCCACTGCCATGACTGGTGGCTCTCCCATGTGCCAAGGTCTGGCCAGAGCTTGCCCAGGTGTCCAGCCTCACTCCACATCCTGTGGGCCCCAGGCAGGTGTCCCTAGGTCCGGGGGTGGCCCCCAGAGGCCCCTTGCCGTTCCAGCCAGTATCCCCACCATCATGCCCACAGCCTGCCTTCAGAGGACCCCCGGCTCCCTGTCCTGAGCTGCCAGCAGGGCCCAGGAGCACCACAGCTGCCCGTGGGGGGCCCCATGCTCTGCAGCCCGGCCCTGCAGAGCATGGGGACCCCACGCCCAGGGTCAGCTCCTCCATGATGGGGTCCAGGCTGCACACAGAGGAGACGCCACGGCCTGTGAGGAGAGAGAGGGATCAGGCAGCCGGCACCCCAGCCTGGACCCCCGGGGCCCGGACCCCCAGCTGGGCCTGACTTTGGCCTGCTGGCTGTTACCTGGCACTCGGCTGTTCTCAGTTCCTGACTAGGAGACGGCATGGGGCAGGGGACAAAGAGCACGTGGTCAGTGGGGGTGGGGCGGCGGGGCTGGGTGGGCGCAGGGCACGTGCCAGGCAAGCTCCCAGCCCCCCTGCCGGTCCCTCTCATGACAACTGGGGCTCAGCCAGTCCCGGCCTGTGCACATGGTGGCCACAGCTCGCTGCGTCTGGCGAACTGAAGCCTGGACGTCAGGACTGGCCCTGACCAGGGGCTGAGGATACAGACGCACACGGACACCCCCAGGTTGGGCCAGGGGACTGAAAGCGGTGATGTTGGGGGACACCAGGGCCAGTGGGGCCAGTGCAGGGGGCTCTAACAAGCACCCTGCTGGGCCCCGGGTGTGGGTCGGGTGCGGGAGGGGCAACAAGCAGAGCCATGCCGAGGGCACGTGGGGCTCGGCCTTACCCGTGGAGAACATGGGGGATTTGCTCCTGATCTCATCCAGCTTCTGTGCGAACAGGGCATTCATCTCCGCCTGCAGGGCCCCCGGCTGCCTGTGTGCGGCCACCTCAGGGCTGCCCGGGCGGCTGGGGTCCGGGGATGCCGAGCCTCGGCCGCCCATGTCCCGCTGTGCAGCCCCCAGCGAGTCGGCCCAGGCCCGGGGTTGCTGGCAGACGGCACCCGCTGGCCCGGGGCTGGGTGGCCGCTCCCTGAGCAGGCCCTCGGCATCCGCGCTGCTGCAGGAGCCCAGGACGCACTTCATGCAGGTGGCCGCCACGCCGGCCGGCCCAGGGACTGCAGGGGCCCGCGGGGGCCGGGCCTGTGGCGGGCTTCGCTCTGCTGGTGCCTTACCTTGGGGACTGCCGCCGCCCCCCTCATCGTGGCTCAGGGCCTCCGGCATGGGCCCAGGGCTTGGGGGACCCACATCACGGGCTCCCCTGCCGGGAGCCGAGCCCTGCGTGCCCAGGACCAACTCCGGGAAGGCCTTGCGGCCTGACTTCTGGCTTTTGGTTGGGGCGCTGGCCGTGCGCCGGAGGAGCCGCTGGCTAACGGGGGCCCTGGCTGGGGGCCGGCCAGCAGCATGACTGTCCAGAGAGCCGGGCTTGGGGCCTCGGAGGAACAGGCCTTTTAGCCCCAGAGTCTGCCTGACCTGCAAGGCAAGGGGCCCGTGTGAGCAACGGGCGGCAGGGGGGTTGGGGTGCGTGGGCACTGGCCGGCAGCTGTGGGGAGAGGCCCAGGGGCAGTGCAGCTTCGCCCTGTCTCAGTGACAGATGCAGTGGCCTCCACAGTTCCCCACATTGAGACCTGGAGCCTAAGATCTCACACCCATCCCCTACCCACACGCACATACACGCACACACACGAAGTCCCAAAGCCACTGGCCTGGGCAGGGAGGGTGGCACAGGGGCCCACAGGGCAGTGTTGCAAGCAGAGTCACTTGCACCTCTGGCTGTGCCCTCCTCTCTTCCTGCCCCTCCCCATAGGTGCTGCCTCTTCCAGGAAGCCTCTCTGGAGTCCTGCCAGGCCTCTCCAATCTGGCCCTGCTCTCTGCTCCCTGAGCCCTGGAGTCTGGGCCACGTGCAGGCCCCCGTGCCACCTGCCTCCCTGCACAGCTGGCCCAGAGGACCCTCCCTGCCTGGGGAGAGCAGCAGGGTCCTGGGCCCAGCTGGTGAGTGACTGGGTCACCCCCGAGAGGACGGCAGCTGCATCTGAGGTCCTCACATGCAGAGCCCCCCCACGGCCAGAGGCACAGAATGGCCAGCACTTGAATCAACACCGATTCAAGATCCCAAATCCAGACAATTTGGTGCTTTGGGCTGAGAGTCATTTAGAAGAAGGTCCAGGGTGTGAATGCCCAGCTGCTGCTGGGCACCAGCATGGCCCCAGCTCGGGGACCTCCTGAGGGGCCCTCGGTGTCCTGGACCTGCTTCGTAAATGCAGCCCTGGGCCTCCTGGCCTGCGGGACTAAGTCACAGTGCTGCCGGGAACCACAGATGCTGGTTGCCATGCAGTGGCGCAGGCCGCGCGCCCCGCGCTGGGATACCTGGGCGCTCCTAACAGAGCTGGCTTCTAAAGGCAGACGGACACAGACCCCACTGCAAGACCAGAGAGACAGACAGTGAGAGCCCGTGGGCACAGCCCACGGACACAGCAGACAGCACAGAGCAGACGGACACCACAGGCCCGAGGGCAACAGAACCAGGACCCTGGGAGGCCTGAGCAAGAGCCCACTGGGACCAGGAGTCATGCTGGGAGTAGGTGGGGGACAGGTCCCAGCACCCGGTCAGGGCAAGCCCCACTGCCCATAAGGAGCCTAGGACAGGACATGACTCGGGGACCCTCCTTAAGAACAGGTAGCCAGCGGTCACTTACCTTACCACTGATGTCACTGATGGCCACATGGACAAAAATGGAGGCCTCCTCCATCCCCTCCAGGTACACGTGCCGGTAGCCTGCAAGCAGGGTGGGTTCAGTTCCCCCCTCCACCCGGTCCCCTCCAAGAGGCCGCTGCTGCTACCTCACCCTGCAGGGACCGGGACTCTGCCAGAGGATGCTGATCTCGGGGGACACTGGCTAGGGGCCTACCCTGCCACACCCACTGCTCACCGGGCATCATGCTGCTGAAGGCCAGCGTCCTCTGGCCAATGAAGTCGCGCCCGATGGGGTCGTGGTCCCAGACTAGGAAGCGCACGAGCGCTATCTCGGGCATGTGCACGGTGAACACCAGGGTCTCCTCCCACATGGGGTTGAATCCTGCACAGCCGCAGGAAAGGCCGCTCAGTGCCATCCTGGGCCCTGCCCATCGGTCCCACCCTGCCCCGTAGGCCACGCCCCATCCTACTGGTCCCACCAATCCCGGCAGCCCCAACTGGCTGTTGGCTACGCCCCAGCCTGGGGCCCCACTTACACTGGAGGCCCCGCCCCCTCTGGCGGCCCCAACCACATAGCTGGCCACGCCCCATCCTGAAGGTCCCACCCACACTAGGCCCCGTCCAATTACGTCCCATCCTGCTGATCCCGCCCACAGGGGGCCCAGCCCGCGCTGCAGCCCTTCCTCACCGTTGTCGTCCACAACGCGGGTCTGGTCCTTGCTGCAGTCTACCGGGAGCCCGATGACCTCCACCTCCACGAAGGGGTCTATGATCTGCGGGCGCAGGGTCAGGCCCGGTGCGAGAGGGGCCCGCCCGCCGCCCGCCGCCCAGCCTACCTCCCCGCGGTCCCCCAGCATGGAGTCCCGCGGCTTGGGGAGCTGCTGCCCACTGATGATCCTCAGCACCAGCTGCTTTTTGAGCTGCCCCGGCAGGGGGTCCTCAGAGTTGGGGTTGAAGACGCCTGCGGATGGGGCGCGGTTCAGCGTGCAGGAGGTCTTCGCGCAAATGTCAGGGGCCGCGAGCGCGCTGGGGCCGGGGGTCCCTGAGAACAAGCAGCTGGGGGCCTGCCCACATCCGGGGACTCTGCTGCGGTGCTCACCCTGGCACATGCACGAGGGCTTGAGCACGTAGCCACAGCTGCCGTTGGCACTGAACTTGGCCCTGTTCAGCTGCAGCATCCGCCCCTCCGACTGGTAATTCAGGGCCACTGTGTGCAAAATTGCCCCTGTAGCACCCGCACCGCGTGCCCCCCACTTCCACCTCACGCCCCTGCTATCCCATCCCCAACCCTCCCTTCCCATCCCCATCCTCCCCTCCCATCCCTCAAGGCCGGAGTGCGAGTGCCCCTGGCGCTCCCAGCGTGTGGACCGCCGAGCCCCGAGGCCCCCCGCACCCCAGGCCTGGGCCCCGGCGCACCCATCTGGCAGCCGGCGTTCCAGAAGGGCTGCGGGTTGTAGTTGCTGGAGTCCACGCGGTAGGAGGAGGGGTAGATGCGGCTGAGCTGGTGCTGGTTGAAGCGCAGGTACTGCTCGGGCTTCTGCTGCAGGATGTGCTGCGCCCTGGTCTCGCTGAAGGACGATACCTGCCAGCTGCACACCACTGGGGGTGCGGGGGAGCGTCAGGGGCGCCCGGTGGCACCGCCCCCGCGCCCCAGCTGCAGCCTCACCCTCCGAGTCCACGTCGTGGGCGCCCACGGACTTGGTGTACTTCACCAGGTCCGACAGCGCTCGAGACAGTTTCATGGTCTTCTTCTGCCTGGTGGCCCTGTGGGGCGAGTGACCGCACGTGGGCGCCGGCCCTCGGCACAGGGCTGGGCCGCGAGCACACCTGCCACGCCCAGGCAGCTCCTGTGCAGGCCTGGCCAGCTTTTGCTACCATGGGGTCCTCTAAATAGCACAGCCCCGGGGCCACCTCCCCGCCACTGTGCCTCACTGACCCTCGGCTCTGGCTATCCTCGGGATCTGGGGTCTCGTCCCCCTCCTCCACGCTGGCCACCTTCTTCAGCTTGCTGCTCTTTTTCTGCAGAGAAGGCTTCAGGTGAGGAAGGCGTGAGCTGGGCCTTGCTGTCCCCAGCACCTCCCGAACAGGACGGCCAGCGGGGTGGGCGGAGGACATCTACTGAAGCCCGGGGCCCACGGGGGCTGGTTCCAGGCCAGCCACTCCAGATGCGCAGACCTTGTGCCTGGAGAAACTGCTCAGGAGCCGCCGGCTGTTCCTCCTGGCAGCGCCCGGCTCCTCCCCAGGCTCCAGGGCCTCCTCGGCCTGCAGGAGGGGACAGAGCCACAAATGAGGAACACAGACAGGCAGCTCAAGGGGCTGCTCCTGAGGATGAGTTTGGGCTCCTGTCTGCCCGCCCAGGCCCTGGGGGAAGGCGGCAGCAGGGGGCAGGGAGGGCAACGGGGGTCACCTGCCCCTCCCCCATTCCCACTGGCGCACACTGGAGACACCGAGGGCCTTGCCCCCTCCCCACCGACACGGCCCTCATGTGCTCCAGGATGTCTAGCCCGAGTGACTCACACCCAGAGGAGCTAACCCAACACGCAGGCTGCAGAGCTAAAGTGCCGGCATGGGCGGAACCCCAGGCTCGGCCCCGCTGACCACAGACCAGGAGCTATACACTCCATGAGGCCTGGGCGCAGGACCTCCAGGACTGACCAGCTGGGCGTGAGAGCTGAGGGCACGGCCACTGCCCCCACCTCCACTCTGCAGAGCCCACCTGAAGGGACTTCTTGGTTAGTCACAGACGGGACAGGGGTGGGGCAGTGAGGGCATGTGCGGGGGTGGGTCATTGCCTGCAGGGAGAGTGGGCGCGAGTCAGTGTGCATCAGGGAGAGTGGGAAACGGGTCAGTGCCTGCAGGGAGAGCAGGCGCAGGTCAGGCGCTGCAGTCCCCTCTCCCCCGTGCTGTAGAACCCTCCGGAACGAGCGTGCTGCATGTTTGCCCAGGTGTGTTGCACTCGGCTTTGCTGCCCCGGTGCTGGGGTGCAGGTTCCCCTCACCGTCTGCCCCCGCTTCTCCGCCGCCGATGGCACGCGCTTCCCCCGGGGCCCGAGCGAGGACACAGAGAAGCCGTCGGGGTCCTCACAGTCGCGGATCCTGGACTCCTTCAGGAGTGAGTCCAGTTTCTTCTTGGCGACGCTCTCCACGCGCTTCCGGCTGGCAGAGGCCTATGAGGGCCAAAACTTGCTGCGCATGGTCCAGCCTGGACACGAGACCCGGGGCTCACGCCTGGGGTGGGTGGAGGGGCTGGGACCCGAAGCCCATGCTGCCCGTGCCCTTGCCCCTGCCTGGCCCACCCGTGCCCACCCGCTGCCCACCTCCCCGTCCAGCAGCTTGCAGTCTTCGTCCATCTCGTCGGCACTGTCCTCATCCGACACGTCCCCCTCCTCGGCGTCCTCGCTGAGCGTGGCCGGCAGCTTCTTACCCTGGGGGAGAGGGGTGTGAGTGGCACGCAGGGATGTGGGGGACCCGGCTCCCGACCTGGGCGCACCTTCACCAGGATTTTGCCCCTGAGCACGTGCGGGGAGGGTAGCGTGTGGGCGTCTGCCCCGTGCACACTGGACAAGTCCAGCTTGTCCCCAAGGATGTCGCTCAGATACTGCGCCATCTTCTTCTGCTGCGCCACGCTGCAGTGGTTCTCCAGGGACAGGATCACGGGGTACCTGCCCAGAAAGACGGGGCCCTAAAGGGGTGTGGCTGGCCACCCTGTTCTCCAGGGGGCCAGGAACCCCGGACAGGTTCCTGCGCCAGCCCCCTCCCCACCCTCAGGAGTGGGGCAGCTGGGGAGAAGCTTCCTCAGGTGCCACAGCCTTAAGGGGCGCCACGCGGGGAGGAGGGAAGGGGGTACAGCGGCGGGGGGCGAGGAGGCACTGGGGCACGGCGGGGCAACAGACATAGGCACAGCGGTTGGAGGTGCAGGGCCTGGCAGGCTCTGACCACATTGCCATGACCTGCAACCCCTGAGCTGGATTCAGAGGCTGGAGGGGCCTGAGGGCGTCCATGGCTCCTCTGAAGGGCACCTCCGTCACCCCAGGCTCCATGCCCTGCTCTCACTGTTACCCCGGGGTTTGTGCCTGCTCTCACCGTCACTTCAGGGTCGGGCCCCCAGGCTGCGCTCAGGTTTCAGGACCTGCCTGGGACCGGCCACTCCCTGCAGCTCTCTGGCTGCTGGACCCCGTGTGTCTGTCCCCTCAGAGGAGGTGGGGAATGTGGGGGGCTGTTCCCTCCCTGTGGCTCCTTCTATCCTTCTGCCCCAGGGTCACAGGGGTCCCAGCCTAAAGCCAGGGCTTCCTGGCTGCACCCTCCAGCACCCTCCAGTTGGCCGGCACTGCACCACTTTCCCGAGGGTCCCAGGCTCTGCCAGCAGGGTGGGTGCCCGACCCAGCTCAGAGCAGCGCCAACTACACCAGAACGACCTACAAGCGGCACGAGGGCGCGTGTGCACGCGGGTGTCCGGTCATGTGTGTGCTGTGTGTGTGTCACTGTATATGTGGGGGCCGGGCAGGGTCAGCGTCCACCAGGAGCTCCAGGCCCACCCGTGTCAGTTCATAACAAGGGCTGAGAAGCTGCTAAAGAGCCCCAGATGGGCCCATATATGGCAGTGGAGAAGGCACTTGCCCTGCACACCACAGACCTGAGTTCGATCCCGGGCCCCGCCAGGAATGATCCCTGCACACAGAGCCAGGAGTAAGCCCTGAGCACCACCAGGTGTGGCCCCCAAACAGACAAATGCAGCTTAAACAGAAATAAAGGAATTTGGGTGACAGCTGCAGCCAGGCAGGCTGCGAGGGCCTGAGCAGATACTGCCTCAGCTCCGGCACCACGTGTCCCCCAGGTGTCCCCAGCATAACGTGAAGGATGGCCCCAGCACCCCCAGGTGTGGCCCCAACATAACAGCATTAGTAATAAAGGTTATGAGACACGCCTGCAGTGGAGAGACAGCGTGGAGCCCGGCCTGTGTGGGGATCCCTGGGGCACCTCCAGAAACCAACAGTGTACTCAGAGGAGGACGAGATGTATTTGAAGATGGGTGCTCGTGTGGGAGAAGCCCCACGTCCCTGCTGAGGGCCTGGACGCACAGAACAAATGCCAGACTCACGGACCAAAATGGCTCACCTGAGGAAGCAGGACAGTGGTCCACACTGGGAACCCCTGACGACCCCCAGGGAGCCCCCAGAGAGGGCAGCCAGGGGTTGGCAGAGACTTTGGTTCCTGAGGAAAAGGACTCCACAGTCATACCCACCAACCTCCCAGAATTGTGTTTCAAGGAGTGAGGACAGTTTTATACGGAAGCAGGTGAGAGTGACACACAACCACTCACTGGTCACCCCTCAGACAGAGCAACTTCACCTCCCCTCAGACATACAGCCACATCACCTTTCCTCAGAAGGAATATTACCTCCTCTCAGACAGAGCAATGTCACCTCCCCTCAGATGGAGCAACATCACCTCCCCTCAGACACAGAGCAACATTACCTCCCTTTAGACATAGAGCAATGTCACCTTCCCTCAGAAGGAGCAATGTCATCTCCCCTCAGACAGGTCGAAGATACCTCCCATCAAAAAGAGAGCAACATCACCTCTTCTCAGAGCCACGCCACCTCTCCTCAGACACAGAGCAACATTACCTTCCTTCAGACATAGAGCGATGTCACCTCCCCTCAGAAGGAGCAATGCCATCTCCCCTCAAGAGAGCAATATTACCTCAAAGAGCAACATCACGTCCCCTCACTTAGCAACGTCACCATCCCTCAGAGAGCAATGTCACCTCCCCTCAGACACAGACCAAAGTCATCTCCCCTCAGATAGAGCAATGACATTTCTCTTTATACATAAAGCAGGGTCACCTCCCCTCAGACAAAGAGCAAATTCACCTCCCCTCAGACAGTGCAATGTCACCTCTGCTCAGTCAGAACAAGTTACCTTCCCTCAGACTCTCAGACAGAGCCTCCCCTCAGAGGGAGAGCAGTGCCACCTCCCCTCAGACAGCAACCATCTCCTCCCCTCAGGCACAGCGATGTCACCCATAGCACCAAGACCCCCCGACATGGTGTTCTGCAGTGGGCATTGGACTCAAGGCCGAGTGTCCCCCTGACCTATCCCAGAGCCCACACAACTCAGGACTCAGGCACTTCCGAGGGCAGACAGGCAGTGCCAGAGAACACTGCCATGCACCGGCGTATCACGGAGAACAGTGCTCAGTGAGTGGCACCAAAGCTGCAGGGACCCGCCACCGATGCCTGGGAGCACAGCCAAGGGAGCACCGTAGCACAGGCAGCCCAGCCAGGCGGGGTGGGCACGGGGCGAGCACATGCAGGCAAAGCCTGCTGGGGCTCTGGAAACACCGAGAAGGGCTGACGCGCCACCGACCCACTGCCAGGCCATTCTGGGCCTGAGTCACCCCGTGTGGCAGCTTGATGAGCCGTGACAGTGACTGGCCGCCTGGCAGAAGCGGGGCACCTGGCCAGCTCCCCTGCCATAACAGATGCGCCCGTCACGCGAGCCTCCTGTTCCACTCGGGGCTGACAGGGCCACAAGGTGTGGGGGGCTTCTGAACCAGGCACACCATTTTAGGGGCATCTCTTAGAACCAGGAGCAAGGCAGCCTCGCCCCGGCACCTCTTGGACCTGTCGAGTGTCAAGCTCCAGGCACCGCAGACAGATCGGGTCAGAGAAGGACACGGTGTCCCCGCAGACGGGCTGAAGCCGCGGCTGGAACCCTAAACGCGGTGGAGACCAGACCCCCATGCCCTGGGCCGGAGCCCCCTGCCCCTGCAAAGGAGGACCAGGAAATGAACGACGATGGCAAAGGCTGCATGAGCAACTGGCTTCTCAGAACGCAGAGACGCAGGGCAAAGGACAGGAGGTACAGACACAGGCCCAGGTCCCACCCCAGGAGGGACGTGAGGGCAGCTGTCCCCGAGAATCCCTGGTCAGAGTGTTTGTCCTCAAGGACACGCGGTGCCTCCGCCCTGCGGGTTCAAGGCTTGGGGCCTCACCTCCCGTTTCTCAGGAGCCCGGGAGCCCCTGGCTGGAACTGCAGGATGGGCACCCCCTACCACAGTCTCTGCCCTGCGCCCTGGAATGCTGGGATGCGGGCACTACCGCCCCTTCCAGGAACGGATCTCGACTCGGGGGCAGCACAGAGTGTCCCGCCATGCCGAGTCAGGGCGCACAGCCAGGCCAAGTCCAGCATCCAGCCAGGCCAAGTCAGGCAGGCACCCTGCCTCCCGCGCCGCCAGCACTTACTCATTCTTGGCGAAGGCGTACTTGTTGATGGTCTCCACCACATCTCGGAAGAGGATCTTGGAGGTCAGGGTGTAGCCGTGGTGCACGATGGGCTCCCCGTCCGGCCCGTCCCAGCAGTCCACTGCGGGAGCCACGGAGGTCGGCAGAGAACTACAGCCCCACCCCACCATGCCCCTGCCGTGCCCCCACGCCAAACCCCACCCCACCCATGTCCACACTATGCTCCATCCACGCCACACTCATACCATGCCCACCCATGCCCCGCTCCACCATACTCCACCCATGCCCCGTCACGCCACGCCCCAGACCCCAGCACACCCTGTCCCATTGCCCACCGGCACTTCACCTTCCACGCAGCGGCAGCCCGCCTGCAGGGCCCAGGCGTACATGTCCACGCGCGACTGGGACATGAGCTGGTCGCCCACCAGGTACGTGTTGTGGGACGAGGTGATGAAGTAGTGGCTCAGGGGCTGCGTCATGTCCTGGTGTACCCCGTGGTGCTCAGGGTTGAAGATGTCACCTGCGGGGCTCCGGGTGTAGTTGGTGAAGCCTGGGGGAGGCCATGGGGGGCTCAGAGAAGGGGCTCAGCCGCCCCGCAGTGTCCTTGCCGCAGCCTCCCAGGACACCCGGGGGCTCCGCTCACCATCGATGCCCAGCACCCCCTTCCTCTTGTTCTCCGGGCATGGCTCGAACTGCTCGATGAGGTCCCGGCAGCCCTCCAACGTCACACCTGCCATCTAGGGCACAAGCGGGACGGTCCTGGCCACATCCTCCACCAGGGACTCGACCCACCGCCAGGCCATGCCCACCCATGCTTCTGCTCTGACCCCCTCGAGGTTACGAGGTCCCTGAAGCAGGGCAGAGCTCCAGCTGCACCCACCACCCACCCCCACCCCACCCGGTGAAGGGGCCCAGATCTGGAGGCCAGGGGAGTCCTGGCCAGCACAGCCGGGAGCGGAACAGAGCCCTGGGGCAGATGGACTTGGAACCCCAAATCTCAGGCTGCTATCCCACTCCTCTAGCCTGTGCTCAGCTGCATGTGGGCTCGCTCAGCTGCACGTGGACATGCTCAGCCGTATGTGAACATGCTCAGCCACAATGGACTTGCTCAGCCACACGTGGACTCGCTTAGCCGCAAGTGGACATGCTCAGCCACACGTGAACTCGGTCAGTCACACGTGGACACGCTCAGCCGCACGTGAACTCGCTCAGCCGCACGTGGACTCGCTCAGCCGCACGTGGACATGCTCAGACACACGTGGACTCGCTCAGTTAGTTGCACGTGGACATGCTCGGCCACATGTGGACTCGCTCAGCCACACGTGTACATACTCAGCCACACGTGAACATGCTCAGCCATACGTGGACATGCTCAACCACACATGGACTTGCTCATCCACACGTGGACTCGCTCCGCCACACGTGGACTCGTTCAGTCACACAGGGACATGCTCAGTCACACTTGGACATTCTCAGACACACGTGGACATGCTCAGCCACATGTGGACATGCTCAGCACATGTGGACTCGCTCAGCCGCACGTGTACATACTCAGCCACACGTGAACATGCTCAGCCATACGTGGACATGCTCGACCACACATGGACTTGCTCATCCACATGTGGACTCGCTCAGCCACACGTGGACTCGTTCAGTCACACAGGGACATGCTCAGTCACACTTGGACATTCTCAGCCACACGTGGACATGCTCGGCTGCACATGGACTCGCTCGCCCGTACGTGGACATGCTCAGCCGCACGTGGACTCACTCAGCCACACGTGGACTCACTCAGCCACACATGGACATGCTCGGCCACATGTGCACTTGCTCAGCTACATATGAACATGATAAGCTGCACATAGGTGAGTGTAGCCACACGTGGACACATTTAGTCATCTGTGGACACACTCAGATACGCATAGACATGTTCAGACATCTGTGGACATGTTCATGCTCGGCCACACTGGATGCGCCCAGCCACACACATGGACGATCAGCCTCACCTTCTGCTCCACCTCCAGGAAGCGCTGTAGGTCAGCAGCATCCAGGTGGTCCTTGTGGTTGCTGTAGGTGAGCATGAGCAGGTAGAGGTCTCGACGGGTGGACATCATCTTGTAGAAGGCGCAGAACTCCTCGAAGCCCAGTGACCCTTGGTGGTCATCTGTGTCTGCTTCCTGCAATGCCAGCCTTTAGGGGCCCTGTTCCCAGGTACTTCTCATGACCCCACTGGCTCAAGGATTGCCCGCTGCGACGTCACACCCCAAGGACACCAAAGGCCAAGCCCAGGACAGACAAGAGGACAGAGCAGTGTCCATAGCCTGACCAAGGAAAGGCTGAGATCCGTGGTCCCTGGGAGAAACCCTGAGGGTACTGCGCACATCTCTAGCCTGCCGGGCAGAGACCCAGCCCCTGGAGGAGGGAGTCCCCACAGTCCCGGGCTCGGTCCCACCCCGCAAGGCACCAGGTGGCACGGGCGAGCCCTGGGGTCCTATGAGCCATGGCATTTGGTGATGGGGAAGCCGCCGCCCCCCCCCCCCCGCGCCCTCTAGCAGGACGGGGGCGCCCAGGAGGTCAGCTTGGTGCTCCTTCCCGGCTGAGGTGGGAATCAGAACACGCGTGTTTGTGGTGGGAGCAGGACTGAGGTGGCTCTGGGTGTGGGGCCCACGGAGACACAGTCAGGCCCCAGGACCCTGCTCAGGTCAAGGAGAGCAGTAGCGCCACCATGGGAGTCACCGAGGCATGGAGCCTGTGGCGCTGTTCCCCCACTCCTCTCCTGTTGCTGAGGGGCAGCCCCCAGCAGGAAGCAGCCCTGGGTCTTCTAGCAGATGTGTGCCCCCGCTGCAGAGAGCAACTGGGCCCCGGCAGCTGCAGAGGCTACTGCCACGCGCTGACCGGTGTGGACATACGAACAATGGACAGTTTGAGCTGTCTGGCTCAGGCCTCCGGGCCCAGAGCCCACCTGTGCTGCCCTGGCTGTGGGCAAACAGGCTTCTTGGAGGGGGTCTGGTCAGAGCTGACAAGGCCTGCTGGGTGTCAGGGGGCTATAGGGCGGCGGCGTGGGGCCCTAGTCCCTGGCAAGGTCATTTTCAAGCAGGGATTGCGCCCTGAGACTCCAGAGCTCAGAAGCCTGTGCTGCTCCACCCCAGGCCTGCTCACGCCTCTCCTCTGCCCCGGCCAGTCTTGATCCGCTTGCCAGCCTGCTGACTCTGAACTGAGCTGGGCGGGGCTGGGCGGCCAGTGGCGGCCAGCCTGCGGGGGCATGAACACTCATCTTCAGCCAGCAGTGTGAGAACACCCTGCCCCCATTTTCCTGCAAACCCCCATTCTCAGAGTTGCCAAGTGTGACCACTGACCACCAGACTGGGCCTGCCTGAGCAGTATGAGTGGGCAGGAGAGGCTGGAGTGTGTGTGTGCATTTACCCAGTGAGCACGCGTCGAAGTGTGCATGTATGTGTCAGTGCTATGTGTGCATGTGTGTGCATGGGTATATGTCTGCAGGTATGTGAGTATAAGTGCATATGCGTTCATGTGTCTGAGGACACATTTGTGTGAGTATGCATGTATGTGGGTGGGCATACGTGAGTACAGTATGAGTGTGAATGAGCATGACTACATATCAGTGCATGTGCATTGGTGTGCAAGGTATTGTATCAATTTGAGTATGCATGCATGTGAGTGCACATGTGAGCATGTGAGTATATGTGTGACTGTGTGCATGAATGTGAATACTTGCTTGTATGTGCGTTTCTTTTTTGGGTGTGTGTGTGTGTGAGTGCAGGTTTGTGTCTGTGAGTGCATGCATGCAAATGCATCTGTGTACATGTGTGAGTGTGGTTATGTGTATGAGTGCATGCACATGAGTGTATTTCAGGTTGCATTCTGTGAATGTATGCATGCAAGTGTATTTGTGTGCGAGTGTGCTTGAGGTTGTGTGTCTATGAGCATATGCATACAAGTGCATGTGTGTATATGAGTGAGTTGTGTGTCTATGAGTACATGCATGCAAGTGCATGTGTGTGCAGCTGTTGAGGTTGTGTGCCTGTGAGTGCATGCATGCAAGTATTTGCATGTGTGTGCATGTGTGAGAGTGTGTGCCTGTGAGTGCACACATATGTGTGCCTGTGAGGTTGTGTGAGTGGATGTTTGTGTGAGTGTGAGGGTGTATGAGGGTGTGAGTGAATATGTGTGCTAGTGTGAGGGTGTGTGAAGTTGTGTGTGTAAGAGGATATATGTGTGACTGTGTGAGGGTGTGTGAGGTTGTGTGTGTGAGTGGCGGTATGTGACTGTGTGACGGTGTTTGTGAGTGGATGTGTGTGCGGGAGTGTGAGGGTGTGTGAGTGGATGTGTGTGAGGGTGTGTGAGTGGATATGTGTGAGGGTGTGTGCAAGTATGTGAAGGTGTCTGTGGGTGTGGGTGTGTGTGTTGGGTAGGCCTGGTACACTCTCCAGCAGCACCAGGAGCTGCCTAGCCCTTGGCATGTCACCTGTCACCAGGACTGCTGGCATGGCTTCACTCCCCAGACAGGGACTCCAGGGACAAGCAACTAGTGGTGGATGACAAGGGCCATGGGGGATGCAGGAGGACCCACCCACCTCCCAGCACAGGACCTGGTGAAAGGGGCTTCATGAGGTGAGTCTGAGCTACCTCTTGTGGCTGGACAAGTGGCCCCAGGCCCCAACGGTGAGGACCTGTGGGGTGTCCTGAAAGGCAGGGGCTGTGTCAGTGCTGTCTGCTGGAAAACCCACAGCCACTGCCCCTTCTGCACAGCCGCTATGCTGCAGTCCCCAACCCCAGTTCCCCTACACTGTATGCCCAGCCTCCCACTTCCTTAAACTGCAGCCCCCGCCCCTAAGTGCAAGCCCCAGCCTGTGCTGCAGCAGGCCCCGCCTCTATGTGCAAGCCCCGCCCTATGCTGCACCCCTGCCCCTATGCTGTAGCCCCACCCCATGTGCAGGCCCCGCCCCTGTGTTGCAGCCCCGCCCCCATGACAGGCCCCGCCCCATGATGCAGGCCCCGCCCTATGCTGCAGCCCCGCTCCCATGTGCAGGCCCCGCCCCTGTGCTGCAGCCCCGTCCCCAGGTACAGGCCCCGCCTCTCACCTTGAACATCTGCTTCACGCGCTGCCGGGGCAGGTTCACGTTGAGTTTGTGCAGCAGCTGAAGCACCTCCCCGATGCTCAGGCTGCCGTCCCCATTCTTGTCCGCCTCATCGAACGTCTGCTTCAGCCACTTTGGGGCGAGTTAGGGGCGACACTCGGAGCAGGGCGCCCCCGCCCCCCTGCGCGGCCTCCTCGCCCCCCAAGGATATTGGTCGCGGGTGCGCTGGCGCCGGGCCAGGCTGTCCTCGTCGCTGATGCCGGCCATGAGGTAACGCAGGCCCGTGACCCAGATCCGCGCCTCCTCCCCGCTGCGGGAGACCAAGTCCAGCGACTCCCGCGGGCTCCCATGGTAGATGCTGAAGCAGCAGTTGGGGTCGAAGCTGCCGTCAGGGTAGCGCTGGAAGATTTCCGACTGCCGCCCCTCACTCACCTCCTGGATGGAGTCAATGGAGACTGCGGGGGGGGGGGGGGGAAGGGGGAGAGGGCAGAGGGACGGTCACAGCCAGATTCCCGCCCCCAGGACCCGGCCTAGGTCCCTGATGGTTGGGGGTGCGGGGGCCCTTGACGTAGACCAGGCAGCAGGGAGCCCAGGCCCTCCAGCAACCCCCTGCAGGGGCCCTCCGGACTTGTAGCCCTGGGTCTCTCCCCCACCTGCAGGGCGTAAGGCCCTGGCTCCGCCCAAGCGACCTGACCCTGCCCACACAGTTGTGGCCTCGCCCCTCTGCCGTGGCCCCGCCCCTTTCCTGTGTGACAGCCCCGCCCCCCACTTCCTTCAGTCTCAGCTTCAGGAGACTCCGTGTCACCGTCCTTCAGACCTTCAGGGTACCCCGTGCTGGCACAATTGCAGCGGTGGGCAGCCCCTCCTCAGGGCCTTCAGCTGCAGAGGAGGGGCTGACCCTCTCCTGCCCACTCCTGAGGACACACGTGTCCCACCCTGACCACAGACTGGTCCATCCCTGTGCCCTAGTCCTGCCTGCTATGCCACCGGACCTGATGCCCCGTGGCCAGCAGGGCTGAGCCCAGGGTCCAGGGGCAGCCTGCGTGCCCAGGCACCATGCCACTCACTCTTGGCCTTCTCGCTCTTGCGGGATGGCCGCCAGCGGACGCAGGAGCGATGCTCGTCCAGGAAGTAGAAGCGGGCCAGGCCCTTGGAGCTGCCGCGGAGCTTGACCATCTGCGTCCCCGCCTGCATGGCACTCATGCAGTGCTCCACTGGGCGCACAGACAGAGAGACAGACTGCAGTGAGCGCAGTCCCGGCTCAACATGCCCATACCCAGCCACAGGCTGTCGGGTCATATCCCAGAGCAGTGGCCAGCTTCATCCTGCATGACCCGTATGTCCAGCAGAAGGGGCAGGACAGAACAGGGCAGGACAGGACGGCACGGCAGGGCAGCAGAGTCACTCTTGGAGCCTGGATGTACCAGCCCGGAGCCCTGGTGACGCCGGCACACTCTCCCTGAGACAGCACCCACACCGCCTCCGGAGCCGCCCAGGGCCTCCAGCCAGGCTCTGCACCGGACTCGCTCCCCTCCACCCCTGCCCCTCCCCTGCCCTCTCCATCCTCCCCCTCCCTTCTCCCCTTCTCCCCTCCCTATCTCCCCCTGCACATGCAGGGTGTCCCAGAGGAGGATGTGCCCAGCCAGAGGCTCTCTGGGACCTGAGACATCACATCTGCCTGCAGAGTCCAAGCCCAGGGGTGCCTTTGCTAACTGTTCACATGACCCCTCAGGGTCCCCCTACACCCAGTCATGTGACCAGCCCCTCAGGGTTCCCTAAGGCTGCAGGCCGTGGGGTGAGCCTCAGAGACAGAGGGGAGAGCTGTGAGAGGCAGGAGGCATGAGTCGGGGGCCTGGCCCCAAAGGCTAATGTCAGGTTCCGGAAGCTCCCTGTAGCCCTCTCAGGCAGCTGAGCAGATGGGGCTGTGCTGAGGGCAGGCCGCATTACTGGGCCGGGTGCTGAGGGCTGGGTGCTGGGTCGGGTGCTGAGGGCTGGGTGCTGAGGGCTGGGTGCTGAGGGCAGGTTGCGGTGCTGGGCCAGGGACTGAGGGTTGGGTGCTGAGGGCAGGCCGTGGTGCTGGCTGGGTGCTGAGGGCTGGGTGCTAGGCTGGGTGCTGGGCCAGGTGCTGAGGGCTGGGTGCTGAGGGCAGGCCATGGTACTGGGCCAGATGCTGAGGGCCAGGTGCTGAGAGCAGGCCACGGTGCTGGGCCGGATGCTGAGGGCCAGGTGCTGAGAGCAGGCTGTGGTGCTGGGCCGGGTGCTGAGGGCCGGGTGCTGAGAGCAGGCTGTGGTGCTGGGCTGGGTGCTGAGAGCCGGGTGCTGAGGGTTGGGTGCTGAGGGCAGGCCGCGGTGCTGGGCCAGGTGCTGAGGACTGGGTGCTGAGGGCAGGCCGCGGTGCTGGGCCGGGTGCTGGGTCAGGTGCTGATGGCCGGGTGCTGAGGGCAGGCTGCGGTGCTGCTTTTTACTGGGGCGCCTGCTGCCAGGCTGGCACTGCCACCCTCACTGGCTCCCGGGTCCCCTCCAACCATCCTCCGCACTCAGCTCCCATCACCCTGGACTGATCCCCCTGTTCCATGGCTGTGCCTGGCATTCCTGGGACTCCAGACTCTGGGGGTCCAGGGCGCTTGGGGCAGCTCCCCAGCACGGCCTCATGGGTCTCATCCCTGAGCCTGGGCCCTGGGGTGGGCAGCCCGTCATGTGGGTACCAGTTGCTCAGTCGAGCCCTGCAGCCGTCAGGTGGGTGGGGGGGCTCATGGCCTACATACACCGGCGCCCAGGCCCCCTGCCAGCCATCCAATGTGCCCACCGCTTTCAGTGCCACAGGGGCTGAGGGACCAGATGGGCAGGAAGGCTCGCGGTGGACAGAGAAGCATGGGACAGGGATGTCCCCGAAGTCCAGAGGCTACACGTGCCCAGAGGCAAGGCTGACCCAATGCCTTTGCCCGCGCGTCCTCCCTGTTCCCTACCTCAGCTTCTGGTTTACTGAAAGTGTCCCTGTTCTCTCCACTCCTGTGGGACAGAGGCTGTGGGACAGAGGCAGTGGGGACAGAGGTGGGTTCCCTGGGCCTGGGGGTTACGGGTGGCCTCGGTGGCCCACACTGTGCTCATTCCCCCAGGAGGGGCTTGGGGGCTGCTCTACCCTGGCTCAGTGGGGGTGTGGCTGGAGGGGGTCTGAAGGGGGTGCTGGCCTGAGCCGTTCTGTTGTCCCCTGGCCTGGTGGCATCTGGGTCCTGCAGGAGGGTCCCCGTGGGCATGAAGGGCCTGTGCCCCCCAGCTCAGATGCAGGAGATGGGTGCTCAGTCCCAGGGAGCTCCTCACTGCACCCCGGTCCCTCCACCAACATTCTGCAGCCCCACTCCCGCCGCTATCCCAGCAGGACGCCAGCCAGCCACAGTGACATCCACGGTGCTTCCTGGTGCCTGGCCACGCCGGCCCCCTCTGTCCTGGGCCCCATCCCAAGTGCCCCTGACTGTCGGGCCCCCACCCCATCCCCTGACTGTCCTGGGACCGTAGTGTCTCTCGCCGTGGCGGCACATCTACACCAGGGTCCCTCCGGGCAGAGTGGGCTGGCAGGAGTCCCCGCCAGGTCGGCGCCCCCGTGTGCCCAGTGTGGGCCTTGCAGGAGCTTGGGGCAGTGCCGCCTCTCTGCAGCCCCTGGAGAGACCTTCCCTGAAGCCCAGGTGGGCCCAGGAAGCTCCGCAGAGCGGGGGCTGCAGCCTGGAGGAGGGGCCGGGCCAGCTCGGGAGGCGGCAGCATCTGCCAGGGCTGGACGGCGGCCGGCGGCGGGCACGGAGCCACATGCGGAAACAGAAGGACCCGCCGCAGCTCCTCCTCCGGGCGCAGGCCCACAGCATGCCCCTCTGCGGCGTGGCCAGGGGGGCTGCCCCTGCTGGCCGCATACTGCAAGGGTCACTGGGCTCACCGGAGGTGCCCCGAGGGTCCCTGGGGGCACTGATGGCCCTGTGCTCTGAGCTGGTGCCCACCTCGGACACAGGCTGGCAGCGCCCTGGGGGTGTGAGGGCCACGTTCCGGAGCCCACACTGGCACCGCCTCAGCAGCGTGTCCCTTCCGGAGCCCACGTCTGCCACGCTGAGCGCCTGTTACTCATCCCTCCGCACCCCCAGCCCGGCCAGCCCCTCACCCACACTGGCGCTGCCGAGGGTCCCGCTCAAGGACAGCGCCCACCTGCCCCAGACCCTGCCCTGCACCACTAGTGGGGGGCTAGTGGGTCTGCCCGGGACCCCCAGGTCTGCAGGGGCTCCCCCCGTAATGGGCACACGGCCAGACGTGGGCAGAGGCAGCCCAGGTTTGTCACAGTCCTCGCTTGGCTGAGCGCAGGTGAACCTCAGAGCCCCCAGGACTGGGCAGGCAAGAGGAGTGATGCCCACACCCCCTCTCAATCTGCAGCCAGGCAGCCCCTCCCCCACACCCACCCCATCAGGGCCCCTGCCGGCCAGCCCCGAGCAGGGACACCTGGTTCACTGCCCTCACAGCGGGCGCTGTTGCAGGGCTGCACCGGAACAGCGGAGGGTCAGCGGTCAGCCATGAGCACTCCGCCCACTGCCAGCCCTGCTGCCCTGTACCTGGGTCTGGGCAGCGGTGGCGCCCCACCCCCACCCCTGCGGAGCACTGCCCGCATTAACCCTTCATGCCCCGCAGGGGCTATGCCAAGTCCCGCACGGGGCTGGGCTGCTCTGAGCTCCGCTTCAGCGGCCGGACACCGCGGCACCCGCAGGCCACCTCCTGCCGGGGCTCAGAAAGGACATCCCACTCATGTCCCCCCAGCCAGTTCGGGAAGACCCCACCCCAGCACAAGCTGTCTGCTGACCCCCCACACAGCCCTCCCCACCCCTTCCCGGGACCTGGCAGGATGGGACAGCCCAGCTTTGGGGCACTGCCCACTGCCCCTGAGGCCCCGCCCCCACGCTCATGCAGGCACTTGAGGAGCAGCAGCAAAGAACTGACCGGCCGCACCTTTCCCCACTGCGGCCTGACCCCTCCCCATGCCCCTAGTCCTGAGCCCCTAGCCCCCTCCCATGCCCTCCCGAGCACCTTGCCCCTTGGGCTGTGTGGGGCCTGGGCAGGGCTGCCTGAGGTGTCCACCTGTCTCTCAGTTTCCGCCTGGGCCCCACAGAACACCTGTGGTGGGAAAGGGGCAGGGGCTCATCAGGGGGTCCGGGGCCTGGCCCTTCTGCTCAGAGAAACACGCTGTCCGGGATGGAACCTCCGAGCCAGGGTAGGGTTTGGCGGCAGAGCTGAGGGTGCACGGAGCAGGCAGAGACAGCTGAAGCCCAGCTGACCCCAGGCCCTTTGTGTCCCCACGGGCTAGCATGTAGGGGTTCACACGCACTCACACGCACTCACACACTGACACGCACTCACACATGCTCATACACTCATATGCACTCACATGCGCTCACACACACTCACCCACATTTGTACATGCTCACACGCACACATCATATACACTGACATGCACTCACACACACATACTCACACATGTTCACACAAACACTCATTCATGCTCACACATACATGCTCACACTCACACCCTTGTACACGCTCACACATGCTCATACATGTTCATACACACGCATGCATGCCTACAGGCACTCGTACCTGCTCACACATGCCTGGCTGTGCCCGCACGAAGCTTCCGCCTGCACTGGGAAGCGGTCCCCACCAGCGCCGTTCGGCCCGGTGAGTCCTGACAATTCACTGCCTGGGTCTCAGTTTCCCTGTTTGTCCAAGCAAGCCTAGAGCCTGGACAGCAGCTGAGGTGGTAGACACAAGCTTGTCCTCCTGCAGAGGCCCAAGAGGACATGGCTGGCCCGAAGGGGAGAAGCCCCAGGTCCCTAAGATGAGGCTGAGCGCCCGGGAGGGAGGCCGAGAGCAAGCAGCAGGGAAAGGGCCCGGGTCCAGGCCTGGCCGGCACTGCAGCCAGGCCATGCAGAAGTGGACGCCAGAGAGACTCTGGACGAGTCTATGGGGGAGGGGTGCCTGGGGGGAGCCCCACACGGACAGCCCCAGCCCCATCCTCCTGTCCCTCAGGACAGCGAACCTGGGGACTGGCCAGGCCCAGTGGCCCGGGGGAAGCACAGAGCAGTGCCTGCCCAGCCCCCAAAGCCTGACCTAGATTCTGTGCTCGCATGCTCGGGCACAGCGTGCTGCTGGCACCAGACAGAAGCAGGGCTCCAGGGCACGGGCACCGAGGCCCTTGCCGGCTGCCTCCCACTGTCCCTGGAGAGGTCTGCCGGAAGCTGCCGGGCCCCCCGGGTTCAGGCTGTCCCCTGGCCCTCGTGACAGAAAGCTTCAGAGCTGCTGCGACAAGTAGATGCCGAGCCTTAGCCCTGCGGCCGGCCAGGTCCGGACACCCTCCTGCTTCCTCTTGCCCAGACACCTGCCGAGACCCCCGTGGGCACCCCAGCGACCCCGGTCACGGAGGACCGGGCAGACCTCTCCTGGCACCCTGTCCAGGCCGCGGGAGCATGAGGCGGGTGCCGTGATGACAGGGGTCTATCCCCAAGTCCCCCACACTGAGACAGCACACAGCTGTGCATAGAAACGGTTCCTGCATGTTCCCAGCCCCATCCCGAAGTCACAGCCTCAGAGCGCCCGCGGGTGCTCCCTGCCTCCTGCCACTGCCCAGAACGCAGAACGCACAGCTGAGGGCCCCTCCTGCTGGGTCACCCTCCTGGCGGGCTGTCACCCTGGCAGCCCCCCCCCCCCCCCCACTGACAGCCATCCAGCACCACACAACAGCTGCTCACTTTCTCTTCTGGGCAGAAAGAGAAAGAGGTGCAGAGGGCTTTTGGGGGCCCTGGGTGCATCCCAGGTGCAGGCAGAATCAAACTGCCTGTAGGGGCCTTCATGCGGAGGTCAAAGATCACTCCCTGCCCACTAGTGGACCCCGAGATCAGACCCCACATCTGGGCCCACAGAGCAGACCCAGAGGGTCCCCAGCCTGGGTCTGGGAGGACCTTGGGTCACTGGGCTCCTCCAGGTCTGAGAGCTGGCATGCCAGGGGCAAAGGGCATCGCCCAGTCCTCTGTAGAGCCCCCAGCCCTGCCAAGGCCAAGCCCATCCCTCAGGAGAGCTCGCTCACTCTCGGTCCCCAGGACTGCCCGGACCCTTGACCCCAGGGGGCAGCACCCCGTGGACAAGGTGTGGAGGGGCTATTTGCTTCCAGGCCCCCTCCAGCCGCGGCTGAGCCTGGGGGCCAGGCATGTACCCCCCTACCCAAATCACGTGGCCTCAGGGGTCAGCCCAGAGGCCCTCCCCGCCAGGGCACTGTGCCACACAGACGAGAACAATCGTCATGAATGCGGAGCCCAAAATAACCCCGGGGTGCGCGTGCCGCCCGCCGGAGTGGGGGGCTGAGTCAAAGCCAGCTGCAAACCCGCTTTAAAAATACCCCAAACACACAAACACGCACGCACGCGCCCGCCCGCGCTGAGCCTTGCTGGGCTGGGAGAGGGCACACAGGGGTCGCAGCCCCGTCTCTCGGGAGGGTCCCTGCCTTCCCGCCCATCTGTAGCCCAGGGAGGGCTGCCCGGGACTCCCCGAGCCCCTCAGAAACCCCCTGTCCCGCCCACAGGACACCCGCTGTGCTGCGCAGGTCAGTGTCCACAGAGATGGGCAGCAGCCCTAGCCCCCACGGCTGCTACACCGACCACTCCACGTCGCCCCACGTCACCCAGTGTCCCACACCACACTGTTCCCACCCGCTACCTCATGCCGAGAGCGCCCAGCACTGCTGCCTGGTGCTTCCCCAGTGTCTCCGGGCCATCCTCAGCCCCCAGGGCTGGGGAGCATTTCCTGGGTGCTCCCGCAGCCCCTCACAGCCCAGGGAACCCCAAGCCCTGGCCCCTAGGCAAGGCTCAGGCTCCTGAAAGGTAGGGTCCTCGAGTCCAGTTCTGGGGGCTGCCCTGTGCTAGCGGGCCAGCCCTCCTGCCTGTTACCAGTGTGTCCCGAGGGTGATGGGCTGCCCTGTGGGACCCCAGGGTCAGGGAGGCACGGCCATGCCTGTCAGAGGGCCTCAGGGAACAGGGAGCCCTGGAGCAGAGCTGACTTTGTGGGCATGACGGTGTGGCTCGGCCTGACTCACCCCAGGCCGGAGCTCGAAGAGGCCCCCGCGTGGCCGGGACTTCTGGCCTGAGAGGTTCCCCAGGAATGTGGGGCTCTGGGCTGACACATCCCTCCCCGACCCCAGACTGGGTCCCCCAGCAGCCACGGGAGGGAGGGGCTGAGCCTTCCAGGGGCTGCAGTGTGTGCTGTGCTCCAGCTGGGGTGATAAGCTTCTAGGGCTCAGGAGGAACCAAGGGGCTCAGAGCAGGGCATGGGGCCCTGAGCGGCTGCGCTGGACACACCCTGTCTGGAGAGGCCTGTGTGAGTATGGCCTCTGGGAGCAGACCCTGGACTAACACCAGAGCCTAAACCAGCACAAGTGTCCTTCTGAGTGCGCTGGCCAGGCGCACGAGCTGGACACGGCACAGCAGGCAGGACCCTGGGGGCCGCCCAGAGGCAGCCTCAGGGCCACTCAGGAGGGGCCTGTGTCCACGGCTCCAGCCCTCGGGAGATGGAGGAGCCCCCACCATGCTCAGCCCTCCCCCTGCACAGCAGCGGGTGTGTGCCCCACGCGTGTTCTTGTCTGACGGCGTGCCGTGCAAGGCTCCTCCTGCATGTGCCCTGCTGTCCTCACATGCACATGCGTGCATAGTCCTGAGTGCGCCCTGCTGTCCTCACATGCACACGTGTGCACATGGCCCTGTCTCACTTGCACACGCGTGCATAGTCCTGAGTACGCCCTGCTGTCCCTCCACATGGCCTGTGTGCTTGTGCCCTGCTGCTGCTCTGTGTGCATGCATAGATGTGTCATTCCCATGTGCACACGTGCCTGTCGTCATCTCCTCCCCATGTGCTGTGCATGCTGGCTCTAGGACTGAGGCCCCTCCGTGCCCCGGGGCTGTCTCCCAGAAGCCCCCAGCCTCCCGCCCACGAGCAGGAAACAGGTGTGAGAAGCCTGATCTGCGGGGGCGGAGACCCTGAATCAGCCCCGGAGGCTGCCGGGAGCGAGGAGAGGTGGGCAGGAGGCAGAGAAGAGGAGTGCAGGCCGGTGGCTGCCCTGCTGGCCCTCTGAGGGGGGCGCCCGGCACCGCCGGCCCCAGTTTGCTGGTGGGCGGCCAGTGCTGGGTGGTGGGCAGTGGGGATGGAAGCTATGCTGGGCTCGGGCTGCGGCTCTCTGGCAGTACCTCCCGGAGTCTTTCCTCCGTGCCGGGGATGTTACACAACAGGCCGAGGGGAAGCTGGGGGGCGGCAGAGCAGGGCAGTGGCTCCCAGGACCCTGAGCCTGGAGTGCCCCTGCCCAGTGCCCAAGCCCCCGGGCTTAGCTGGGCCAGCCAAAGTGACCCGCCGGAGCCCAGGACGTCCAGGCCATCTGTGTGGGCTCCTGGGGCCACCCTGTGCACTGTCCATGCAGAGACAGATGGGGGTCTCAGCGGGAGACATCTGGACCTTGGAAGAGCCCCTCCCCATCTCAGGCCTGAGTGGGGGACTGCGGTGGGCACGGCGTGGCGGGGGAGGGGGCCTGCCTGCAGACACTCCGTGCTGCCGGCTAGGGGTCTGCAGACATTAAAGATCAAAGCCCAGTTGCAACTCTCCTGTCTCACTGCACACCCAGCCCGGATTATGTAACCCGAACCCACAGCTGCCAGCACCCCCAGGACAGTCCCCAGGGGTCTCCCAGCAGTCTGGGCTGAGGGTCCCAACGGGAGGGGCCCCCAGGCCTGCGCTGCTGCCATCTCAGGCACCGGGGGGTGTGGGCCGTGCCTGTGTCCTGTGGGCCAGTCCCAGACCCTCCTCAGCAGTCCCTTCTCGGTGGGGTCAGATGGAGAAACTGCAAGGTGGGTCTTGCTGGGGTCGGCCCAGCTGCATCAGCGTAGGGACAGCTTCCCCCACCCCAGTCCAGCCAGGTGCAAAGTGCCCCTGAGACCAATCTGGGCACCAGGGACAGTGGCCGCAGCACAGGGCACCAGAGCACACGGCACCCGCTCCTGAGCAAGAGGTGGACACAGCCCGGGAGAGAGCCGGGCGTGGACAGGACTGGGACCTGCGTCCTCCCGGTGTCCTGCTGCAGCTGTGCCCCACGGGTACTCGCCTGCTGACCCCCGCCCCACTCCGAGGTCGGCGGCGCCGGGCAGTAGTTGGGCGACCCTGGCTCCCGCCAAGACCCCTGGCGTCCAGCGGGAGCTGCAGCCCGCGCGGGGTGGGGTCAGGCCCCGGACCCCCGGGGACCTCAGCGCGGCCCCGCAGGAAAGTTGCAGGGGAGTGTCCCGGCGCCGGCGCGCCCCCCGCCCGCGCCCCCGCCCCCGCCCCGGTGGGCGCGCGGCCCCCGCGGGCGAGGCGAGCGCGCGCCCTCCCCGCGCCGCGACCCGCCGCGCCCCCGCGCGTCCACGCGCGGCCCCAGCGGCACCTACTGTGCTTGGGCGGGGCGGCTCCCGCGTCCATTGTCTCGGCGGCGGCGGGAGCGGGCAGCGGTCAGCGGCGACGGGGCTCGGGCAGCATCGCCCCGCCGGCTCCGCGGCCCGAGGCGGGCGGTGCGCGCGGCGGGCGGTGCGCGCTGGCGCTGCGCCCCGGGAAGGCGACGCGCGTGGAGGGCGCTGTCACTCGTGCCGCCCCACCACACCCCCTGCCCGCCCAGCGCGGGACGCCACCCGCGCCCCGCGCCCCGAGTGCTCCCACGCGCGCGCGCCCCCCCCCCCCACCGTCAGCTCCCGTGCCCTCCGCGCCCCACCGCCCAGAAAGAGGCTTTGCAGAGCAGGGACCCCGCGCTCGGCCACCCCCTCCCCCAGTGCCCGGAAGCACCCTCGGGCCTCCTGGGTGTCAGCAGAAGCGCAAACCCCCCCCCCCCCAACCACACACACGCATTAAGGGGGCTGGCACGCTGCCTTGGAAGAGGCGAGGCCTGCGGGAAAAGGTGGAGTGTGGATATGGGGTGTCCGTTTCCTGGCTGGCCGCTCTGAATTCCTCCAGCCAGGCCAGGATTCCAGGTGCCCAGAACAGCCAACCTGGAGCTGGGACTCAAGAAGCCAGGGCCACCGCTAGCAGCCCACAGCCAAATCCCTCGACTCGGGGTGGCCCTGGGCGCCCACAGCTGAGGCGCAACCAGGCCTGCGGGGTTGAACCCCGGGAGGGATTCAGGAGAGACCACACAGCGCCGCCAGGACAGCCCCGAGCTGGGCCCGCCCTGGTCCTGCTGCCTGCGCTCTGCAGGTTGCCCGGCCACTCAGAGATGGTCCCAAGGGCACAATACCCCCAGAGCCCTAGGCCAGGGGCAGGACCCCAAGGGGGAGCCCACACAGCACGGGGCTCGGGACAGCGTGACCCCTTGCAGCTGCAGTGGTCTGGCCCAGAAATGAGGATGGCGAGGGCCGGGGCAGCTCCTGCTCTTGGCAGACTGCAGGGAGCCAGAGAACACCCGGGCCTGCCCGACAGCAGGGGTGGGCCAGGCAGCTCGCAGACCCGCATGGTCTCCCTGGCCCCGGCTCTGCCCAGCAGCTCCAAACCCCCAGAGCACTCCCAGTCCTGTTCTGGGCCATAGCCCCTCCCGACAGCCCCTCCCACCCTGGCTCTGAGCGGGTGACAGGCACCCCCTTCGAGGCCAGCGCTGCACTGACCACGTCCAGGCAGTGGTCATTGCATACCTCAAAGGCCCTGGGAGCGGGGGGGCAGGGCTGTGCCACTGCATACAGGCACGCACACACTACGTACTACAGACACAAAAGCACACAGGCATGTACACATAACTGCACGCACACATGTGTGCACACATACGTGTACACATGTGTGGATACACCACACACATGCCCACTCACGGTCTGGTCTGAGGGTGGCTCCACAGAGACCTCACCAGACTGATCAGCTGCTGTGTGCCAAGGCTGCCCCTAGGGGCTGCCCATGCGCCCTGCCTGTCCTGAGAAATGCTGGATAGGGGACTGTGGACACAGCTGGCCCAGGACACGAGGGGCAGAGCGGTCCCACAGCAGGGGGGGCATCTGCCTCACACACGTTGACCCGGGTTCGGTCCCCAGCATCCCATAGGGTCCCTGAGCACCGCCAGGAGTGATCCCTGTGTGCAGAGCCAGGAGGAACCCCTGAGCATCACTGTGACCCAAAAAAATTAAAAAAAAAAAAAAAGAAAGAAAGAAAGAAAAAAAGGACACCACGGGGCCATGCGATCACACAGCCCAGCTCGGCCGTACTCACCAATCAATACATTTCATTGGGCAAACGTGTGATTCTCAGCTGCTAAATTTAGGCAGCGTGTGCCCGACTCTCGAGTCTCGGCTCAGACAGCCCCTCCTGCAAGGAGAGCAAGCTCAGAGCCGCTGGGGGACGGCTCCTGCCCCGAGGACACTTTCCCACAGCTACATGGGGGTCTGGGGAGGGAGGGACTGAGGCACAGACCCAGACAGGCCCAGCCAGGCCCTGGACACCAGCTGAGCTTCTCCCCTCCCTCCCCACCCCGTCTCCCCTCCTCCCTCTCCCTCTCTCCTCCCCTCCCTGTCCCTCCCCTCTCTCTCCCCTCCTTCCTAAGTGCTGACAGACCCTCCCTGTGATGGAAGATGGGGGGGCAGGTCATTAGGAAGAGGGACCTGTTTTCTCACAGGGGGATTCAGGCTCAGATCTGTTCCTAAGAGGGGCGCCCCGCACACTTAAGGCAGGGGGAGGTGTTGGGGGATGCGCAGTCCTGGAAACTGCTCAGAGAGGCCCAGTGCAGGGACCCCACCCTCAGACTCCGCCTGCCTCAGTGGCACCATCCCTTCCCCCTGGGAGCCAGATCTCGTCTGTCCATATGTCCATCTGTCCTCTACACATAGCCAGCTTCCATTCCCAAGTCCAAATGGCACTCACAACCTTTACTCAGCTCTGATGTACACACCCACACAAGCACACACACCTGCACAGCCGCTCACACCCTTACAGCCTCCCACACACCCGCACGTTCTCTCTCTCTCACACACACACACACATACACACACACGGTCTCACACACCCCCGCAGTCTCACACACATCCGCACAGCCTTAACACACACACACACACACACATATACACATACGGTCTCACACACCCCCATATAGTCTCACACGACCTCACACACACACACACACACACAGTCTCACACACCTCCGCGCAGTCACACACACCTGCATGGTCTCACACACACACACAATCACACACACAGTCACACACACCCGTGTAGTCTCACGCCTGCACAGCCTCACACACACACGTGTAGTCTCACACACACCCGCATGGCCTCACACACACAATCACACACACACACAGTTACACACACCTGTGTAGTCTCACATACCTGTGTAGTCTCACACACGCCCACATGGCATCACGCCCGCCACAGTCCCAAAATCACAGCGGTCCTGTCTCTTCCGACTCCAAGGTGACCCCGTGGCCTCTGTGCGCCCAAACAGGAGAGACCCCCCCTGGAACTGGGACCCTGGGGGCACACGGAGGCCAGCGCCGAGGGGAGGCCGGGTCTGAGGGCCCAGGGCGCCAGGAAGCAGCCACCCGCCATGGGCAGCGGGGTTGCCTCCTGCCCCCGAGCTTTAAAAGCCACATCAAAGGCTCGGTGGTAGCCTATGCCCTCTGCCAGCTGCCGCCCGCGCCCTCCACAGCCGGCGGCCTCGAGGCTTTTCTGGGGCAGGCCCGGGAGGTCCTGCTTCTTCTCCCAGTTTCTCTGTCTTTTCCCTCCTGCGGGGTAGCCCCAAGTGAGCCCCCAGCTGGCACCCAGACGAGCTGCTCTGTGTCTCCAGTCTCCCTGTCCTCAGGGGCACAGCCCTGCACACACAGCCCCCCAGCCCCGCCTCCCACCTGCCCCCCCCACTCAGCCCCCAGCACACACTGCCACCCAGCCCGCCTCGGGAAGGCCACAGGAGAGTGAGGCTGGAGTGAGGCCACCTCAGGGTGAGCGGGGCCCAGCGCCTCCCCATCTTCCACCTCTCTGGGGTAGGAGGCATGCTTGGGGCCCCCAAAACAAAGGGCCCGGCCCCACCTGACACTGGGCTCAGCTGGGGTTGCCCAGAGGGCGGCATCTCCTGGGTGACCCTGGACCTTCTGTGTGGCCCCCGAGCTCAAGCGCAGTGCAGGGAGGCTGGGGCGCAGGGAGGCTGGGGCGCAGCTGCAGGGGCTGGGCCCAGCCAGGGACAGTGGAGACCCGCAGCACGGGCAGGCAGACTGCCCTGGAACCTTCAAGGTGTATCTACAGCCTCCAGCCAGGAAGGAAGGCTGGGAGCAAGGAAGGGGTGTGTGGTGGGGAGAGGAGGGGACACGAGAGAGGGCATTCAAAAGGAGGGAGGGGGGAGGGAGAAAGAGAGAGAGAGAGGAGAGAGAGGGAGAGAGAGAGGGAGAGAGAGAAATGCTTGCCTTGAGGAAGGCAAGGGTCAGGGTGGGTTGACGGGAGGGAATCTGGGGATGCTGGTGCTAGGGAATGTGCCCTGGTGGAGGACAGGTGCTGGAGCACTGTGTGGCTGACACCCAATCATGAACAGCCATGTAAGGGTCTGCACTACAGTGATTCAATTAAAAAAATGTTAAAAAGAAAGAAACAGGGGCTGGAGTGATAACACAGCGGGTTGGGCATTTGCCTTGCACACAGCCGACCCGGGTTCGATTCCCAGCATCCCATATGGTCCCCTGAGCACCACCAGGGATAATTCCTGAGTGCAGAACCAGGAGTAACCCCTGTGCATCGCCGGGTGTGACCCCAAAAGAATAAATAAATAAATAAAAAGAAACATAAAAAGAGAGGGCGGGCATGAGGTACGGGGAAGGGTCCAGGGAGTGGAGGGAGAGGAGGGGTTCAGAGGGACAGAGAGGGAAGTGGATGGGGGGCCAGGCTGGCAGACATGGGGGGTGCGGGAAGCCCGACCTCTTAAGCACCATCACCCTGGGCCCACTGGCTCCTGGCCTCAGGACAGCTGGCACCCGGGGTGCTGCGTGGGTCCCGTGGGTTCTCAGGGACTCGTCCCCAGGGAGGGACCCAGAAGCATTGTCCCCACCTTAGTCCTTCCAAACCCCCAAGCCTGGCTGAGCCCACCCAGACACATTGGGAATGTGGGAGGAGAAACTTCAGGGCAGGGAATGCTGCACATGTGACTGCCCCGTGGACACCACACACAGGCACACACACACATGCACACGTGCACAAACACACAGAGGCACACGTACACACACCCAAGCATACGCATACACACAGGCACATGCTCACACACACCCAAGCACATGGGCACACACACACACACACACAGAGGCACATGCACACACACACAGGGCCCCCCGCACAGAGGTTCATGCACACATGCGCGCATACACATACACAGGTATATGCACATGTTCCCTCCACACGTAGGTGCACAGCTCACACACATGCCCATGGTCACACACACAGACACACAGTGCTCACAGTGCACACCCATGTGTAGACCTGCTCAAACACTGGTATGTGCCCACGTAGGCGTGTCCTCCCATGCATGTTCCATAGCACGCAGCACAGTGCATGTTTCTGGGCTCAAGAGTCCTGTGCCCCCAGGTG